TACAGCTTACCAAGCGTCACGCAATCGCTTTTCCGCGATCAGCCTTCACGATTATTTGCACTATTGTGGAAAATTCCTGGCCCATTTCTTGATGAAAATCGATCGTTATATAATTTCAAGCCTTCAACATAGTTGATTGGTGTGATGTCTGTACAGATTTTACCAATGTAATAAAAGTAGATGACGTGAATAATAGTGATGGTAAAGCAAGCTTAAAACGGCAACAATCGCCAGAAACTTCAACGGATACACAGGGTATGAGTAAGTTTTATTGATTTCACGAGAAAAATCTTCATATTTCGAAATATTTATCGTTGTAAATCGACCATATTTCGTTCCCTATACTATTCCTTATAACGTGTTCAAACTTTCAACGGTTCCTAGCATAACTTACTCCGAGTCACACAACGCGTGACGCGTTCGTGAATTAATCGTTGGCTCTTTCTCGAGACGTGACCTTGGGTCGCCTGTGACAAGACAATAGCGTAAACAATACTTAACATAATAACATTATACATAAAAAACACGGGATTTTGGATCATGTATTTTTTAAAAAAGAATATCCATACAACTACAATGAAAAAAAACATAAGATTCACCTTTCTGATCGTGAAATTAATACCATTCACAATGTTATCGTAGCTACGTTCCCTGGCATCAAGTGAATCCAACATGGCGTCTTTCTTCACAAGCAGTTTGCTTCCATTTGAATTTTGTTCTTCAGTCTCACGGTAGTTGTGTTGTTCAATAGATTGCATAGAGTATATGCAGTGTGGTTTCAGATTTCAGATTTTGCTTTTTACAACGAGTTAACGTTTTCAACTAAGGCCTGGGTCGCACTACAGTCAAAAACAAAAATTGGCCCACGCGAAAATTTCTAAAAATTTGAAACCGCAAACGGAAGTGTCAAAAATTTGAGAACATTTTCAGGGTCGCACTACAATTTAAGACTTAATATCACTGATCAGATTTCAGATCAAAACACGCGAACTGCGCGGCAAATGTATTTTAGTGAACATGAATGCGAATCAGGCGTTTTGCGTGGCTATTGCCGTTTTACTTCTTCAAAATATTAACATCCAACAGCAGCAAATGTTCGCCATTTTCATTCTGTATCAGAGATGGGCAAATTAATATTTTGAAATGCTGAACATTGCTCTTCTGAGAAGACGACGACGTTTCCGTCGAGTTCGTAATAGGCCCTACGCGTGGACTATTCCTCGGCCAGCCGAATCGTGGTTCGATGTCCATTATAACGACCCGGCAATTCCAGAGGAGTACTTTCGACAGCAACTATGGGTGAACAGGAACACGTTCGAAACAATTCTCCATATTTTGGGCCCGAGATTAGAGAGGCGAAACACGCGGTTCAGGGATTGTATACCTCCAGCAAAAGTTCTTGCTCTGGGACTATACCGCTTGGCCCACGGAAATTCTTATTCCACCATTGGCCCGGTATTTAATGTAGGAAAATCGACTGTTATCGAGGCCGTACAAGACGTTGTGAAAGGTCTCTATGAACTTCGTGACGAGTACATAAAATTCCCAGAGACCATCGCTGAAGTCAGTTCATCGATTGCAACGTTTGGAGATCTTACCAACCTACCAAATGTCGTTGGGGCTATTGACGGCTCGCATATTAGAATTAAAGCACCCAACGACAGTGCACCGGATTATTTTAGTCGGTATCAACAGCACGACTTCATAATCCAAGCTATTGTTGATGGCAAGAAGGTTTTTATGGATTTTACGTGTGGATGTCCTGGAAGCATGCACGATGCTCGTGTATTGAGGCGCAGCACTATCTTTCAAAGAGCAGAACAGAAGAATGTCCTAACCCAGCCAACTGTTAATGTGAATGGTCATGACATAGGTCCGTACCTTTTAGGTGATAGTGCCTATCCTCTTTCTCCATGGCTAATGAAACCGTATCCAGAGGGCACACGGGACCCAAGGGAAATAGCGTTTAATAAGGAACTTTCCTCTGTAAGGGTAAAGGTTGAATGCGCTTTTGGTGTTTTAAAAAGTAGATGGAGAATACTCCTGAAACGATTTGACAGTGGAATACCATTTGCAAAGAACTGTAACGCTTTGTTGTCTCTATATAAGATTGATGCAAATTCACTGTTTCAGTCATTTGTTGTTGTTGCCGCTATTTTGTAAGAAATTTGTTAGGGCCCCAGCTAGTGCATTCATTGTGTTAGCTTGCTGCTCTTGCATCCTTGTAAAGCTTTCCATCATTGTGTTCATTTCCTTTCGCTGTTTCTCCATTCCTACCAAGGACGCTTTAATCAGGTCTCCCTCTTCATCGCCTTCTTGAGGTCTAGCTCTTTTACGTTTCTTTTTACGCTCCGTTCGAGCTTCTGGGCTTGTGTCTTGTCCTAGTAACTCGTTGTCCTTGGACTCGGTTGCGTCGGACTTGGCGGCAGAAGTTGATCCACTCGCTCCCGCTTCGGCTACATTACGTAACGTAACAACGTCCCTGCATCCAAGAACAGCATCTATTTCATCGTAGAAGACAGTTTTCCATCTGTGTCCACCCGTCTGATGACTGTTCCAACCCTTGGCCTTTTTGTATCTCTCGATGAGATATTTCATTTTCTTCTGGCATTTCTCTCCAGAGCGAGTGGTACCAAACCTTCGATTAATCTCCCGCGCAATTTCTTCCCAAATCTTCCGCGCGTCTTTGCTTTCCAAACGCTCATTTCGATCAGTCCAAAGGTTTATAAGTGCTTTCTGCTCTTCGTTTGTCTATTTATCGTACTGCTTTCTATTGGATTGAGCAGCATCTTCCGCTTCCACATCTAGGGCATCGTTCACAGTTCCGTCGGTCGAACCACTCGGGCTATTGCTCGATGTTGTTGTTGGGCTGATGGATCGGCAAGCTGGGTCTCCGACTGCCAAAACACCGCTAGGCCCTGGCAGTTGCAAGTCTGGTCGAACCTGGGGATGGTTGTAGTACCTGAAGTCGACAGGAAAAGATCCGGGCGGATAATAATATGGATATCGTCCTTCCATTCCGAAGCACGTGCGTAATAATAATTACAAGTTCCCGCCGATACAGGTAGGATCAGCCTGCAATGGGTCAAATCGATTAGCGATGACAGCTCCGGAAGCAGCTTCCTTTGTTTTCCTCGATTTTTTCAAAATCAGCCTGCCCCACCCATGCAATACGGCGTCTTTGAAGTTTGGTCGGTTTTTCCAATTTTTTCCAAACTGGCGAAAAGCCGGTCGCATTAGGAAACGTGACATGATGACAGATTTTTAACCTAAAACAAACACAATTTGGAACGAAACTATGCAACTAAACATCTTTTAATATTTTTTTAGAGCCGAAAAACAAAACATTTGGCGTCACATATATCATTACACGATTCGATTCGGCTCATTAACCAGCAGCTTGTGGTCACAAAGTGCTTAAATCAACTTTGCCTCTCATGCACTTCGGAGGAATGTGATCACGAATATTTCACAGAGGCCAAAAATTTTTTTCGTCAGAAGCATAGCACTATGATTGGGTTTTACTGTGATCACATGTTGATCGACATGTAACGTTGCCCATTGGAGATATTTGCAATTAAAAAAGCCTAATTTTCGGTCTCTCAAAATTGTCGCGTGACATGGTTAATTATGAAATGCTCTCGTTTGGCGAGAATAATTTGAAATTAATCCAAATTCCAACCATCCATTGCTTAAGGTTCAAAAAATTGTCGGATAAAATGAGATTAAAATCCACCGCATTCTATCAGTGTGGGAGATCTTTTTTGAAAGTACAATTTTAGGGCTAATTTCGGGGTTTTATCCCTGGGATTTGATGTGAAAGCCCTTGTACCCCAGGGATTAACCGGGAGCCCAAACTACTTCGGACTCTTGAATAACTTTATGACCTTAATCATTTTCGAAGTTTGAGAGAAATCGGTGAGATGGCATGTGTCACGCCTGCCTGGTCCTCTCGTGGACAGACTCTTAAGTCCAAAAAGTGATAAGGGTTATGAACAGCAAATATGAAAGAAATCTTTTCTCAACGGCAACTGCTAAATAAACATCAATGAATAAAAGTTAACTAAAAGAAGAAACAAAGAAATTAATGAACGCACGAATTACTAAATTCAATGTATTGCGCAATATCAAAGATCAAAATTGGTCAAACAAACTACTTGACGTGATCAAATTAACAACCGCATCAATCCTGATGCTAATTTCAAAATGCAATGCAAACCATAAAGAGAAGATCTCTTAAAAAACTGTTACAGGAATACAATAGACTTGATTATGTAGTCTCAGAGAAACGAGCGAAAACTATCGCTGGCGTGTTCAGGTCCAACATCTCTAAACTGGGACATCAAAAGTTGCAAGTAGGTCGCCTACTCAAACTTCGAGAAGACTGATGCTATTTCTGAGTCAAAACACAGACCCAATCACAGAACATAATTATGTCGCTTCAAAATGACTTAATAATAGTGATGAAATTCTCTCTTTGAATTGTAGATAACGATCAAAGTGATGAGCCAATTAGACTCCAGTAACTCTCACAATGCTGTGCAACCGCGAATTATGTCATTGATACCTATAAATGCTCCTTCTCGTAGTAAAGAGAAAATCGAGATTAATGGCTAAAAATAAATATAACTAAAATAACTAAATAACAGTTAGGACTTTCTCTCTTTGAACTATAGATAACGATCAAAGTGATGAATCACTGAGGAGAACTTTGCAAAACACTGAGGAAAGTTTGATTATAATTGTAATGAACATTCAACGAAGACTTTGATTACGTAATCGATTTGTTTTGATTTAAAGTAGAAAAAAAATTCTGTCTTGTTTCTTTGCCGAGTTTACGCCCGCCCCAATTTTCCAAGTGTACTATTGTTCACGGTTTGAATTACTTACTTGGCTAGCATTCCTGATAAACCAGTTTACAATTTTACACGTGATCTATACCCTTACATTGGTACGCCCCTTAAGTATCGAGTCAGTTGGAGGTAGATCAACGGAGTCAGATCGGAATTTTCTTTTACATAAGATTGTTCCTGTGACGTATCTTTGCAGTTTCCCTAACCTCGTAAAGACAAGATCAGACGTAAGTTCCAGCCTATTGTATTTAATTTCCTTTTCTTTTCGATTTCGCTTGTTTTGTAATTAGCCTCAGCCCACTTTTCATCTTGTACATTGCAATTTCCTCGTTTTAGTTTTTCACCGCATGTGTATGATAGTCAGACAATAGCATTGAACGTTGTTGAATCAACTTGTGTTGTCGAATCCTACACTGTGGTTGAAACTCCCCGAACTCCAGAGCACAACACCTAGTGTCCGCTGTATTGGGTACGCGACAATAATACACGACAACAGAAATAGGAAAGGGAAGCTTTAAATGCTCTAAATATGATAGTTGTTAGAACCCGTCAGATTTATTTGTAAGATGTTTTCGCAAGGCTCCTTCGGATATGTCAATCATGTGAAAGGTTCATAACATTTCCGAGAAACAAGCATTCGAACTATTTCGGCTTGAAACAAAAATGATAACAAACAGATTGAGTTCTATTTTCTTACAGAAACTCAATCAATGCCGAAATTTGACTGCCTAAAGCGATGCAAAAGGGGGTAGGATTATAACGATTTTTCATTGCTGAAGTTATGGAAAGTCTACCACATTTTTCAGTTGCCCAGTTTTGGGACATTATTTTTGGCTTTCGAAATAATCTCTTATTTCAACAGGATAGCCGTTGTTAGGGCGCTTTTTTCTTGACTTCACCCTGTCTTCGCGCAGTCTTTGCCATCAACATAATAAAAGTGACCAAAACAATATGAAAATTCTCAGGAAGTGACCCTACCGTGGTTACCGATATTTCCCTTTAAAATATCTATGTGCTCTCTGAGTGTGCTCACCTTCACATTACAGCAGAAAGATCTAGTTGAAAGGTTGCCAAATCTTCTTACGAGCTGTTTCAAGACTTCGAAATACCCATATGGCTCTGGTGAAGGAAAATACTTTAAAAGTCGGCCTAAAACGATTTCCTCGAGATGTTCGCGAGGAGCTTAACAAGATTGTACATCGTAGCTCATGGCAGATGCTGACAAGAGAATTCAGCGTGGATACATACACCGGTTTGGAAGATGAAGCACTTGATTTCATCCCAGATCTCGTTGATAGCAGTTATGATGAGTTTCGGGAAGATGTGAAAATGAGACTGGAAATTTTAAAGAAAATGAAAACAGGAAAGGCCCGGTCATTCAAAGGGAAGAGCAAAGTTGGATTTCACAGCTATTTTTACAGGTATACATAGTTTTACGCCATTATGCATTCTTATAGGTTAAAGCTGACAAGGAAGTTTTGACTTTATCACTGCAAAGATTTGGTGGTTGGACGTTCGAAAACTATGTACAAAACGAGAAGGAACGAGCAGTAAACAAAACTACAGCTCAAGGAATAACTAACGTTTCGCTGAAAATACCAAGAATAATAATGTCTTACGCCTACCGAAAAAAAACCACATACACACACGCCCAAACTAATAACAATGAATACGAATGTTCCAGAAGCACGAACACAAATCAAAGTGCTCTATGACCAAACTCGTGAATTGACACATGATTTTTTGGATTATGTTTAATGTTATCTGGTTTAGGGAATTTTGTGGTTGATTGTCGTATCTAGAGTACAAGCAGTAGTTCAGTGTTCGCTAATGTAGCAAAGAAACAAAGTAATTGAAATTAAAATGATCATGCTATTACATTTGACAAGGGTGGATGATGTCATGTGTTTTAAACGTATATCATTTTTGTTTCTGGTTCAAAAGAAAAGCTTGGAAGTAAATGTGGGTGAAAAGCGAAATTTACTGTCTATCATTGTAAAAATTAGAAAATCAAGGCAATACTGTCTTAATGAAAACACTAACGATTCCCTCTTTATCAAATGAGACAAACGGGAACGAGTTTTGAGTGATATAGCTAAGCCAAGACTGCCACCGTCATTTTGGATCTCCGCCTGGGCAGATTTTAGTCACGTGCTAGGCAACGTATAATCAATAACAAGATAGAATTTCATTTCAGGCTTATTTATCAATTTTGTGGTGTATAACTTTCGCATTTTAGTACGTAATACGTATTTTGAATCTTCAAATTGTCTTGAACCTTAAAAGAAAATTGTTCGTTAAAAATTCACTGAAAATCGGTAGCTAAAATTGTTTGTATAGGCGTTATTTGATTTTCGTGTTTACTTTTAATTTCGTCAGTCGTCGGCATCTTCTGTTGCTTCACACAAGAAAAACACACGATATCGATTTTGTCCTCAATCTCACGTCATAACAAGAAAAGCTTTTGAACATCTGTAAACTCCGTGCGCCTTTGATAGTGATCTATAGTGATCTGAATCTTCGGATTGTTTTCAAGTTCAAGAATTATAAATTACAATTTTATGAAAAACGAAGGTTGTTCTGTTATTTCAGTGTGAATCCTAGCATGCCTGCCAGTCGCTGGCGCCGCTTGTTGAAACTAAAACGAAAAAAAAACACTCTTTTAAGATTTTAATTGGCTTCTTTTTCACCCCACCACTATTCTTAGCAACAAAGGTTGCCATTTCGTCTGTTTATTGCTCGCAAAAACTATCAAATGCACTCAAAAACCTAAAATCGAAAAAAAGTTTACAGGAATCGACCAATCGAGCGAATGCTATTCCCCACATCGTATCTATAACTCGCTCTTGCGCATGCGTGCAATTCACGAGTTAAAAAGCAAATAAGTAGACATGGCATAATTTTTCTTAACAAGTAGGGAACGTAGCTCCCAGTGTTGTTGTCTGGCCTTGATTGAAAAAGAAATGCGGGCATCTGCAAAATTTCCTTTAAGAGCTTTTAAACTTCTCAGTGCAATCTGGTTAAGGTCCCCCGCAGTTTAGATGATGCAATAGGTAATTGCAACATCATCACCTAAAGAGCTGAATAATAGCAGTAATGACGGTGCATTAACGTAACCGGCGAAAGTAAAATTTAATTAAAGCGGACAGAATTTATGAATGAGAGGAAGCAGGAACTTTGATTTGTCACTGCATGTTGACAATCCAGAGACTCTCACAATGCTGTGCGACCGTGAATTATGTCATTGATACCCATAGATGCTCGTTCTCGTAGTAAAAAGAAAATCAAGATTAATGACCAATTATAAATATAAAGCTTTTTTTTCAAGGTAAGAATTTATTATTAAAAGCAATTGAATTGAGTGGAATGCAGTTTGGTCTGAAATCATATGCATGATTTCTAAATCAAACGAGTATACAGCACGAGTTTGAAATAAAGACACAAGTAAGGGCAAGTCTGATTTCAGACCTAATAATTTACATGAAAAAATTACTCAGTTCTGATTGGTTAAGATAAATGCAGTTTTCAGGTAATTCTGACCAGTGCAGAAGAGGGTTAATTCAGGGCAAAGAAGTAACAAATCAGACATTCTGATTGGTCAATAATAAAAGAAACTCACAGATAGCCAATCAAGTGCGAGCCTTGGATGTCGCAACATTTGGATACGCTGAAAATTTGCGAGCGAAACAATGGCCGGCGTATTAAGCAGGTTTCTTTCGCCGCCGCAACAACAATACAGCGGCTGAAAAACAGCTCTAACTACGAAAACAGTGTAAAATGCACTGCTTTTTGGTTGTCGGAGTGGAAAAAGTAGTGTTTAGAGAAGGGAATTGCCAAGAAATCGAAAATTACGAGCCGATCCAGCTAAACACTTTACTCGAGCGATTTTACGCCGAAATTAAAAACAAACATGGTTAAACCTCGAAACGACGATTCCATTTTATCGAAACTGAACAATTCCTCGAACTGTTTAGCCGGACTTTGAACTTTTTTGCTCCTAAGGATGTGAAAATTTAATTGTATTTTATTGTGTTGATCGTACGCAGTTGTTTTGACCGAACGCTCAAAGTCACTTGTAAGGTTTGAATAAATTATTTTTGCACTTGATACGCGCGGTTTGCTCCTGCATAATTATGATAAGCTATCTCGTATTTCTTCATGTATATTATTAATACGTAATCACATGATTTTCCTCGTGCAATTTGGAATAAACGAGCACTCGTTAATTTTTTCAAAGAACACAATTTTGTTAGTCTTTGAAAAAAATTTATCGTGCTTATTTGTTCCAAATTGTACTCGAAATCATGTGATTACCTCTACAAAACTGCACTCCATTCAGTTCAATTACCCCTTAATTATATATATTTTGAAATCGCAAAATTCAGCTGCTCAGATACAGGATTTGTTCGTCTGTCTAAATATTTTATTGATCTAATAATGAGCTGGTTTTTAGAAAGTTGCAAAAGGTGTTTTTCATTTTCGTACAATTTGATTGGTTTCTATAAACAAGCCTTGAAATCTGGTTATTGGTTTTATTTTAGTGGGGCTTCCTCGTTTGCTAGGAAAAAGATGAGATTTACAACTGAAAGTGGTGCGATTCGTAATGAGAGCTAATCGGATTAAAAGGATCACCATTGATTTCAAAATGGATGTAACAAAAACAAAAATAGATATAAAGCAGTTGGATCCGAAATATATTTTGTCTTGTTTTATGATAAGCATTTCTAAACCTTATTACCATACTGAACAACATCCGTTACATAATTGAGTAATAAATGTCTGCTACACATTCTTGAACACGATGAGATAGATATTGGTATGGGCTTTACTGAAGTTTCTGGCCATCTCCACTCCAAATATTTCCCACACTATTTCCGTCATAATGGTCTGTTCGTTGTTCTTGTATAATAGGCGCCAAGATTATTGTACCTTACTCGAATTCATCAATCGCTATAATTGAAATGTAATTTTACTTTCCCTTCTCTAGGTTTTGGCTTGTTGGTCAGCGACGTCAGGACGGTCTGTATGACATCGTATTTGCCCACATTGCCCGAAAAGAAGAATTTGATCTCTTTCTTAGCCTGGAAAAAATTATGAAGGGTACGGCTTATGCGGTGATGTCAATTCCAGATGCAGTGCGTAGTCTTTCCAAGCGGGCTGTCAAGCTCGTAACTGCTGGTATATTTGGAGAGAGCTATGATGTGCATGAAAACCCATCATCGGCCGATAAACCGCGAGCAAGTCCTTATACTGACCTCAGTCAGCACCTGGGAGACCGCCTGACTGATTATGAAATGGTAGAGGATCTTATTGAGAGAGGAATGTTGGCAGAGAACGAGGATGGGACACTGTACATTCAGCTCTAGTGAGAAAGTTAAAGAGGGAAGCAAGTTCTATTATTTGCAGTGACTGTAGCATTGTAGTACTTTACTCGATATTGCACCCCAAACCAAAGACATGATTAATTTCAGTAATAATCCAATTAAAGCTAAGTTAGTGTGAGCGGTGTAGCTATTGTAGGCGACAACTTACTTGCAGCTGTTTGCTATAATCATTAACGTATCAATAAAGCGGCAAAAGCTTTTGTCGCCTCGTTTGTTTTCTCCAATACAATCGGATTTTATTTGTCACAGGGTAGACTTGCAGACTTCTCTCAATAAAATTTGTGTTAAAATAGTACTGATTGTGTGACATGGATTTTTATTGACAAAAGGCACAAATTTGAGCAGGACTAAGAGAGCTGGAAAGCTTTGTCCAATTATCACTTAGGTTGATGTTAAACTCCTCTTTATGGTATGCTCAGAAATGTGTCGACAGCATTCAGACATTGCGCCTTTTCGCACGTGTTCAGATAAATAAAATAAATAAAAACTTCTTCATCGAAGTTCGTTGCAGTGTCCGACACAAGAGTTTGGCATTGACGTTTTTACTAGTCTTATGGCCCTCAGACTTGATAGTAATACCAATCTTGCCGGTCGACAGCAATTATCCAGAGTAAAAGAGAGACGTACAAAACACCTGATAATCACGAAGAATGCCCCGCTGGGCAAAACCCGGAGTTTTTTAGAGGCAAGAGAAAAGATGGATCAACGCTAAGTTATTCATTTATTGATTCATTTTGTTTCATTATTCACCTTCAAAAGAGTTTTTTTTTCTATTGGTGGGTCCGTCCGTATGGGAAAGAAGACAACATGGAAGATAGTGGAAAGAACGCCAGACCTCACGAACTAGGAAGTCCCTTCACTGACCTTCTGCAGGACCTGGGAGATTGCCTGGATGAAAACAAACTGGAACATCACTAAAAAAGGAAAAAGGACTGAAAAATGTTAATAACACTCTGATGCCATGTTTAAAGATGTACTCTTTGCTATGACGAAAGGAACTGTAGAGTAGAGCTTTAAAACATCGATCGTTGTGTCTGTTGACATTGACAAAGTACTTAATTACGCAAAGACTGTTTCGGCGTCTTTTAAAGCTCTGTTAAATCGTTAACCTTAAAACATTAAACTGAAATTCACTCTGAAAATAGGTCACGAATAAAAACGCAATAGGAACAATGCTATATATAAGAGAGGGTCCAAAGATGACTTTTCCAATCCCTCATCCCGACGCTATATTTCATTCCATCCCGCCATCCCGCCGCAACGAACATTTTCATAGCGATCCCGCTGGGTTAAACTCAAGTTTCTGTAGTTCACCACCAACTGATAGACAAATTATAGCCTTTACAATATTGATAATGTATCCTCGTTACTGAGGAAGGCAAAGGCGTACTTAACGTACATTTAGCCGGCTTAGAAAACGGTTGTTCCTCGATGTGTTTCCGGTCATTATAAAAAAAACTCTACATGCGGAAGGACCAACAGAAAAGCTTTCCTGTTACATCGATAAAACTTTTCAGCCGATTGCACAACAACAGAAGTCATATCTCAAAGATACAACACACTTCATTAACTTCACAGAAAAAAAAAACAAAGCTTCCGTAAGAAGTGATAATCGTTTCAATAGACATTCCGAGCTAATAGACAAATATACCCCCACCCCCCATTCCAAAGCACTTACTGGAGAAGGCAAGTAAACTGATTTTGAAGGAAAAACCATCCCAATTTAACGCACAAAGTTACTTGCAAACCTACGGAGGCGCCATGGGTACCAAAACGGCAGTAGCTTTGGCAAATATCTCATGGCTAAAATCGAAATGCAAATCCTAGATAGGGAACCGCCATGGGTATCCAAATGGCAGTAGCTTTGGCAAATATCTTCATGGCTAAAATCGAGATGCAAGTCCTAGATAAGGGCGCCCGTTTGGAAAGCCTTCATCGACGACATAATCTCTCTTGCACACCAACAGATTTGTCGTCAAGCATTTCATTGAACAAGCAAATAATCGCCACCTAACAATCAAATTTACAGGTGAAATATCTGTTTCTATTTTTACCTATAAGGGTGAAAGATTCAACAGGGAGTCAGTTTTAACGTGAGAACCCATATCAAACCAACAGAGATATTCGTGCACAAATTTTACACAATGTGTCACCCACCAGGAACGCTGAAAGGCTTCGTTAAAGGCGAAAATCTACGACTCCTCAAGATTAATTCTTCCAAAGAAAAGTTGAAGAGAACATTAGACAGTTCAAAATATACCTTGACTGAGAGAGACTACCCGAAAAACATAGTTGACAAGCCACTCTCACTAGTGATATTTGAACGACGTAAACGGGCCCTCCTTTAACAAGGAAAAACAGACAATTAAATCTTACCCTTTGTAATGACACAATATTATCCAACCGTTCCAAACCTTAAAGAAATCCTTATGTGCAAATGGCATTTAGTACAGTTATACAGGGATTTCCGGCTCTGAGAATAGCCGTAACAACACACGTGAAACTAGACCCTGTGAGCAGGGTTACTGGGATACCTGGATGGTACTGGATCCTTGAGATCAGTTGTAGTGATACTACGGGTGTCGGACTAGTATACTGAAATAGTGAGCTCAAGTCTGGCCAAGGGCATACATCTATTTCATAAAAGGTTGTCATCAGACGATAGGTGATAGGTCATTCCAAGACGGAAAGGAATCATGGGTATACAACTCGGTAAATAGTTCTTGCTGAGTGTTGTACATTTGTTTTTTTTTAACTGGATAACAGTTTTTTTGTATAGTATTCTGTTACAAATAGAGCAAATATAATATGGACCCTCCCTAATCTTACTTCGAAAAGCTGTGCTATTAGGACTGAATCTTACAATACAGTACTTAACACTTTTTGCTTTTGTTTTCATATTGTGCTGAAAAATACAGCTGAAGCAATATTCCACAGCACTTACTGATCATCCATTGTGGAAACAGTGTTTAGACTGATGGCCGATGAAGAACAGGGCGAATATGAAAAAAAAGACTGGGTCGAGGAAGTCCGTGAAAAGAAAATGGCGGCTGTTTTGATCGTGCAGGTTGAGTAGGTAGGCTTGTGTCTCTTCCCCCGTAAAAGTAAATTTGGTTGATTATTTAGGGTAGTCCGTAGGGGTAGTCCGCAGGGTAGTCCGCGGAGTAGTCCGTGGGGTAGTCGGCGGAGCGAGGGTCAGTGGGTAGTCCGCGGAGCGGGGGTCAGTCTTTTCAGCTCTCCCCTTTAAAAGCATGTAAGGCTTTCATGGCCTTCAAGCGTTCGCGACTCAATCCGTTCCAAAAATACCGCTCAATAACATCTTTTGGTGTGGATTGACCGCGAACAATACGACTTGTGTATGTGTCTGTAAGTATTTTGAATGTTTGCACCATAAAGCTCCACGTAATTGTAAAAATTGTAGGTACAAATTGTAATCGTAAACCAAAAACATTGAACTTTCATCGCCAAAACAACAACCCCAGAACAAATACAAAGTGGCTGAAGTGGCTGACAAAAGAGTTTTATATCCAAATATCTCGTGGTTCGTCATGTGACCCGGCCCTGTCGGTGCATGGCAACATCAATCATCATCAAGATAACACACGTGATCAGCATGTGAGCACCTTCACCCTCATTGGATCACAGTTAGTTGTCTTGGTGTTGAGGGCCCAATGATCACTGGGTACTATGGCACAATTTTTCCATTTTGTGGTGGAGGAAAAAAAAAAGACGACAAAAAAACAAAGGCGTTTTATGACTGAGCTACCATAGGTATCCCAATAAAAATATCGTATTTTTTCACGTGTGTTGATATAGCCAATCAGCTGCTGACACGTCACTTGCCTTTGGCGCCACTCGGTCAGGTTGACAAATGAACAGTAAAGCCTTCACGATTCTCAATACAAGTTGTTCGTCGGAGCTTCTCGAATTATGGCGGCTGAAACACTAAAAAATCCGTATCGCTGACAGACTGTGAGGTTCAAACTTTCTTAGAAGATGAAGGAAACCAATATACTAAAAGAAAAACCGAAAGTTACATATTCAGTGGCTTTGGTGTTAGCATTTTCTCGGCTGAAATGAAAATCGAGAACTGGAAGATTTGCCACTGGCCGATTTTGGCCGTTTACTTGAAAGACTTCCTCTGTCGGTTAGGGCAAAGTCAATAAATGAGAATTTTGTAAATTGAAAATTACGACCATTGTTGTTTTTGTAATCATGATACAACGCATTTTTCCATCTTAAGAGTTAGCGCCAACGCACTCTAAGATTGTTATTTGGGGATTGTCGATTCATTTATTTTCATTCATTAATGAAGTCATCAGCTTTTTAAAAACACTCGAAGAGAAATTCCATATCTACGCGCCCCCATGAATTTTTGTCTATTCCAATGTCTCGGTTGACACATAACCCGAGCTTAATTACGATCCCGCCTAGACCCTTCCTCTTCCCTATCTCACCTTCGAAACGGAGCATATACTAGTCTCGCCTTCCTATTTTCATCCCGCATCTCGCCTTAAAAATTTCTCGTATCTTACATCCCGCCTCGATTTTAAGCTTTGTCCCGCATCCTGTTAAACCTATGTTGGACCCTCATAAAAGATGTACTTTGCAACTTGTGACCTATTTATTAAGTGTCCTATGACATTCTTCAGTGCTTATATTTAGAAAGTTTGACAAGGCTGTCGGGTTTAATTTCCTCTCTATAAATCATGATTTGCGGAGTGTTCACGATTGTCACTTTATGGGTTAATATAAATGCCCAGTATCTCACAGCTATTGCAGATAATTGGGAATGCTAATTTCAGTTTAATTGGATGTCACGCCAATAATTGACTTGTAGCATCTGGGACAAAAACAAGTTTCACAGTTTATCAGTCCGCGAACCTTTTCCGCGCGAATAGATTTCTTGGCAGTTTGCTCCCAACTTCGGTCATTAGGAGCCTGTAAGTTTTACACATCACAGATAAAAAATTTTGCCACTAGTACATTGCAGGCAACCAATACGAGGAAAAGATTACAACACTATTAACCCTTTACACCCTAACATCAGTATGCATATTCTCCATGCTGACAAGGAGAATTTGTTTGACAACCAAGAGCTTGCTTAGTTGGTGATCATATTTTTCTTTATTCTCGTGACCCTTATGTGTGATTCAAGGGTGATACAGCAACTAGAAATTAGATGCTTGTCACTCCGAGGGTGCAAAGAGTTAACAAAAATCGAGTTATTTGGTTACCCTTCTCCTGTTACACTTTTCAGGTAGCACACATTCTTCTCAGACGTTTAGAAACTGTTACTATTTCTTAATCAAACACACTAACTCAATCACTGAAACTAACTGTTTCGCTTCAAAATGAATGGATAACAATAACGAAAACCTTTTCTCTCTGGCAAAGATAAAGATAAAAAATCATAGGTCCCCGATAAAAACAGAGTCACACACTAAGGAAAGTATGACTATAATACAAGTGGAAAAAAAAAAGATGGGATGTCATGGAGAAGGGAAGCTTTGAAGTTAAGAAAACGGACATCAGAGTTTTAAGAGATGAAGGGTTTTTGTCAGTCACAGTGTTTTCCAACAAACCAAGAGACTTTGAACAATCAGAGAGCGCTTAACATAAACTACAGCACAGATATTTTCATCTTTGATTTTTGCCTCCTTTCTTAGTCAAACAACAATACTTAGTATGACACACAAGAAAACAACGGTCGCATTACTAACAACACTTGTGCATCTTACCTGGGAGGCTGCGGATGACACGCTTTTTCCACGTTCAACTATCTCAAAGATGACACTACTGATGGTAGATTCAAGTTCACCGCCATCAAACGCCATTTTACCAAACAAATAACCATCCTAAAAACAAACACAAAATGCTAAATAAGTACCACTTTATTCCCACTGCTGACGTGAATTCTGCGCAACAAAGTTCCTTGATGTATTGATTCTTTTCTTGTAATCGCTATGACAGAATATTAATTAAAACAAAATTACTGAGTTTAGCTACATCTTCAGACTCACAAAGGTCGTTAAAAAGCGATGTCGCCAAAGGCGACAATTGTAAAGTTCAGCAATAACATTTTTACTGGAATCTAAGATATATAAAAACAAATTTCCTTTGTGGCATAACTACTTAAGAGTGTAAAGAAATGTTTCGCTTTTTTGTCACAAAATAAGTACTTCTTTTGTACCTCGAAACGCGATCAAATATCCGCGAAAACAGCTACCAAAGGCCATACCTCGAAGTCAAGAAATTCTATGGACTAACACAATCGACGGCTGTGTCGCGAATCGTAGAGGGACTTAGTGCACAAATTTTATGGCAAGGTGTTTTCTCTTCTGATTTGCAAATGGTAAGTGCCAACTGAAACGAATAATTTACCACAATTTCCTGTGTTTTCTTGTAGGCCTTCACCAAATGAGTTGACTTGATAAGAGACAGAAAGAGCAAGCCATTCTCCGAAAGAACACGCAACCTACAAAGACAAAAAAGGAATCAAACAGATGTGTTTGCAAACGAAACGTTTGGGTAAAAAGTGCAAAGAGAAAATCCACATGTCACAGGTCTTTGTACACTCGTGCAAAATGCAAATTATCAAATTTGATAAAACATGCAAAACGATGTTTCTTCCAGGAAATAATAGATAAGAACAAAGGGAACCCCAAAGGAATCTGGAAGGCGCTCAAGACTTTAGGCGGTGTTAAGAAAGACCAAGTTACTAGCAGACAACTAATTACGGAGCATGGCGCCATAACAGATAAACAAGAAATTGCTGAATATATGAATGACGCTTTTATCAACACTGCTTCCAAGATTATCCCTGGTAGTCAGTGCGTCGCAGATTTAAATCTTGATGATGTGGCTCTATATGAGTTTGTAAAGTCAAAGTCAGTCCTTTGAAATACCACCTATTACTGAGGCGCAGATGCTTGATCTCATTAACAAGATCCCTTCAAGTAAGGCGATTGGATGTGACGGCCTCAATGCGAAGGTTCTTAAGTTAGCAACTTCTGTTCTGACCCACCCCCTTTGTCGCCCTATGAATCTTTCTATATCTACTGGCTGCTGTCCATCGACATGGAAAACCACTCAAGTCACTCCCTTGTTAAAAAATGGCTCTCGTGAAGACACAAGCAACTACCGACCAATTTCTGTATTGCCTGTTCTTTCGAAGATACTTGAACGACACGTTGCAACATCCCTTTGCAAATACCTACATAGCTACGATTTGCTTACAACCTTCAGTCAGCTTTTCGACCGAGTCATTCTACGGAAAATGTACTGATGAAATTAACTGATGAACTGCTCTTTAATATGGATAATGATATGGTCACTGGCTTAGCTTTTTTCGATTTTAGAAAGGCCTTCGATGTGATAAATCACGAGCTTTTACTAAAGAAGCTATCTATCTATGGGGCCAGTGATATATCATTAAAGTGGTTTGGGTCACATCTTACCGAAAACAAACAATATGTGCATGTAAATGGCTGCTGTTCCACCAGTAAACAGTTGTTACAAGGAGTGCCTCAAGGATTGGTCTTAGGACCTATTCTCTTCCTATTGTTTGTGAACGACACGTATACGTGATTCAACACTAGACGTTTATGCTGATGATACAACTTTATCCAAAACCTCTAGCTGGGAAAATGTCCCTTATCTGACACAGGCTCTCAATCAAGATCTCAAACGTTTAGATGAGTAGTCGGCACGTAACAAGATGTCTATTAACTCTCAGAAAACCGAGTCCATGCTGGTAACAGGGAAACGTTTGCGGAACCTTGTCGCCTCTACCACAATAGATGTTAACTTAAATGGAAGAAACATTGAACATGTAACTGATTTCAAACTTTTAGGGGTAACGTTAGATCGTGATCTTTCATTTAATCGCCAGATTGAGGAGTTCTGCAAAAGTTGGCGAAACGTATTGAACTCCTTCGTCACATACGTCCATATTTAAAACGCAGTCAACGAGACATATACTACTCTACGATCATTAAACCTATAGTGCCTTACGGCAGTATGATTTGGACTTCTTGCAGTAAAGAAAATCTTTTAAAAGTCCTGCTTCTTCAAAAACGTGCGGCTAGAATAATTCTTGATGCCAAAAGAACAACACCTTCTGTCGGCTTACTTAACCCCCTAAAGTGGATTCCTTTTTATGCTGAATCATACGTAAATCGATGTACTTTAGCCTACAAAAGGCTGAATGGCAATACCCCTGAGTATATAAATGATTTACTCATCAGAAACTCTGACACACATAATAGATCAACCCGTTTCTGTAATCTTAACTTAAGTTACCCTGGATATTTGGAAATCAAATTATAAACAACAGCGTCCTTACCGCAAGGCGTCAAACCAACTTCTTTAAATATCGGCCAGTAATGAAAAGGAGCGAGCTGAGATTGTGTCAAGCTTCAAGCAAATGAACCTGTGAACGCCGATTTTGTAAGTCAACCGTGACAATAAGACAGTGTAAGTACTACACTTGTATTCATGCAAAGGAATTTTCAATGTCCTACAAAGCAAAACAACGTTGTAAAAAACTTGTGAAGCTTGAGCGAATGATGAAATCCTTAAGCTATATATAGGCCAGCACATTCAAAGGGTGTTTGTTGAGTGCTTAGTCACCGTGAAGAGCATCTTGTTTTCCCTTTTCTTCCTTTCCACTTCTGAGCTGATAAGAATGTTGACTTTCACCATAGGACTTGCATTCAAGAAACATTTATACAGATTGTTTTATCCTCGAGATTTTGTAATCTTTCAGTTGTTATACTAATATATTCTGGCTGGATTACTAATGCATGTCAGATTTAAAATCACATGCAAAATTACGTAGATTTCTAGTTTTGGATACGAGACAAATCCCCTTTTTTTTGGAGATCAAAAGTACGTAGTTTCTGATATATTTGGAGAAAGCCATGATGAGGATGAAAAACCATCATCGGCCGATGAACCGTCAGCAAGTCCTTATACTGACCTCAGTCAGCACCTGGGAGACCGCCTGACTGATTATGAAATGGTAGAGGATCTTATTGAGAGAGGAATGTTGGCAGAGAACGAGGATGGGACACTGTACATTCAACTCAAGTGAGAAAGTTAAAGAAGAAAGCAAGTTGATTGTTTGGAGTGAATGTGGCCTTGTAGTACTTTACTCAATATTACACGCCAAACCAAAGACATGATCAGTTTAATTTATTATGCAATTAAAGCTTAGTTAGTGTAAGTGGTGTAGCTATTGTAGGCGACAACTTACTTGCAGCTGTTTGCTATAATCATTAACGTATCAATAAAGCGGCAAAAGCTTTTGTCGCCTCGTTTGTTTTTTCCAATACAATCGGATTTTATTTGTCACAGGGTAGACTTGCAGACTTCTCTCAATAAAACTTGTGTTAAAATGGTACTGATTGTGTGACATGGATTTTATTGACAAAATGCGCCAAATTTGATAAGCCCTGAAAGAGCTCGAAAGCTTTCTCCACTTATCGTCTAAGTTGATGTTAACCTCCTCCTTATGGTATGACAAAAATGCATAAAAAGCATTTAGACATTGCGCCTTTTCGCACACGTGAAGAAAAATGCCCTTTTGTTTCAAGATTTGACAAGCTTCTTCATCAAAGTTCGTGGCAGCGTCTGACCAAAGAGCTGGGCGTTGACGCTTTTACTGGTCTTATAGCGCTTGGACTTGACGGTAATACCAATCTCACCGGTCGATCGCAGTTATCCAGAGTAAAAGAGAGACGTACAAAACATCTGATAGTCATGAAGAATGCCTCGTGAGGCAAAACCCCCGAGTTTTATAGGCAAGAGAAAAGATGGCTTATATAGCTTCTTCAAAAGATATTTCTCAACGCTAAAATATTCATCTATCAATTCATTTTTGTTTCATCTTTCCCCTGCAAAAGGGTTTTTTGACTAAAGGAACTGTAGAGTAGAGCTTCAAAACATCGTTGTGTATGTTGACACTGACGAAGTACTTAATTACGCAAAGACTGTTTCGGGTCTTTTAAAGTTTTGTTAAATCGTTAACCTTGAAACATTAAGCTAAAATTTACTCTGCAAATAGCAGGTCATAAATAAAAAAGCGATATGAACAATGCGGTACATAAAAGAGGGACCGACGCTATTTTTCATTCCATCCCGTCATCCCGCCATCCCGCCGCAATGAACATTTTCATACCGATCCCGCCGGGTGAAACTCAAGTTTCTCTACTTCACCATCAACTGACGGAAAAATTAGAGCCTTTACAATATTGATAATGTACTCTCGTTACTGAGGAAGAAAAGACTTACTTAACGCATATTTAGCCGGCTTAAGAAACGGTTGTTTACGGTCTATATAAGCGAGACAAAAACTCCACCTGCCGAAGGACTAACAGAAAAGCTTTCTTTGTACATCAATAAAATTCTTCAGCCGATTGCACAACAATAGAAGTCAAATCTCAAAGATACAACAGACTTTATGAACTTCATAAAAAAAAAGAGAGCTACTGTAAGAAGTGATACTCGTTTTAATGGACGTTACGAGCCTACACACAAATATACCCCCACCCCCCCCCTTTCCAAAGCGCCTACTAGAGAAAGCACTTAAACTGATTTTGAAGGAAAACCCATCCCAATTTAACGGACAAAGTTACTTGCAAACTCATGGAAGCGCCATAGGTACCAAAACGGCAGTAGCTTTGGTAAATATCTTCATGGCTGAAATCGAGATGCAAGTCGGGAGCCCGTTTGGAAAGCCTTCATCGACGACATAATATCTCTCTTGCACACCAACAGATACGTCGTCAAGCATTTCATTGAACAAGCAAATAATCACCACCCACCAATCAAATTTGCAGCTGAAACATCTGTTTCAGAAGCTACTTCCTTAGACACAACAATCTATGAGGGTGAAAGATTCAACAGGGAGTCAGTTTCAACATGAGAACCCATTTCAAACCAACAGAGACATTCGTGCACAAATTCTACACAATGTGTCACCTACAAGGAGCACTGAAAGGCCTCGTGAAAGGCGAAGTGTTACGACTTCCCAGAACTAATTCTTCCAAAGAAGAGTAGAAGAGAACATTAAACAGTTAAAAATATAACTGACTGTGAGAGACCACCCAAAAAACAATCTCACAAGTGAAATTTGAACGACGTAAACGGGCCCTCCTTTATCAAGGAAAAACAAACAATAAAATCTTACCCTTTGTAATAACACAATATTATTCAACCGTTCCAAACCGTAAAGAAATTCTTATGAGAAAATGGCATTTAGTACAGCAACAACCACTGAGAAATCTTCAAAGAACCACCAATAATATCATACAGGAAGGGGGTTCACTCAGACATACTCGTGAGAGAGAAAATTATAACAAGGCGAGAAAACCGGAGATACTATGAAGTCGTGTAAACACTTGTAACTAATACAGAGAAAACTGGACGTACTCTGGAGTCATTTAGGCCTGTCAACCCCAGTTTGCACGGGAGTATTCATAAAGCTCGTTTCTAAAGGAAATAGATACTTTTCAATGTCTCGGTTAACGCGTAACTTGTGCTTAATTATGATCTCGCCTATACCCGTCCTCTTCCCTATCTCGCCTTGGAAACGGAGCATATCCGGGTCTCGCGTACCTATTTTCATCCCGCATATAGCCTTTAAAATTTCTCGTATCCCACATCCCGCCATCCCAATTTCTCGTCCCGCATCCCACCAAGCCTGTGTTGGACTCTCATGAAAGATGTACTTTGCAACTTGTGACCTATTTATTAAGTGTCCTATGACATTTTTCAGTGCTTAAAATTATAAAGTTTGACAAGGCTGTCGGGTTTAATTTCCTCTCGATTAATCATGATTTGCGGAGTGTTCTCGATTGTTACTTTATGGGTTAATATAAATGCCCAGCATCTCACAGCTACTGCAGATCCTTGAGAATGCTAATTTCAGTTTGATTGGATGCCAGGCCAATAATTGACTTAGGGCATCTGGGACAAAAACGAGTTTCACAGTTCATCAGTACGCGAACCTTTTCCGCGCGAATAGATTTTTCAGAAGTTTGCTCCCAACTTCGGTCATTAGGAGCCTGTTAGTTTTACAAATCACAGTGAACATTGCGGATGGCGAAATAGGCAGTTACTGTTTTCCAGCAGGCAACCAACACTACGCCAAATGCGATCTGTGTTCTGTGATCTGTGATCTGTGATCTGTGATCTGTGATCTGTGATCTGTGATCTGTGATTTGTGATTCGTGAGAGCTAAACATGGCTGCATGGTGTTGAGTTCACTGAAAAATCGATCATGTTGTCCATGTGAATTCTTCTTCCAGTGATTTTACCGCACTAAGGGGCTTGCTGATACTGAAACAACAACAACAACAAAAAACCTTAGTCTATCAATAATCCTGTGTAATGAAAGCGAGTGAACTTTGACAACATTTGACTTATCGAAGGTTCAAAGTTCAGGCTGTCCACATCGCTTGATTAGTTTCCATACCATGATAAAAATGACAATATAGCTCCGCCTCTAGGTTACCTCCTAACCTCCCTTCCCATCTCGAATATTTCGTTAGATTTCCCTTACAGTTCACCAGTACTACTTTGAACGCCTGCGCAGAGGGAATTCATGTGTCAGTGAAGCGTCTAGGACAATAACGAAACACAATGAACGTGGTGAAGGAATTTCAAACTTGAACATGGCCATGCAAATCATCTCCCGAGATTGAAAAGATTTCAGTCATAGCTTGTCTGACTGAAGAGCTCCTAAAGCTGTGCAAGCTTTTTTGCAAAGGTGTTTTGACAAAAGTTTGGTATAACATCACGTTGTGATGCACACAACAGTAGCGTTTTATTGTAAGAATCAGTGGTAGTGTCGTTTCTTTTCACACCCACCTGTTAAATTCTTCTTTTATTTCTTCCACTTTGGATGGATGACAACAGATGGCACAAGAAGACTGGGCCGGGTCAAATAATGGCGCAATATACTTATGTCCTACTCTCATCAGGTCTTCTAGAGATACTTGAGGTATCCTTTTCAACAGGTTTCTGCAGAAAAGTAAAAACCAACCACGAATGGGTAATTGATATTAGGGTTTGACTTTGCATTAACCCTTCATAAATTAACATCAGTATGCACATTCTCCACACTGTTCTTTATACATTTCGTAAGGTGCTGACAAGGAGAACTTGAGTAACAATCAAAAGCTCCTCAAGTTGGTGATCATTTCGTTTATTCTCGTGACCTTAACGTGTGGTTCAGGGGTTATATTGTAGGGAGAAATTAGATGCTGGTCAATCTAAAGGGTCAAAGGGTTAAGGTAGGGGGCTTTAAATGCTAGAATAAGAATTTCAGCCAAAAGGACGTTGCAAAAAACTGAGTTGGAAAGTGGACTTTTTTTTCAACAAAGGTGAAGAACTTAAAACCATCGAAGCAAACTTGGAGGGAAACGATTTCATCTTTTGTATTCCGCCTGTTACACTTTCATAAAACCACAAACTTAGATGTTAAAGACAAACCTGTTGTAGTCAGGACCAACACCTCTAAACTGGGACATCAAACTCTAAGAGGAAAAGATCACAACGCTATAAACCCTTTACACCCTAACACCAGTATGCATATTCTCCATACTGTTTTCTATCAGTATCTGGACAAATGCCCACCTACTCCTCCCCTAACCCAACATTAACCCTAACTTGTTATCAATTGACTGTTGTTGGGTTAGGGGAGGGGTAGGTGGGCAGTTGCCCAGATACTCATATCGATCCACATTTCGTATGGTGCCTTCAAGGAGAATTTGTTTAACATTAAGAACTTCCTTTGTTGGTGATCATTTTCTTTATTCTCGTGACCCTCATGTGCGATTCAGGGGTGATACAGCAAGGACAAATTAGAAGCTTATCACTCCTTGGGTGTAAAGGGTTAATTTGGTTACCCTCCTCCTGTTACACTTTGCACGTAGCACACTTTCTTCTCAGACGTCTAGAAACTGTTACTATTTCAAACACACCCACCCAATCACTAAAACTTATTGTTTCGCTTCAAAATGACTGGATAAAAATAACGAAGACCTTTTCTGTCCGAATCAAAGGTGAAAATAAAAAATGATTGGCCCCTAACGAAAACAGTGTTACACACCAAGGAAAGTATGACTATAATACAAGGGGAAAAAAAGATAGGATGTCATGGAAAAGGGAAGCTTTGAAGTTAAGAAAACGGACATCAGAGTTTAAAGAGATGAAGGGTTCCGGAACCCAGGTAGATCTATTTGTTGCATGTTTTTTTAAACTTTTTTGGACCCACTGACCGTGCACAAAGTTCAGTAACATTCCAATCACCATAACCAAAATGACCAACAGAAACTTCTAATTTATTTCTTTTTTATTTATTTTACAGTGTTTTCCAACAAAAACAAGAGACTTTGTACGATTAGAAAGCGTTCAGCATAAACTACAGCACAGTTGCTTTCATCTTTGATTTTTGCCTCCTTTCTTAGTCAAACAACTATATTTAGTATGACACAAGAAAACAACGGTCGCATTACTAACAACACTTGTGCATCTTACCTGAGAGGCTGCGGATGACACGCTTTTTTCACGTTCAACTATCTCAAAGATGACACTACTGATGGCAGATTCAAGTTCACCGGCATCAAACGCCATTTTACCAGACAAATAACCATCCTAAAAACAAACACAAAATGCTAAATAAGTATCACTTTATTCCCACTGCTGACGTGAATTCTGCGCAACAAAGTTCCTTGATGCATTGATTCTTTTCTTGTAATCGCTATGTGAGAATATTAATTAAAGCAAAATTACTGAGTTCAGCTACATCTTCAGACTCACAAAGGTCGTTAAAAAGCTATGTCGCCAAAGGCGACAATTATAAAGTTAAAGCAATAACAATTTTACTAGAATCTAAGATGTATAAAAAATATTTCCTCTTTTTGGCATAACTACTTAAGAAAGTAAAGAAATGTTTCGCTTTTTTGTCACAAAATGAGTACTTTTCTTTTTAGCTCGAAACGTGAGCAACTATCCGCGAAAACAGCTACCAAAGGCTACACCTCGAAGTCAAGAAATTCTACGGACTAACACAATCGACGGCTGTGTCGCGAATCTTAGAGGGGCTTAGTGCACAGATTTCATGGCAAGGTATTTTCTCTTCTGATTTGCAAATGGTAAGTGCCAACTGAAAAGAATAATTTACCACAATTTCCTGTGTTTTCTTGTAGGCCTTCACCAAATGAGTTGACTTGACAAGAGACAGAAAGAGCAAGCCATTCTCCGGAAGAACACGCAGCCTACAAAGACAAAAAGGGAAAAAAACAGACGCGTTTGCAAACGAAATACTCGGGTAAAAAGTGTAAAGAAGAAATCCACATATCATTTTATAGCAAAAATTTATCGAGCGCGGAAGAATGCACAACTGGTTCAGTTTGAAACCAGGATCAGAACACGCCTGGCCGATCAATGCTTGAAATAAAGTAAAACAATCAGAATCATAAACTGTATGCTATAATCGATCAAATGTTTGCCTTGCTTGAACCGATCCTTTAGGAAGGAAAAATGCATGTGGTGCCAAGCACTGGAAAACAGCTTGGGCTAGTTGGTGTTGCAATACAACACTTGTTTGTTTTTTGTAACCCTGTATCAGCGTCCGTTTTAGAGCACATTTCGATTGAGTGCCGTAAACCAAAACCGAAGCAATCACAACAGCCAATCAGAGGAACGGAAAATATCACACAAAGTCAATGAGAACTCAACGTATACACAAGCAAACTCAGTGAAACTTGGACAAATGCAAATGATCAAGTCGCGATTGGGATTAGTTTTGAATGCGATTGGTTTAGAAAGAAGCGCGAGTTTTCTTAGCCAATCACAAAGCAAACTATGGCTAAATTAAAGCAAACCCGAATTACATTCGACACTCAATAGTAAATTCCATGAAGAACATGGGTCGAGTTGAGATAACAAAAAAGGGATTATAATTTTTGATCCCTGTCTCTGCAGCAGCGCGATGAGGATTTTTCCACTCGCGCCTTACGATAGCTTAATATTTATTCAAGCCACTCAAGTTGACCCGTTCCCAACAGGAGTAACACTTAAATGTTTTGACAAAATCTCGTTCTTATCGTTTGAATCTTCCAACCTTTTTATCAGAGCAGTGAGATTACCTACCCGTATCCATAGGATAATCCCAGCCCGCGAACTTGGCGCCATATTGGACCCTGGAAGAGGAAAGGCATAAACATTCTTTCCAATTAAAATTAAAAGCATACTTGATCCGCTCTAGATTTAGGACATTTTCTTGACCTAATTTTTAATTTTATGTTTTGTAAAAGGCTTTCCATCATGCTCTATAACCTTTTTCCACAGAAAGAAAACAACCAAGTCCAAGTTGTACGAAAATTAAAAAAATCCGTAACCATGGTTCATTAAAGTCATGAAAAATTCTGGGGTTGAATAGTTCTCAAAAAATCTGTACTTTTGATAGTTTGTCTTTGGAATGAACCCTTCATATTGTTTTTGATTAGACAGAGCGCTTTTCGATTGAGCGTGTAAGCTAAAGTAAGCACAACTAGCCAATCAGAACAAGGAAAACAACACAAGGAACCAATGAGAGCTCAATGGCCTGAAGCGCGGGAAAATGTGGATAAGTAGGTCGCATTTGGCTTTTGTTTAACACCGGATGGATGTAAAAGGTTTTATATGCTGCCCTGGCCAATCACTAAGCGTAGTGAAGTAAGACCAGAGCAATCTTGCATAACTTTTCCCAAGAAATTTAATTTTTCAAGTTTTTCTTGACTCCATACTCGTAAATTACACGCTGGTTCACCTCTAAAGTGGTCAAACATTCCAAGAACACCATGATTGCGGGGAGGTCTGGATGATCAAAACTGTCAATACACCGAGTGGTTTGGTAAAGAAACGACGACTCCACTGCTCCAACACCGACTATTTTACCATGGCTAGGACTATCGGCAAGGTAAGCACTGGATCTCTTAACTGGCGGGATGCTGTAACAAAACAAAAAGAAGGAAAATTGTTGCGAAAAAAGATTTCGACGCAGCTAAAGCTATAAACATTCATAAGGTAACATGAAAATTTAACATCGGTGACTATATAAAAAAAAAAGCTTTACTTCTTTGGTATTACAGCAGAGGTATCAGGTAACAGGTTTGTTTTCCATGGCACATGCGGATTATCCGGTAATCTGTTCACATCGGCTGCCACGTGAACACGTAAGTTTGAAGGCTGCGTCAAAAGAGATCGAAGCTTTTCAACTTTTTCTATGACCTGAAAAAAAAGAAAAAAAAAAGTTTAGACAATTTTCCATATGAATGGACCATTTTCAAACTGTTCTGAGAATTATAGGCCTGGGAATAGGCCTTATGACACACTTTGGACCGAGAATTTGAATTTCGGAAGAAAATTTTGGGTTGTGAAATAGGATCTTAGATCCCCCATCCTCGCCCGCCTTCATGACCTTTGTACCGAGACGAAGGCCCTACATTCAGCCCTATGCCAAAATGGAATAAGTTTCATGTGTCGCACAACAGCTATAAGGACAACGCTTGTCCGCGCTCGTGGCAAGACGAAAGAACATCTTTCTTTATTTCTTTACCGAGCTCAAAATTTACCATCTCTCTCATTTCTATCTACAAACATTACGCTATCGACATTGCTGATCCTAGCAGTATGCAGGACGCGTGTCATATGAACTTCGTAATAGACCTCACTCACCATGGAGTCTCTGCGGCTCAGTAGTTGAGCATCGGAGCGCGGAATCCGAAGGTCTGAGGCTCGATTCCTCATGGGGACTCAGAAATGTTTCTTTGTCCCGCGCTCGTGACAAGACGAAAAAACATCTTTCTTTAACAGCTATATATATTTTATGTTAGCAGGGTTATTCTCACCATGTTACAAGCATACATGACAAGCTCACAAACCTTGGATGCATCATTTTCAAGGTCAGAAATCAACTGGTTCAGGAAACTGTACTGCCTCACCATGTTGGCTGAATACATATTACTTTCTGAAAAGTGGGGCAAAAAAAACAAGTAATTGATAAGGAGATTCTAAGATAAGGCATTTCTGAATCATGGTAAAGCAGTGAAGCGCTATAAAATTAATGAATGTTTCTCATGAGGCACTGTCGCTATGTTTATCGCACAATTCCTGCTATTCCTATGCCAGGCTTCTTCAGGATTTATAAAGCTAAATATAAACTATTTAATCTTAATTTTACCTTTAGTAAACACAATGTCTCTTATTAGAGCTTTAGTCACAGGTCGCATTTCTCTCTTCTTGCTGGTGTGAAAGGAAACCATAGATTGTTTAGTGCCTGCTCTTGCAAAGTTTTCACATGGCCACATACGAGTATATACTAAAAGGGGATTAATGCCTAGCCAAGACCCAGTAATGCTTTGGGAGGGATAGATGCCTGGTAATTGTTAGTCAAAAGCACAGGGGTGGACAGGGTAGACTCTTGATCTTAGATCAAAGGAGAAGGACATCATTTGTGCTCACATTCCAAGTAAACTTCCCTTCTAAAAAAAACCCGTCTACTTAAAGGATATAAACAAAACAACAACAACAACAAAAAACAAAACAAAACAATAAAACTTCGTCAGTTGTTTATAGTTTTACTTCTTATTTCCAGCATTCTCACCTCGCCACATCATTCATCATCTTTTTTCCCACAATCTCGAGCCTATCTTTCGTGAACTGAGCCTTGTACAGCAAATCCTGTAGCCAGCGGATTCCCTTCTCATACTTCTCGACTTCAAGCTACGGAAGAATTTCGCAGGAAACAAGTAGAACATTATTTCAAACATATTGTAACGTTTCTGACTCAATGTAGGGTATTCGAGGTTATTATGAAGCACAGGAGAGCGCAAAACTAAATATCATCTGATATTTGCAGCTAACCTTTAGAGTAATGCAAGCAAGTTGTGGGAACTCTTCTGGCGTGAATCTGCTTCCTTTCAGTCCTAGAGAAGACACATGGTCAAGAGTGTCTGCAGCAAGCTCCGCTACCACTTGCTCATGCGGAATAAGAACTGAAATTCAAGTAAATGAGAAGTTACAAGAAATCAGTTTAATCATGTTGGTATTCTTCTCGAAGTTTTTTAACGGTTCATTAGAAGTTAGAGAAATTCTCCTAAGTCTGGGTGGTAGATTCGTCACCTCATCTGATGATGACGATGATAATATTTGATGGAAAATTTAGCATCAATTCAGCTAGATCTATGGCGCTTCCTCGGTGATGACACAGCTGATGGTGTCCGCAACCTGGTAATGACCCGCAGACTCCTGACACTTCTCCATAATGCTCCATAGGATGTGTCGGAGGTGTTACTTCACAGAAAAAAAAAAAAAAAAAAAAAAAGACACGTGAAGCCCGTGAGAGATATGTTATATGCTGACCTTGATCGATCAAAGTAAAACTGTGCTCGCGTTCTTCTTTTGTGTTTGAGTTCTTAGACACAGACCGAACGAGGCATGTACATGCATCTGTACCTGATGTTAATTCTATCACAACAATGGTGTGAAGAATATTCTTTACTGATTGCAAGGTTACTTGAAAGAGGAAAACTACAGATAGTTTGCATTTTCAAAAAAGCGCAGACTAAAAGATATGTTTGTGCTGGGATTCAGGGAACACATCATACCTCCGTCTCTCAACAAAGGGGACTCGAATATCACTTCTAGGTACAAGCTCAGGTAAGGTTTGAGTTCCTCTGGTACGACCGCTGTATCAAGTAAAACGGTAAGCTGTAAAGAAACACAGAGGAGGCATATTGAACATATTTTTGGAAAAAAGGGATTCGTCCGTTGTCTCGTTCGTCAGCTCGTTTGTTGTCTCGTCCGTTGTCTCGTTCGTTGGCTCGTTCACACGTACGCTCATTAGTTCGTTCGCTCGACGGCTCATTCGCACGTTCGTTCGTTCAATTCTTTAGTTGACCGGTCGGTCACTAAATGTCCCTACTGCTGGAAATAGCTTCTTTCCTACACATGTTCGCATAATAATAAGCCTGTGTCGTACCTTTCACAGGACTGAAAGCATAAGTTTGGAAATTTTATGAACAACTTCAGTTAAGGTTTTGCCCTCGAGTCTTTTTTTGTGTATGCATATCAAAAGTGTTAACATGGAGCTAAAATTGTGATCCTACCTTTGCAAACAATGTGGATACGTGGTCCAGCTGGAACGAATATGGTATCTCCGATACAGGAAACTTCTTTGCTTCATTCTCAGAATCATCGCAGCCATCTTGCCGCCTGTTACTGAACATCTTGATTGGATGGAAACTGATACTGGATGTGGAAGGCACAGGGAGACTGTTCACTATATCCGGAGGGGGAGCTACCTAGAAGTGGGGAATGGAGCACTAAGGTACAACCGTTTTTTTGTAAGACGCGAACAGCGACCGATAGGTAAGTGCACAAGGTTGTTAATAAGTTTAAAAGTCATATCAGAAATAATGTGCGGCCAAGTTACCGTGGACGTTGTTTCGTCAGTTTAAAAAAAAGATCAGCAACTATTTAGTCCCGAGCATTCTATGAAGTTTGCTCGAACCTTCGAGAACATTGTGAAAGACGAATCGACTCACACAAACTGGGATATGGCTACTATGCAGATTGCTTCGATGGCACTTCGATAATTGAACGATTTCTCATCAGAATTATGGCAAAAGGAGGTCAAAGTAGCCGACAAAATATGGCGGTTTTGGCCATCTACCCTCTCTTATTGAGAACTCTGTATGCAACTACTTGCAAGTACTTTGTTACACTCTGACATCAATCAATCAGTTAGGATGCGGCTGTTTCAGCATAACAACCATGACGCTACAGAAAGTAGATTCGTACAAGCTCGGCCGGTGAGTATTGGCAAGTATTTTTCGACGGTTCACATTGTTGTCATGGTAACCTTACGCATTTTCTCGCTTCACCCATAGACTTTCCAGGTACTTTACCCACATAAATCCTTTGGTGATGAGTTTATCAATGTTTACCTCGTTCTCGTCTGTCGCCTTTTCCAGTCTCTGCCGTTTCCTTTTCAATCCTTCCTCACCAAGAGATTCCCGCTGTTCAGCCACTCGTTTCTTTTCTCCTTCTGACATTTCTTTCATTAGCTGCGCACTTGGTTTTCCTGTAATCTAAAAAAGTTATGTGGTCAATCTTCAAAATATCCCTGGCCGCTGTCGTAAGAATGTAACCGAGGATTTACAATATTTCCTTTGTTCCATCACACCCGTGGTCGCAGGAAATGAATTCTTAGCCTTGTAACCCTAAGAGTGGCTAGCATCTAATTTCTCCTTACAATATCACTCCTGAATCACACACCAAGGTCACGAGAATATAAGAAATGATCAGCAACTAAAGAAGCTTTTGATTGCTAAACAAATTCTCCTTTTCAGGAGAATACAGAGGTACAGATGCTAGGGTATAGGGGATTAAAACACCCTCTTAACCTCTTAAATTCAATGGTATTTCTCAAGGTTGTACTTACCGAAACGCTTCGTGATGAAATGAAGTATTTCTTTAAAAAATCCACCCAGAAGGTCACCGATTCTTGCCGAAGCTTTTCCAAACGTTGAATTATTTCTATCCTTTCTTTAAGATCTTCTGACTTGCTGGAGTAAAGGAAATCTCTAACTAGGACATCCGCAAACGTGTCATGAGGGCGGTTTTCAAACCTGTTCTTGGTGTCTAGAATTTTTCGATGGATAACTACATTAAGACGATCCATGTCGATGACTTCTCTACCTTCTGCGAGATTTCCAAGAACCTCTTTTACCTTTTCTTTGGCGGCAGAGAGCTTGTCAAATGAAACATTTTCAGCTCTGATAATAAAAGCACTCTCTAAGAACTCCAGTACATCACAGTCAATATCACTACAAAACGGATCGGGAATTTCAACCAGTTCCCGCTGCAGTGGAGCTATAGAGGTGTCTGAAAGATAGTCAAGAATGACAGATAATGCAGCCTGGCCGTAATGATCTTCACAAGATGGTCCTCGAAAACCCAACATTATAGAACCGGATTCTTCATCCTCAGTTGGGAAGGGGATGATTTTGTCAACAGATTCACCCAGCGGTGGAACTGGCGTCTGCCATGGTCTTACATATGGAGCTAGCGGTTTCTATATGATGAACCAAAATACATTGACAAATTTAATGTATCTAAAAGCTGTTTAAGCAATTGACTGCACTTTCTGTCTGTTCTATACCGGCGTAATAACCCACGCGGAATGCCGGGAGAACACGAGCAAAGTTTGTTAATCACGAGCCAGAGGCGAACTATTTACAAACTTTTCGAGTGAGTGAAGTGCATTCTAGTGCTTTTATGACATAAACTTCATTTCTCTATGGGTTTACCAAAGAAATAATCGATCGATTTTTGACCAATTAGGGCGATCATAGTATCTCAGTTATTTTAGAGAATCAAATACCCGGCTTTGCCCTTTAACTCCCATGAGTGACCAAGACAGAATTTCTCCTTACAATATCGATACAATATAAAGCAAACAAGTGATGAGAAAAAAAGAAAAATATCCATTAGGGGATTATTGGTTGATCCAATACCAAATTCTCCAAACTAACATGACAAGAACTGTATGGTAGACAGTAAGGAGAATTACGAATGAGATCTTGGGAGTTAAAGGTTTAGTAATTTTTTTACTGTTAGTTTCGTCGGTAAGGTCAGAACCTTACACTGTGGATACGTCGTTCAGCTGTGACGATTATGGTATCTCCGCTACAAGAAACTTCTTTGTTTCACTCTCAGAATATTATACATGTTAGGTTTCAGCACCTTATGTGTGGTTTAGTTGCTTTAAGTCTCCTTATGGCAGATTTTTGTGGTATCTTACAACGAAGAGAGCCAATAATTACAAGTTCTTAACTGAGTTACACAACTCTGGAACTGATGGTATGTCATGAAGCTAAATGAGAAATTTATCAAGACTTGGGAAAGAGACAAGTTGGAAAAGCCAACGATGGTCTGTTTTAGGTGTCCAGCAGTTAAAACGGAGCGAAATCCACGCGAAGTAGTAAACCTTACGATAGCAACCGCAAAGCAAAAAAAACGGAGGAAATAAAAACGGCTTGAGTTAGGTTGTGTTGAGAACAGTTGTAGAATTCTTGAACAAAACTTCCCTACGCCTTTTGGGACCACCTGGTCGGGTCGTGTCCATTACTCGACCCGCCCCAACCCTTTCTCTTTTTTTTTTCACTTGCACCGTTTACTATCGCGCCTGGAACAATCTAATATTCCATTCATACCAGCAAGTTTCAAGTAGTCACTAACTTTTAATTTCAAATGTGCTATATTTGAAGTCGACAAACATCGTTGTAAGCAGTTGCTATGAAGAAAACAATATTCAACCGTGTTTAACCAACAACTTGAAAACATGTTTAAGCTTTGGTGTGAGTGGGGTATAAGACAAATAAGTAAGATAACATGTCTAGAAACAGCAGGGCTTGGCCAAAATGATACACTGACAATGATCTTTAGTTTGACAGAAAGAGCATATCAAATTTGCAGAAATAAGAGAAGAAGCACATGCATGCAATAATTTTGGGACTGGAACTTTCAACAAGGACATGGAGGAGTCTAAAATAACAATTTTATTTTGCACAAAATTGACTGATTGAATAAACTTGGACAAACAGGTTACTTACCTTGCCAATAATTTTTTCTTCAAAGGGATTGACAGCCTCAAAGACTTTATTTGGATCAATCTGTCCAGTGATGATAACACACAAATTTTCTGGACGGTAATACTGTTGATGGTAGTTACAGACCTGCAATGCAGTAAAAGAGTAAATTTGGTATAGACAAAGATGCATTTCAGCATATATTGAAAAATAAAAAGGATCTAATCAGAGATGCTAAGCATGTTAAGCATGCAATCATCTTATTTTTAGTAGCACTTTCATAAAGAACTCCTGCAAAAGCAGAGAAAAAAAAAACATAATCAGCTGCAATTTGTCTGGAAATCACATTGCCTTGCATGGGCCTTCCACTTGCCTCTGAAGATGACCTCTTCTGAGGTTATTTCAAACTGTCTGGCAGTCACTAACAAACTAACTAATAGTCCTTCTCAGGACTATTCTAATCCAGATTATCAGACTACACAATAAAATGTAATTCCTACATTCAAACCATTGACTGTAATAAAAATTATTGTTGCTAACCTTAGTGTGACTACAACTTGTCCGTAAATTTTCCATGATTCCTCCTGTCTCTGACTGTCATAAAATGAAACAAAAACAGCATATGAATGTTGATGTCCCAATCTAATCAACAAATAAACAAAAGTTAATTTTTTCACAAATTAATTTTGCCCACACAACTTCACCTATATGCCTTAAAAAAAGAGGAGCAGCCTTGTAAGTGAAGTATATTCAACCATTGCACAATCCTTTCCCTTCTCAGTTTTGGTGATTTCATCTATTTGAGCAGTACAGATCATATTTTTCTCAACAACTAAAATCTTATTTATGCACCATCATCACAAAGAGAGTTTCAGCAAAGCCTTATGCTACATTTAACACTACATTAAGTGATTTGGCTTGTTAACATACAGTGATGTACATTGTAAATTTGTTTCATTAGTGAGTAAGTTTGCAAATAATACCAGAATTTTCAAGCAGTCTTTTCTTCTGGGTACAAATCTGCTTTAAAGCATAACCTCATACCAGTGTGGTTCGATCTTAATTTACAGAACTGCTAAAAAGTAAGAAGACTGTCTCACCTCAAGGCTCGATTTCTTTATTTTCAAACCTTTTGAGAACTGAGTAAATTTTGAAGCTCAAATTTCAAGAAGCATATGATAGGATATATCTTTCACCTTATAACCACAGACTCCAGGGTAGATCTCACGCGTAAAATTCAAGTAAGTTCTTGATATCTCCATGTTTTCTCTTCCCTGCATCTCACAGTAAACAACACCTGCATCTTCACCTTCACCATTCACATGGTGAACCTCTGTAATATATGCTGATTCCTAGATTATAGCAAGATGTGCTAGTTAATTTAAGATTGAGTAAAAAGTGGTCTCTTGTGTCATACCAAGAACTCCTCACAAGAAGCCACATGTAGCTCATTGCTCCCTTAAAATTCAAACATTCGCCTAATTCCTTTGGCTCCTTTAGTAAAGAGGCAGATAGTAATGTTTCTGCTTAACAGACAGTACAGTTTTTCTTATTAAAAATTTGCTTCTGCTGGCTAGAAATCTTCAGTTTATATGTATCTGGGTGTATGAGACACAGTGGCCCTATTGGATGGTGTGCTAGACTCTGGGTCCGAAGTCCTGGTTTGAGACCTGACTGAGTCAATGTGTTGTGTTCTTGAGCAAAACAATTAACTCTCATGGTGCCCCTCTCCACCCAGTATATAAATGGGTACTGGCAATTCACAAATCTGTCACAAACTGCAATAGCTGTAACTCAAAATTGCTAAAAAGTCCCTTACAGTTAGAGTTGGATAAAGCACATGATCCAAGTAGATTGGAAGAAGGTTCAGAAAGCCTTCACTGCCTGCTGTTTCCATGGTGTAAGCTGTATGGTCAGTGGATGTCCACGCATTGGTTCCTTGTGCCAAGCATCTGTTGGCAAATAAATCTAACATACCCTGCAAGTTATGTAAATTGTTTTATTAGAATAAGGTTGCACATTACATGTACAGTATACTGTGCATAGAGTAAATAGATAAGTTGAGCATGCATTTAGTATTAGGCAATAACAAGATTTCAAGTGTAATTTAGTGTTAATAAGCACAAGTCAATTTTAGTCTTTGAAAGATTTACAAGTGCTCATTACACCAAATTGCAAGAGAAATCATGTTATTAATTGTTAATATTGTACAGTCATAGAATACATTGCAGAAGGCAAGACAGACAAAATTTTGAAAGCATCCATGCTATTTTTAATTTGCACTTGTGTTACAACTTTGCACACATGTTACATGAGAATGCACTTGTTTTCAGCCAATCAGAAGCATGTAATTTTTTCATGTACATTATTACAGTCAGGATAAAACATGGTCTGCAGACCATGCAACAAGGACTATAGACAGGGTATGAAACAACAACTCCATTCCACAAACTCAGTATAAAATATGAACCAGTGTAAAGAGCGTAGACTACAAACTACTAGAGTTTGTATATAAATATAAGAGAATTGCAATTTCCTGAATCTTGTTACTCATTCTCTCTGAGAGTACTCCAGAAAAACATTGCATGGAGTTTCCCGATCTTGGACTTGCCATCACTTGCATTTGTTCCATACCATGATGAGATATACATGTACGTAATGATTTTTCAGAAATATACTTTGAGTCTCAACTGCATAAACCCAATCAAGTTTGAACAGTTGAGATTTTGTGGTGTCATTTTTCATTGCCAGTGTTGTGGCTAATGCTAAAGAAATACGCTTAATTCTTCCTTTCTTGTTTTACACTTCTAAAGGGCCAAATAGTTTCAGTTTTATCTCCTCTTTCTTCTGTGAAAGTCATACTTCAGTTTAATGGGTACAGGTGTACCAAAACAGTGGTTGTTAAATCTGCACAAGTATTGGAAAAGACTGAATTAAACCACAAACAGCCAAAATGGCACATGAAACAATGAAAAACAAAGGCAAACTCGATATATACTTGTTTGAAATTGCTTCAAACCGAAATTAATTTTAATCTGCATTGTCTATTTTACTACAGTATACAAAGAACACAGAGAATGCAAGATCCAGGCTTTGCATCATCTCACCTTAAAAGGATATTTTTCACTTCCCATAAATACCAAGTGTTCCAAGGTGTGTGGCAAACCATCATCATCATGAGCCTCAGTTGCTGCAATACAGAAAAAATTCTTGCTGAACTGATGAAAAACTATCTCACCTTCAAATTCCTAACTAAGAAAATATTTACATATTCCTAGAAATTAAACATTTAAATCAGAATTACTAATATTAAAAAACATTATAAGGAAAAAACTGTCTTATTAACACCCAAAGAAAATAGAAACCTTCAGGCCTTGGATATTTTAAAACTTCTTAGCTGACGCTAACCCTACTGTCTCGTGCATTCTACATCTTCACGTGTAGCGCTGTACAAACTTTTAAGTTTTACTGAGCGTGGGACATTTTTAGGACATCAATTATTTAAATTGACTCATAAAGTCTACGAGTCATTTTAAATAATTGATGTCCTTGAAATATTACGCGCTACTTGAGACAATTAAGAGCTTGGGATTTTATTTCCAGAATTGTTTCTTTTCTTTTTCTCAAAGGAAAAATTTTTGATAAAGTTTGTTGAGCGGATGAAACCCAAAATAGGTAGGAACTCGCGGCTTAGTAACAAAATAACGATTGCTGCTCTCAACTTACCGAGACAAAGGAAACCATTAACCAAAGGCCCAGGAACTTTAGCAAAGCAAAAGTTAATGCCTGTTCTCTTGGAACGGTACTTTTCGACTTGAATTGAGTCGAGAACTTTAAAGGAAGAAATTTGTTCAAAATTTTCCGCCATATTCGATCCGAAAACAAAAGAGTGGGGCTGGGTAAAAGAGTCCACACTGTACCAGCGGATTCTATAGTAAGTACATGCATACTAAGGATGACTCCACGAAAATTTTCCAAAATGGCGGCTGTAGGGGGAATTGTTGCTCAAGAAAACCATGGCGGATTTTCGTTCGAAAACTGCAAAAGGTTTGAATTTTAAGAATGTCGAATTTCCTTTTATTCACCTTCTTTCAGTTCTAACTTTTTGATCCCATCGTAGAAATGCCATACTGGAGAAAATGGGCGCTAAGCTGCCCACAGCAAGAAAAACTGGTACAACTATTGCGGGAATTGTATTCAAGGTTAGATTTGATCTTCCTGTTATTGGGTATTTCGCCCTGATCAGTGATCGATTTGTTCGTGATTAGCGGGTTTAAAGGAACAAATGTCTTCGGAATTGGTTCTTCTTCGAGATCTGTGGTCTATTCAAATCTTTATAACGTTTTGTCGTGAGCACATGTAAAACCAGTAATGCGTTGTAGTGAAAGAAGGGATTGTCTGAATCTGCTAATTGTTACCTTTGTAGGATGGCGTCTTATTAGGTGCTGATACGAGAGCTACTGAGGTTAGTATTAGCTTTTTATAACGCATTTTTGAGGTCTAATCAAATAGGAAATAGGCTTCCTTTACGCATAACATTATACTTTTTCAAAAAGAAACGCTAGTCGCAAAGGTAATATTTATTTTTCACCATTGTATTCTTTTATTGAAGAACTGCACAACTTTTTAAAACACATTTTTGGATTATTTTGTGATTTGTGTTTATTGGGAACTGGTCACCAATGAAACTGTAATTGAGGTCTAATGAAATATGAAGTAAGGCTTCCTCTACGCATAACGTACCATTTTTAAAAAGAATCCCTAATCGCAGAGGTAATATTTATTTTTCACCATTGCATTCTTTTATTGAAGAAATGCACACTTAATCAAGGAGCGAATTGGAAAGGAATGTTGCTACGTGTAGCTTCTCTTTGTGGAAAAACAGTAGAGTTGTAGTACCAAATAATATCTTTGAGGGCAAATTTTAGTGCACACAAATTATCACTATAGAGGCTGCCATTCTGAAAAATGGCTATTTCAGAAATCTTTCTTCATTAGAAATGGTACAAAATTAATAACAACTCACATTGGTTGTTGTTCTGGTCAAAAAATAATCAGAACTTTTTAGAACAAGTTACATTTTCAATCTGCATGTATATGCCTGCTACTCTTTGTGGCTCTCTTTTTTTCATTCTGTGAATTGTAATTTCGACTTATATTTTTCATGTTTATTATTTGTTACTTTGAAGGATACAGTTGTTGCAGATAAAAACTGCTCCAAGATCCACTACATAGCTCCCAATATTTAGTAAGTACTTCAACTCTTTTGCCTGTGTCAGTTTACACTGTATAGTGATACACTTTTAACTTTGTGTACCTGTGTGCATTAGAACAGCATTTTTTTCCTGGTGGTTGGTGTTTTCCTTTTATTTCCTATTTTATACAAATCGCTTATTCCAATTTGTCTTTTTCAGCTGCTGTGGGGCTGGTACTGCTGCTGATACAGAGTATGTTACAAATCTTATCTCCTCCAACATTCAGCTCCATAGCTTATCCACTGGACGACAGGTAAATGTGTATATTATTTACTTCTGGCCCTGGTTGTTTGAAGGATGGGTAATGCTTTCCACTGGATGAATCTCTATCCAGTGGATAGCGCAGTACTTTTCCTTAATACTTATCTGCTGAATAGCAATTTATCTGTTGGATAGCATTATCTGCCCTTTGAACAACTGGATTCTCCTTTGCCAATTATATGAATGACAATGAGCCTAGTGATGTAATACAGACTTGCTCAGATATGATTCACATCTCACATTTTAGGGAAGATAACAATACTTCTCCTTGATCAGAACTATGATTTGTAAACTTGATATTTTACTGAAGTGGCACAAAGTAAGAGTTCCTTGAAAGATAACACTTAATGCAAAAGGATTTGCTGATTTTGGAAGGAGAGTCTAAACCTTGGCTGATTTAATGAGATAGCTCAGTGTTTGAAATTAATTTCCTTTACAGGCCAGGATTGTTACTGCGTTACGTATGTTGAAACAGCTGCTGTTCAGGTATTTAATCTCTAGAGATAGATTAAAAAAAATGCAATTCTTACTCATGATGCATGTCCATAAAAGTATTTTTTATAATTTATAGGACATTTCTCCTTGTACTTATTTCTTTGATAATTGACATCACTTAGTCCATGCTGTTCTTTATTCTACAGATATCAAGGGTACATCAGTGCTGCACTTGTGCTTGGTGGTGTAGACTTAAATGGCCCTACACTTCATACTGTCTACCCTCATGGAAGTACTGATAAGCTTCCATATGTCACAATGGGTAAGTAAACATCAGTTAGATGCTCATATCTCATCACAAAAGTAAAGAAAGTCACTGAAGTGGTTTTGTTCATGTGTAATGTGCACATGTACAGGCCAGACATTAGCTCAGTTAGTGGTTTGAACTGGAGTAACAACTGAATATAAGTTGCCATCATCTCATTAAAAGCATGTAGTCTTGCAAAGCACTGTTTACATTGACAGTGACCAGCTTCTTTATATCATGACTGGAAGTCATCACTTATGTCAAGGGTCATGAAAAGTGATTCTGATAAATGTCTTACCGGTAGTAACATTTCAGTGTTTATTTAAATTTAAGGTTCTGGTTCCTTGGCTGCCATGTCTGTATTTGAGTCACGATACAAGCCTGATATGGAGGTAATCACTTTAAATTAATTAAAACTTTATGTAATTTACACTGACTTTCACATGATCATGGTTAACATTGTCATTGTGAGAGTGGTTGCACTTATTTGGGCTTTACTATTTATTTCTGGATTTATAGTTTTGTTTTGTTTTGTTTTGTTTTTAGCTTGAGGATGCTAAACAACTTGTTCGTGATGCAATTGCTGCAGGAATATTCAATGACTTGGTGAGTATATTTTTGCCTTGATGATAAAAATGAAACTTGCAATTCTTGAGAGGCCATATTTTTGTTTTCATACCTTGTGCAGCAATTATTTTATTTGGTGTGACTGGTTTTCTGGCTGTGATCTGCTCCTTAGGGATCTGGCAGTAATGTTGATCTATGTGTAATAACCAAAGAAGGAACACAATACCTCAGGCCTTATGATGTGGCCAATGAAAAGGGCATCAGACAAGGAAAGTACTCCTACAAGAGAGGCACTACAGGTTTGTTTCAAGTGTGAACCACTTAACATCAAAAGCAACAACAAAAACAAAAATAGTTTGACTGGTAACACTTTGTTATAAAGAACTATTCCTATAGACCCACTAAAGTAAATTAAAGTCACAGAAAAAGATCAACCTTGGCCCTTGCAAGTTCTTAATTAACTGTATGCTTGATTATTTGAATGAAAGTTATTAGTTGAATGTGCAAATTTTCTTCTTTCATGTTCTCATCCTTGTAAAATTTCTAAGAGACCAATGGAATTCTTTTCAAGTTTGTTGATCTTAAAAAAAAAAAAAAAACATGAAAGAACCTCAACCACTTTGTCAATAACAGCTTACAAAATGTACATCATTTTACACCTAATTTCTATTAATATTGCAAAGCACCATAATGATATACACAATTCATCGTACAAAAGGGATCACTGAGAATTAAGAGGAAAGTTTATTCCAAGTTCAAAGTTGTCAGTCTGTCTGTGGCTTACTATTGTTTCTGCTGTCAAACACAATCTGACAAATTCATTTTTTATCACATCCCCACAGCTGTTCTAACTAAAGATGTAAAACCCATTGTGATGGAAGTGACAGAGACCAGAGTAACAGGAGAAGCCATGGAAATGTGATCTTTCTTCACTCTTTGTTCATCTCTTTTGAATTTGTACACTAATAAAAGCTGTAGTTAGAACTTCTGTGCTAAGCTGAAACTCTTCCGAAAGTTTACAGTGTAACTGCTTTGTGTTATCAAAAATGGCTACAAGGAAGTGTGTACCATGTTATTAAAAAAAAGGTTTGAAATAAAAAAAAAACTGTGCAGGACAACACTGTGTTTTGTTTTATGTGACATTATAATCACTCCACCTTGATTCCAACCAGATTTACAATATATTTGAGAGTTGTAATGGTTGTAGTGTGGGTAGATTTGACACAACTAGCACTCTCATAATGTTGTTGTATTGAAACTAATAATTAAGCCTTCCCATAGGTATGTCCTCTTGACTACCCTTTACCAAATGAGATGAGGAGTGGATCTTCATATATTCTGTAGTGACAGTTCTCTATAAAATGGAGTTCTGGTCAAAACACTGACCATACTGGGTTTAACTATTTGTTGAGGAGGGACAACATTTCTGAAAAGACAAGTTAATGAACACCTCTATAATTTGTTAACAGAAGCAGCAAAGCCTACAAAAAATTAATAGTTCAGAGAATGCAGAAGGAATACGAGACATGAACATCATTTCATTCTCTTCACCAAAGAAACAATAGCCTATCCCTAAGGCCAGTTGGTGAATAGGCCTCTGTTTGAAGTTAGGACCACCCTATGTGAGGCTATGAGTCATTGATGAGTGGTTCAGGGAAGAGGGGGTGATGAGGAAGACACCACCCACCTTGGTCCACATAAACATTTTCCCCTCCCTAGACCACACCTTCAGCCTTCTCTCACAAACCGAGGGCATAGAATAGGCAAGCCTCTACCAGGCATTCAGTAACACAGAGCCAATTATCATTAGTAGCAGGAAAGTGAAAAGGCAATGAAAGATTGAGTCAGGTTGGGTTGTTTCATTACACAACCAGAAATAAACTTCCATTGATTTCTCAACAATCTGCCTGCATGGCGCTGCTTACTATTGGCCTTTGTTTTTCTAGGTGAACTCTTGAGATCCAAACTGGATTTCAACCCATGCTTCCCAGGCATCACCAACTGAGCAAAAAAGCCACACACTGGGAGCAGGGCAAATTGAAGGGTACCTCTTTCCATTAGAGGAGTATGATAACAACTTGTGATGACATTAATTTTGATTAATTACAAAAAAAAAAAAAAAAAATCAATAATGCTAATTCTGTACCCAATAAGGCAACAAGCACTTTCTTTTACCCCATATCAATGAAATCATATTATCCAACAGTGGCTCACATCAGAGGCAAATGTAATAGAAAAAAAGAATCCAGTCCCCTTCTTCTGTAAAATGAGATTTATTCAGCAATCCTAAAGAGAGTTGCCATTTTGAGAGACACAAGTTCTATCACCTCTGTGAAGTGCTAAAGTTATTATTTTTAAGCACACCCTGAAACTATATTACACAACCTAATGTCATTTGCATTTTACACACTAAGAGGATCTTAGAATAAAGTGAAATTTGAAAGGGTCACAAACAATATTTAAACTTGAGACTTCAGTAGTAAGAAGATCTCTATAAAATAATTCTTGTTGTGAAAATCCAGAAAGTAATTTATAAAATACTTGAAAAGTTACAACATTTTATCATCCCTAATGGAGTCTCAGGCAACTTCACTATCCTTTTCAACAGAATACAAAAAAAACTACAAAATGTAGAGGTGCAAAATTGCAGTTGATTATTTCTGCAGTATGAATAAATAAGTTCATGCATCTGTGCAATGAAGTGTTGCCATAATTATTCAATTTCTCTCCATGAAATTCAATTTTGCATGCAGTTCACTGTGAATTGAATGTTTGAAAACCGATTACATTGTATCCACTGAGAAAAGTTCTTAAGTTAAGGCAATTAAAAGGACGTGGAAACCCAAACATCACTCTATGGTTAGAAGATCAGTTGGAATTTTGAAGTTTTAAATCTTTGACCATCCATATTCATCTCCAGGTTTCTCTCTTTAGATTGGAATTTCTTTATTTTCAATCAATTTCTTAAGATTAAGATATGTTACAAGGCACAATCAACCAAGAATTTTTGGGCATTAATATTTGTAATAAATTACTCAGTGTATCACTGATATTACACATCAAGTTTCTTTAAATTATTGTTTCATTTGGGGGGAAGAGGGGAACTGGTGAAGATTGCCTGCATGCATCATTTGTGCCACTTCATTGACTTTTGTGATACCTGGCCTCTGGTCTGGGTCAGATTTAATACACCGGCTCACTAAATCACGCAACTGCAACAATGCACACAAAATTATCTCAATTAGTAAAAGAAAAATATAAAGTCTGCACTTGAGTCAAGGGGACCTCAAGTTGCAAAGTTCATTCCAGTCTCCCATGAAACCACTAGGAGTGTTGCAACTTCCCCTGGATAATATGCAAGTTCATTGCAGGTCACCTTCCCCCCCCCCCCCAGCATTTTGTCAGGCTTTCCTGACAGCTCAATACCACCCATTTATACTCCTGAATGGAGCAAAGAACAGTGACAATTAATTGTCCTGCCCTGGGACACAACACAATACCCCGGCCAGGTTCTCTCCATCCCAAGTCCAGCTTGCAAACTGTTCGGTTCATGCATCTCCCACACACCATATTTCATACTTTGGCAAAAAGAAAAGTTTGCCAAGAAAGGAGTTCAACTGTACAAAACATGCTAACTTGTATTACCTTTTCAGAGTAATGTTCTGCTGGCAAAGGGGGGTAATCACAAGATTCTATCTTCTTACACAGTGAATACAGGTTCATTTTGTCACCGTAGAAAGGTGACTGGAGGGCAGCCATCTATCAAAGCAATTTGTACAAAGAAGACCACAAATTATTTTATGATAACACTTTCTCTCTGATTAACACCTTGCATAAACTATTATTCAACTCATGCTATGTCGACATTGCCAAATAATACCCTCAAAGATAATTTGACAGCATTCTCTTCACCCTCTGGTATCCTAAGCCAGTGTTACTAACCTCATATAAAAGACAACCCAGAGACCAAATATCAGACTTGAAATTATATCCAGTTTCATGTATCCTCTCTGGTGACATGTAATAAGGTGTCCCCACTGACAATGAAAAATCACATCAGTATCTAAAAGATTCTACCAGTTTTGCTGGCTAACTTGTGCATTCCCACTAACATGGGTATTATATTGCTATCACTACAACAGCCAAGCTCATGGCTATTGATTACTGTTATTTTGTACATGTATTAATGTTCAATTTGCACAAAGGCTGGGAACTTCACTACAATTACAATCACTACAATTTTAACCCTGCAAATTTGAGTTCAGCTTGGGTTTCCAGACTGGGTTGTTCAAGGGTTGAGATAACCCAGGGTTAGTGTTAAATTTGATTTCAGATCTGAAAGTTTTATAAGAAAATTAAGTTCAAGTCCATTTGTGTACAATTTGGTGATTAAATGCACTTAAAAGAATAGGGGAAATTATGGCTTTCAAAAAGAGGAAAATAGATAGGGCTTGCACTGATTAGCCTTGGAACAACTGGGCTCTGGATGTGTGGATTTCTGTTATTATATTACTTCAATTGTCCCTTGTAAGCCTCAAACAGAGGTTCTTTGTGTCCTTGGAGTGGACTTGTGTCATAGTAAATGTAACTTTACCGTAATATAATGAGCCAATGTGTCTAAAGTCAAATAAATGTTATTATCTTGGAGGCTTTGCACAGCTAAGTTAATAATATTATTAATAGGTATATTTTCATCACCTAAAGAATGTGCAGCAGTAGTCTTGGAACTAAAGTATCTTCCCAGACCAAGGTCACCAAGCTTTACCACACCAGATGCAGTTATAAAGACATTGGCAGGCTTGATGTCTGTAAAGAAGTGTGTTAACATTTGAAAGGCTAGACTCATAAAGGCCACCAGAACAGTGTCACCAAACTGACCCTTCTCTGAAGAGCCAACAAATTTGAAACTTAATTAAATGAAAAAAATAATCCTCCTGACTAGAGGCAGCATTGTGTAAAACTCAATTTGTGGGCTTGTAAGTGTTACAGTAATCAAATATTCACAGAAGTGGGAGTAACTGAGGGTGCTTATTTTTAAGCTGTCGTCAATGACTGACAATTGGAAAGCTCAAGTAGGAGTCATCATGTGAACAGTCTTGATCATAGTAGGGCAGCCTCGTGGGATGGGGATTTCCCCTTGCAGAGAGCCAAGTATGCCTCAAGCTACAGTACAAAAATGATGCAGCAGAAAGTTCAAGTGCAGTTAATAAGTTCACCAACCTCTGTGCATGACACGTCTCGAATGCATGTGCTCCAGAGCTGCAGTCAGTTGAACAAAGTATTTCCTGAAATGTCCAATGATAAAATGATAGCATTTAAAGATCTGAAATTCCAACACCAAAAATATCTAAGTTTTGTGTTAAATGTGCACATAAATGATAAGTAACATGCCAAATTCAGCCTTGGAAAGGTTTCTCCCCTATTCTTAATAACCTAGAAAAACAAGTTGATAACATAAACAAGATATTGAAAAAGTGTCAAAATTCTTTCATCTTAGATTCAGATGAGTGAGGAGCTAGTTTGATAAGAAAGATTCTCAATCATTTTGGCCACAATTACTTGAATGTTTTCTAAATAACAGCCAAAAGGCACATGTTTATTACTACCACTCTCATCAGTTTCACATGTATTCTGTCAGTCTCTGCTACCCTTCATCAACACCCACAGAAACAGTCAGCTCAAAACACACATAACACAGTGAGTGCTACATGTGTTTAGGATAAACAGGCAGGCAGGCTCTTTAAAGGTAACTGCTCCTTTTGATGTTTACAGTCAAATATGAGGCTGGGACACTTACCAAACTGTCCTTTCTGGAATCAGTCTGTCCTGTTTTTTGAAATGCTATTTTAATAAAAAAATATATATATATCTCAATTAATTATGAATATCAACACAAGAAAACATTTATCATGGCTTCTTTTTTTAACCCTAACAAGAAGTTTTTTTTAATTTGCCATGTTTTTTAAATTCCTATTACATCTTTTTTTTTCATGCTTTTAGGGCTTTAGTATTCACTTAAGGGAATAAATTAATTTAAAAAGTTAGATCTCAAGGTATTGTTATTTATAAAAATGCTGTAGAAACAACATTTTTGAACATGATTGGCTATAAGCAGCCAAATTTGAGAACTGATCGGACTATGTATGTGTCAAACTTGTTAAATGAACAAAGTAATAGGCAAAATAAGGCTCATGGCTGTATAACTCTGTGTGTTTTCCTGTTCAGGCGGTAATCAGTAAAAATTTACCACCCAAAGTACTCATTATTACTGCTGAAAATTTCTTGAAAAGTCAGCAAGTAAAAGGAATGCTCCACCAGTTTAATGCTTAAAAAGTAAGGGAGAACACAGGTACCCTGTGTATAATTACATCCATTTTCTCAAGGAAAAAAGTCAACTGTTATGTTTTATCAACAAAGACATTTAAGTGAAGGTATTTTGTCAAATGCCATATCAAATACAGTCTTAACTAATTAGTAACAGTACTTTGAGCCATCCAATTCTGTCTGTTAATCATTTGTATGATTAAAGACTGGATTGGCTGACATGCAATCCTGTTATCAATATCAATAATATAAATACCAGTACATGTATATGTACATGTGAAAGTTGTACCATACAGAGAATTGTTTTACATTTTCCCAAGTGAACAAAGGCCAGCATGAGAAAAATTTGAAGAAATATTGCTCTTTGTTATTGCAAAATGACATGAGTTGCAGGTGAGTATCTTTATACCAACTTTTGCAAGAAAGTTCAATGAAATTTCAAAAGAACAAGAAATGAAATTCTGCAATTTCTGTTTGCATTACTTTTGCACAATACTGTGTATGTGTAAGTCATACCTTTATCATTCTTGATAAATCTCCTGCATCTGCTAATTCTAATACTATAACAAGCTGTGGAGAGTGCAATAAAAAAAGTAAGATTACTTGACTCTTACATGATTGAGTAAGGAATAATCAGATACAAAAATTGTAATCTGATTTTCTACCTTTTTTTCTTTAAGACTAAAACTGAAATACAACTACCTCTTGTTCTCATGCACTGCTAGTGCTGATCTATCATGCACACATTTTACTTTAGGAAAGGAACAATAAGCTCAGAGCTGCACACTACAAGTTTTATTGACACACAGGACACAAAAAGAATCAATATATAACAACATACCTCATTATTCTCTATAAAAGAAGCCAAATATTTGATAACATTGGGATGGTTTAATTGCTGAAAGAAGAAAACCAAGGGTATCAAATTTGTGCACAAGAAGGTACATTTAAGTAATTTTAGACAATGATGGGCATTATTTTCTGATTAAGTTAAAGAGCATTCTGAACCTAAAGGAGTGAAGAGGTATGTTCCTTAAGAAATTTTAAATTCTGAATTCATGTCTCCCAAGTGACCCTGTTCCTGCATTCTAAGGTCTTCATTCATGTTGCTTCATCATTCTTTGAAGGCAACCAACTTGGACTAGTCAGTTGTCTGAATCTCATGATGTTGTGAACAAGCTGCAGGCAACCAATAGGCCCACTACATGTGGATAGGTCTACCTGCTACCCTGCTATGGTTTTGAAGTTGCAAGAAGAGTAATGTGGGAAACTAGAATTTCCATGCTGAATTTTGTGTTCCACAAACAAACTAATGTGTTGGAGTAATAAGGTGTCCTTAACCCTAATATGTAGAATTTAGGCATTTCCTACCTAAACTTGTTATGTCAAATTAATGCTGATTTAGCCACAGACACCCTTAAAAACCTCAAACAGGAACAAAACCATCAACAAACTCAACCCACACTTTACAAAGCATATGAAGAATCAAATATATTCATGGGAAGCAATGCTCTGGACAAAATGTTTACCTGAAGTAACTTTATCTCCTTTATACAATCTTGTCTTGCTTTTGCATCCATCATTTCAAAGATCTCAAGAAGATAACATTAAAAATAAATTTATATAAAAACCGGAAATATCAGTTAGAACTGGTTGAGAAGTTGGAATATAAATTAAATATGCCAAAATTAATAAGTACACTACAATAAATTGTACACAACTATTTTAAGATTCCCTTGTCAAGGAGTTAAGATGGAGGTATCAACAGATTTTCAGGAATAGCATGAAAATAACTTGCCAAAATCATTTTACTTGACTAGATCTCAAAAACATATTCTTTTCCCTTACCCTCAATAAAATTTTGACAAGTTTGACATCATGTTCCACATGCAAAAATGAAATAACCAATCAGAACATTATCGTTGTACAGAGGTCTAATAATTTATTGATAAGAAGGACTTCTCTTCCAAAATTTACTCTTAACAAAGCAAAAAGTATTGATAATCATAACAAACAGGTGGCAAATTGTTTTGTTTATTTAGCAGCTTGTTTTCAATTTGGAAAATTCTCCTGTTTCAAAAAATTTAGAATTAATAAAAACAATTTCAGTTGAGTGTAAGGGAGATGTTAACAAATGGACCATCTGCAAGTGCATTAAATTCTAGTCCACCTGCAACACCTAACCTAACCTAACCAGAGTAGAGTAGGGTTGGGACAAGCCAGTTAATAATATAGTTCACACTTAATCTTAGAATAATTAATTCAGTGGGAATATTCTTATTGAACATTCCACTACAAGTAACACTTTTTTTTTTTTTTTTTGCATATAATGCCTTCAGTTTTCAATACATTATAAGTAGGCACAGTTCAAAACTCGTCGGTTGACAATAGATGTATGCAAATTTCTAATGTTATCTCTAAGCAAACAAATTGCACCTGGCTTCCGTGTTACTATCTTTAGATAAGTTTTCTCCTTTCTCTTCATTGTTTTATTGTTGCATGATGCACCTTGGTTCAATAACTTCCCTTCACTCAGTTACAGGGTGTATTTGGGGGCAAACGAAAGCCATTATTTACGTGCTATGCATGTAGGAGGTTGCCATCTCAAAAAGTGGCCCCCGTCGTGCAAACTCGAAGCCGATTCTTTGCCAGAGTAATGAAACTTGTTTACATTAAAACACAGCAAAATTTACTTTCAGACAAATGACAACCTATGCATGCAACGACTAAACTCACTTCACAAGCAATTATCGCGAAATTCTCTTGAACTGAATCGAATTCTTCAGTCGCCAAGCACAGCAAACCAATTACCTGTGCGTATGAGGCCCAACAATCCCCCCATCATGAACTGAAACCGTAGTTAAGAATTATTCGCGGGCTAAGCATGAGCTCTGTCTCTCAATATCATCGATCGAATTTAAGCTCACCTGTATTTTCTTGAGTGCAACTATAGAGTTGTCTAGGAGACATCGAGCCTTGTAAACCACACTAAACTGTCCTTTTCCGATTTTCTTCTCAATTTCAAAATTCTTCTGACTAGTATATTGCAGGCCAACTGCTTGGCCACTATCAGTAGACATACTATCGCCATTTCCTTCCTCCATTGCAGCCATACTAATCGGTTTTTTAATTTAACAGGTTAAGCGAGCTAACTGTATGATCACTGATTTTCAGTAATCTTGTCGACAATCAGGCGAGGTCTTCTCCTGCGGGAAAACGGAAGAAAAATATCACAAATTGTGACGCCTTCAAACACAACAGCTATCTACTTGCAAACAAAGATCGATAACGATAATTCCACAGCGACTGATGAGGTCTTACATGATTCGACAAATGTAAACTTCAATCGATTTTGCATAAATTTAGACGACTGCTGCAAATGGGAACAAGACTTTCGAAGTAATTACTAATAGTATAAAATCGAACCTCGTTGGAGGACACAAAGTGAAATTCTAGAACAGGTCACAAATTTACAGTTTCTTACCAACCATGGACAACTTGAGAAAATTAATCGAATATTTCCCCACCTTAAATACAGAGAACCTACTACCATGGAATTTAGTCAACCAGGAAAAACACTTTGCAAATGACAACAGCCATGAGCTAGCACGTACCGTAAACCTCACACTGTTTGGAGACCTTCGGGCCACCTGCAACGAGATCCACAAAGTCTTAAAACATCATAAAACAGTGATCGTCAGTAAAATGAAACCTGGTGAGCTTAAAACGTTCTTGATAGCGGGCAAAATTTAATATTCACCAAAGTTAAAAGCTTGCGCGTAACTCACACTGGACAAGCGAAGAGTTCAAATTTACAGTCGGAACTACTCAATCGAGACAAGACTTACCTTGCCAACAACAATTGTTAAAAGCTCTGCATATCAAACTTAAGTAGCTTAACACTTAAATGGCGAATGTCCACACAAAATCTCTCGATAAATTCCACCAAGACAAGCGCTACAAAGGGTCAATTGTCGAAACGCTGCTATGGTCGTACTCGGAAGTAGCCCATAATTCAGTTCGCGTTGACTACGCTAAGCAGACACACCGCAGGCTGCGCACGGAAAGGAGATATTTTGAACACACAACTCTCCCGTAAGGAATTTTAATTGATCGAAAAAAACCATTATTTTTTCCGCTTTCGCTTTCGTAATTTATAATATCCTTACCGGAAAAGACGTAATATAAACAAGAGAGGCCACTCATGATATCGTAGAAAAAAACCACAATCATTTTTGGAACTCAAATTTGACTTTCGAAGTCCGCGTTTAGTAAGACAACTGGAAAGTCCCGAGGCTTATTTTTTTAAATCCGACTATTTTACCAAAGAGGATCAAATTCGCTGGTTGAAAGAAAAGCAGTTTATTTTGATAAATATTCGTGAGTGAAATTACCTTTGTCTTGTACGGCTTTGAACTTCTATTGAAGCGAATCAAATCAATAAATCATCGGCTTATCGCTCACTTATTCATGAAATCAAAGAGGAAACACAATGAGTTTTTATTCACTCTCTTCCGCTCCAAAAAATTCCTTTTCCCGATGGCATTGATCGTCTTGTCTTTTATTTCTTCCTCGTCTTAAGACGTTTCCTCGTTAGGTTAGCATGACAAAGCGAGCAGAATATTCGATTCATAATAGAAATGAAAACGTTATCATCAAGAGTCAAAGAGGAAATAAAAGAAACTGGGGTTGCCAGACCTATTAGCCGCTTTTGCTAAACCAACATTTCCTTTCCAGGTTTTTCTTGGCAGGGTTGGCTAGAAAAGGATAATCTTTTACCCTTGTCCAAAAACTGACAAGCTCATATTAGAATCATGGCAATGTGACCCAGTGTCAAGGACTAACCGTGATTGGCTAAACAGAAATTCTACTCCAGCACGTTTCCCCTGATACGCGTGGCTAGCAAGCTGTCGTCGTTAATTTATGTAACGAATAATTTCCATTTTGGACGTGCGAGCTTGCATGTTAGATCAAAAAGGGCTTTCAAGAGAAGAGGAAAGGAGAAAAACAGAGGTTTTACGGACAATCCTTTCAAATGACCGTTGATACTGAACTTTTTAAAGAAAAGAGAATCAATACCATACAGAATTTCGTGACACAGCAGTAGTATTTTGCAGTCTGTTCAACCTCGATCTTTTACCCTATGCCTCCTTCTGCACGGGGTGCTCGAGAATAGTGAAGAACTTTTCTGCAACCCCTACCTGCATGCGAGCAGCGTATGATGCCAATATGATGGGATAATGGTTATATATCTATGACATTCGAACAGGTTTCCGTTTCGGTAAAATGCAGCGTTCCAGTTGAGAGTTTGGGAGCATCTTATTCTCGCAGCTTACGCTTGATGGAAACAAGAGCAAGTTTACGGAGGACAGCATTTATTACGTTTAGAAATTCATGACTGTGTGGAGTCTGGGTACGAGACTAAGCATTAACAGACAACAAAATTGCCGAAGGTAATCCAGAATTGCATTGGTTTTTCTGCACTACGCTCTATGATTGGTCTTTGAAACTCGCGCCATCCTCCCGACCAATCCGATCCTGCACTGAAATCAATCACGCCTGGATCACCCTCGATTTCCTGCGTTTTCCAGCGTTTAAGTGAGGTAGTTTAAAAGTCCATACAATTTCTTTATCGACTCAAACTACGTTGGTGTTTTGTCAAAGCCAAAATTCTTGCAAGTAGACACCCACTTCACTTCTTGCGACGGATTTTATCGAAAAACAATGCTGATTTCGTCAGTACCGACTTAATCACTCAGTTTTCCTGAGTTCAACTTATTTCGATTTAATAACTCTATTGCCTCAAAGGCTTGATTTAACGATTTGTGCGTACATCAATGATTATCTGTGAAACCAAGTTTGCCAAAATTACAGTTACTAAGGTAACATCGTCATATTTGGCTGTATGGGCCCTTAGAGGGTGGATCCAAATCCCACATTTTCCCAACGGTTTTTTCCCATCCTTAACTGTTCAGAAATTCGGTAAATTGCATCTTTAAGTAATAACACAATGCTTACAGTAAATTAAGGAGAAAGAGGTTCCCAAGGCAAAATAACAGAGTCATGTATATACCAGTTAAAAGAGAAAATATAACAATGGATTTAATCTTCAAATCAGTTTGGGCTGTTCTCAAAAAATGTACTTTAACTTTTGATCAGAAATCGCCCGATCAATCACTTTCAGATCTCTCAACTATCCGTGTATGGTGCGACGAGATCCTCGCTTAAGCGTAATGTTGAATACATCATGATCGGTTAGAATCAGATCTAAACTCTGGGATTGATCTGTTGCCCTTCTTTGTGCAGTAAAGTTTCCACTGATGAAGAGCCTTGCTTCTTTGTTCTCACGGTTTCATGTAATTGGTAGGTGCATCCAATCCCCCACAGTGACAGGCCTCTACATGATAAAACAAAACAAAAACCTTATCAGCGTAAAGGGATTTTCCATGCGTTCCTGAGTAAGATTTACCTCGAGAAATTAAGCCTAATAAACGAATAGGGAGCAGCCTTGTGTTTAATACGATCTCCTTTTCTAACCTTGTAAAATTCGCCTAGACTGACTCGCTAGGCTGCGGATGCAATCTCACCATGCTTTCATCAACAGAAAGTAATATTGCATTGTAATATTATAAGTTTGAAGTACTGTAGTATTGTAATATTGAAGTTTTGTAGGTTGTAACGTTTTAATTAAGCAAAATAAAAAATTTATGAAAAAAAGTCTCTCCCTAGGTGGGATGGTGGGGTTCCCCAAACATCTCGTTTAGATATGCGTTACTGACTGGGCAAGAGGCCAAGATGGCTGGATTTTGGTCGAGTTCTTTTTTGCGTTTTCCAAAAAAAAGGAAGAAATAACGAGGCTAACATCAAGCCATCTTGACCGAACAAACTTTGTCAATAAAGGATTTATAATTTAGCACAAAATTTCGCTTTATCAAGAATGAATAGTGACTAGTGCCGGGAAAGAAAGACAACTGCGTCCATGAGACTCATTTATGTCTTCTTTGTTCTGACTGTCTTCTGCCGCTTTTTGCGACCCCATCGCTGGCGTTGTCCAGAAAAGTAAGAACTCTGTTAGTCTACTACAAGCAATTTTTTTTTAAATTTCCTGCCCGGGATCAAAGCCATCTTCCCCGCTCGGGTAGCCAATCAGAATCATCAATTTATCTGTAGCGCCCACAGCCGCTACTGATAATTCTCATATCCAGCTGCTAACTGGTTACAATTTAAACGATGGGCGAAGAGAAGCACTGTGAGAGTAAATTGTCAGACCTAGCAAATCTGCTTATCGTTTAGGATTCGGCTTGTTTACTTTAAAATATATGAGGTCAAACTATTTCCTATCACTTTCATTTTCCGTCATTCTGTTCATTTCTTCATTCTCTGTTGACCCGTCAGCTGTTACTTGCAATCTGTGGCGAAGCTGGCGACTTGAATATAATGCTTGAAATAAAACAATTGTGAAACTTACCTCAGCTTGTCAAATTATGCTCAGCGTAATTTTACGATAAATTGTATTTAAATGCTTGCTTTCTGTCGCTGAGTAGTATATATTCCTACGCCAGTAAAAGGTGCGTAATGAAGAAGTTCTGTGAATCATATGGATAACAAAGTTTCCAATGCACCACTCAATTCTTCGAAAATTCTCAGCTTCTTATCCTAGGCAGGATTTTATTATTCTAAATTATTCATTACTCGTTCAGAAGGTAAGCAGAGCAAACCTCTCTCACTCATCCCTGCGACTTGATAAATACACGTTTCAGTCATTTCAATTCTAAAGCTTTGAGGGGTGAAAGCTCTTTCACAATATATCTTTAATCTAAAAAAAGCAGGTTTAACGCAAGATGGATCAACGTTTTTCTTTTGTATCTTTCTCTTCTTGAAACGAAACTTTAAACAAAATAATCTAAACCAATGATTGAACTGTTTACCTATGTGCAGAGCCTTGGATACGGATAGCTGACAATTATTTTTAAAATAGTTTTTTTTTCCAGCTGTCGCAGTATTACCAAGGACAATTAGACAAATTTTAGTTAACGTTGTGTTTTAAATCGTAAAAACTTAACATGCGTGTTTTTACGTGTATCAAACTTTATTTCAAAAGAAAAGTGACAGGGACAAGCTGCCTAATGACGCTTCTTTGCACCATTTAAAAAAACTCATCAAATGTCGTTCTTTATGTTTTCCTGGGGACTTTGAGGTCTTCGAAGACAAAGCATGTAATTCTGTCTTAAAATCAAATCTAATTGCATGGCGAAAACTTAAGTTGTCAGTAAGACTTCTGGCAATTAATATTTTATTAAGGTCCAAGGTAATGTTTGTATAAAGTGTCTCCTTTAAAATGATCCTCGAAAATGAAGCATTTGAAATTCACGTTGAAGACGATCTATGAAGGACCCATTTGGCTTGAAATCTTCAGCTGAGTATGATAGAAGTTTGACAATTTTAAAGAATTTTCAGACAATATAGGCGGATTTGGGGAAAGACGTAAACTTTTTTTAATTCTCTGCTGCCCCTCCATAGTTTTACAAAGCCAGCGACGTGAAAATTGTGTAAACAATGAAAAAAAATCATCGTGAGTTTTTAGCCCATCAAATGTTATAATTTCACTGTGAATTGGGGAGTTGTTTTCAGTTTTCTACTAGCTTATTCTTACTATGCCAATAACGTATTAGTAAATTGCGAAACATTGAATTTCTGCCCTCAATTAACTTCGACAGAAATATAAATAGCATAGTTAGTCCTCAAGAATATAGCGCTGTTCCTTTCTGAATTTCTGAACTTTTTTAAGGGTTGTCATTCTGTTATTACATGAAGGTACAAAAATGGCCACAAGAGACATAAGTATTAGTAGTGATCCAAGTGACAATGCACTTCTTTTTCTATTTACAAATTTTTCTTCAGAGTTATGGAGGCCACAACATAACCGACGTTTTGGAACACAGAGATAGTCAGTATACTTGCGGTTCGGCAATGTCTCTCAGACTCGCGTTTGTCGCAAACCCAATTGCATTCAGCAAAGCAGTTTACATTTTTGCCGGATTGTGTTTTGCATGGCTCGCTCGTTCAGAAGGTGAGCGGAGTTGAATTTTGTCAGCCTTCCTTCCCTCTCAAGTATTAGTTGGTGTACATGTATATTTCGGGAAAAGTATATGACAATTCTATTTTGCTATGTTCAAACTCCTGCTATAGGAAGTGATAAAACATTTTTCCATATCTTTCAAATACATGATATTGTCTTGCAATGTCATCAAATATAATGCATCAAACACAGAATCTCTTGAATGTGAATTCATATCAAGACTGTCGACAAAGCTTGATCTAAAGATTAAAAAGACGCACATTATTTTTTTTAAAATCAAACTGGTACTTAAAAATATTGACGATTGTGGACAACGGACCAGTGATTTCAATATTCACAATTGCAAACGGATGAATTTATGATTGTGCTTAGAAAAGTGATAAATATTGCCTCTTCTTTGTTCATAAAATTGTTCCAAAATGAAGACGAAATTGAGCATTTAATGTTCCTTCTGCTGTGAAAAATATCATCGAATTTATCATTTTATGAAATATGTGTTAAAGACTTCTCTAGTTTCGAAAAAGAGGATAACAAATGGAAAGAGGTTGAGTCAAAAACAAACTTAGGTGTGTGGCATAAAATAATAATTAAGAATTCTGTCAATTAATATTTTATCAAGGTCCTCCCAATAAATTTTGTTTAAGGTTGTTGTTTTTTTTTTTAGCGAAGCTCGTTAGAATAAAACGAATATGAGGCGTGGAAAACTTCGATCATTTTTTAATTGGCATCCATAAATAACGTGAATCTGGAGATATAGTAACAACGACTCGCTAATATCAGTAGCATAAATTAACCGTAAAAGTGTATCGTTGATCCCAAGCAAGACAACCCAAAAGTCCCATTTACTCTATGCTTTGGAGGCTTTTGTTTCAGTCTCATTGGGAATCAGTCAAACTTCAAATTTATATACATTAGGAGGCAAAGCGTATTCTTGAGTCTTAAAAATCACCACATGTACTTTAAAGGTTTTTTTAACCCTGTCTTTCAATAAAGCAGCCCAGTTAGAGATGTCGTAGTCTTCACAATGCAAAATCGAGATTTTATTATCAGCTAATTGCCCACGGGCAAAATTGAGTGACTAGTCTCTTTTAAAAATCGGCTCGCTCTATTGCAAAAATACAAGGTTTATATTTGGCGAAATTTAATCGAACACGAGAGAGCAAAAAACACCTGTCATTCTGTCATAACGATAATTGCCACTTGTGCTGATTGACAGTTTGCATAAGGATATCAGTTAACTTTTGAAACTAATAATGAACACAAAATGACCACCAAGTTCACTCTTTCCTGGCCCTGGTTAGCGATTGGTTTCCGAGAGTCAAAGGTTACTGGCACGAATATGGAATACCCGGCTGTCAAAAGTTGACAAGCATTGAGCGCATTTCAGTCAATTGAGTGTCGTAAACCGATGAAAAGCCAAAATAAGTACAATGGCCAAGCAGAGCATGGATAAAATCATAGAGAGTAGGTAGGCACTCCTAGTAAAAAAAAGGAAAATGCATGAAGAGCAGGAAAACGCATGAGGCGAAATCGCAATTTGTTTTAACGTTGCTCCTGATTGGCAGAGAGGAAGATGCAAGTTTTCTTGACAAATTGCAGAGCGTGTTGAAACAAAGCAGTCACGGATTACTTTCGCGACTCACCTCACTCCAATAAGTTACCTAACAATTCAATTATCCTTCAAGAAATACTTTACTTCAGGGACAACTGCCTTTAACCCATAACAGTGCATCTAATAAGATAAGCATCTAATTTTTACCAACAGTATCACCCTTGAATTAAATATTAAGATCATGAGAATAGAAGAAATGATCGTAAACTTAAGAAGCTCTTGATTGTTAAAGAAATTCTCCTTTAAGTACCATAGGAAATGTAGAGAGAACAGTTTGGAGAACTTGCATACTGATGTTAAGGTGTAAAAGGTTACATGTCTGATCGAAAGAAGTGCATTATACTTTGTGAATTTTTATTTTCAAAGCAGATATAAAGTAAACCGTTCGACGAATATAATTTTCTTTAAATCATTGAATCAGATTCTTGCAGGATTCTGAAGTTCACCGAGCCCATGGCGGACAACGCGTTACGAAATCACGTTATACAGTTGGTACAAGTTAATGATAAAGATCAATGTGAACTACTCTGTTATTTGGAGCAGATGTGCCTGTCTTTCAATTTTGGATCGGGGAATTGTGAACTTAGTAACTCAGATCATTATCAACATCCGGCAGATTTGGTTTCCAGGATAGGTTTCTCGTATCATCCAACAGCTGTAAGTGTACTTACATGCATACACACAAGCGTTTGACTTGGTGCAAAAGCAATTTCACTAACTCGTCAATCAAACTTGTAGCGTAATCACAACTGACAAGGTTCACACTTGTAATCTTGTGATAAGCACAACTGACAAGGTTCACTCTTGTAATTTTGTGGCTGAGCTCTCATGTACTAAATGAGGAGTTCAAAAGAATGATCAATAAGCACTGACACATTTTGCTGCTCGAATCACCGTTATAATTTTAAATAAATATTATGACACCTACGCAAATGAACGATAAGACAAGGCCATACCGCGGGAGTACTGGTTTAGCTGAGTTGAGAAAGTGACTGATCTAGAATCAGAACTTGAACGAGAAAAGGGAAATATCCTTTACGGTGGTTATGCCATGTCAGTTCACATTTGTTGTCCTGATTCCGATGTACGAGAACATGGTTTACCGAAAAAAGCATTCAGCTCACTTTCCCGCTGGTGATTCACCTACGCTAGTACGCGGTTTAAGTACTGTTCGAACACACATTTTCAAAATGCTTTCATATCATTACCACGTAATAAAACCTTAAAAATGTAACATCAAATAAACGTGATAAAAGCTGAAAAAAAAGGTGAACAATTCATATAATTTTTGCGAAAAACAGGCCTCGTCGGAAAAAGATGAATTTCTCACTCTTCCCTCCAACAACGTTGGTTAGTGCAACTGTTGAAATTAATCATTTTGTGAGTTTAAGGTCACGCCCATCGGTTTTTGATTGAAAAATTTGTTTGATTTGTTCCATCGACAGATACTTTGCAGCGGTTTACTTTGTCCACCAGCTTCATCCTGTTTACCAAATCACCAAGGAAACCTTCGTTGTGTTTGTCCTGCTGACTGGGCTAATGCAACTAACTGTGAAAGAGGTGCGTTGTTTCGAATGCAATCTATCAGGAACTTTTACGAATCTCAAATGGGGAAGGTTCAGATTGATAAGACATACTCGTTCCAGTAAGATTTCGTATTTACTCTTCGATCTAAATTTTCTGACGGCTTCCGACTAAGTTTGTGTAGCGATTTTTCACTTTTCAAAGGCTTGTTTTGTTCGCCAATGAATATCTTGTCTTGCTGTTAGTTAAAATCGTGAAATAGTTTTACTATTATGCATTTATGCTACAAATATGTAACTATTATCATTACGACTATTAGCCACATCAATACATTTATCCCCAATACTTATTTCATCATCATCACCGTCATCACTATTGCTATTGTCTTACGTTGCACTAACATCCAATAAATGCAAGAAATCCATTGATCGAAAAGAAAACTTTCTGTATGATGAATTCGGAGACCAGGGCTGTGTCCGAAAGAGAAAACACAATCGACATCGGCACAATTTCTGAGTTAGCCATGAATAGGGAGTAATCTAAATAGTTTGTCCCCCTTCCATAAGGTAGTTCATCCTATTTCTATCCGATTTAGATGCTGATGAATGTAGCTCTGGATCACATTACTGCTCCTGCTCATTGTAATGACACCGTGGGCTCATCCACTTGCACCTGTAAGAGAGGGTTCTCAGGCGCATTGCTCCTATAACACCGACATCAATAATGTCAGACAAAAAACAAAATAAATTTCAAACTTTCCTGGCCGGAAAATGGGGATAAATTTTTATGCTAAGGCTTCTGGGGAAAATCACTTTTTACTATTCAAAAATGAAGAAGTTAAAAGTGCTTTCGTGAATTTTTTATTCCTTATTTTATCCAATATAGATGCCGATGAATGTTCCCTTGGAACGCATGACTGTTCCGCTGACGCGTATTGTAAAGACACCGTGGGCTCTTTTAAGTGTACTTGTCGGACAGGATTCACAGGAGACGGCAGGATATGTCGAAGTAAGATTCCAATCATTGTTCCTATCTTTGGTCACGATATGTGACATTAATCATTATCTATGACGTTTTTTCCATTATCATTTTTGTTTTTCATCCAATACAGATGTCGATGAATGCTCCCTTGGAAAACATAACTGTTCCGCTGACGCGTTTTGTAATGACAACTTGGGCTCATTCACTTGCACTTGTGTGTTGGGATTCTCAGGCGATGGCACAACATGTCAAAGTAAGATCCATTTGAATTTTATCATTTACCAGTCAAAAATATCAGACTGATTAGATATGAAATGGTCCGTAAAATATTAAATGATCAGAATAATTGTTCCATATTTTTACTCCCGTAGATAACTGAAATGATATCCACATAGATATTCAAGAGGAACAGGCTTTCAAGATGTAGTTTCTAAAGGTTTTTTTTTGTCAATTTAGATGTTGATGAATGCACCCTTGGAACACATAACTGCTCTACTGACGCGTTTTGTATTGACACCGTGGGCTCATTTAATTGCACATGTAGGACAGGATTCACAGGCGATGGCAGAACATGCCAAAGTAAGATGGATTTCATTTTTCTCGTTTCTTGATTTCATTACACTGATATCAGTAACTAAAGGATAGTTAAACATAATTCTTAAAGTTTTCTGTGTCAACCAAAATCATCCAGGAAAGTCTTAAGAAATAAAACTCATTAACAATAATATCAATAATAATAATAATAATAAAATTACAACAATAATAATAGTAATAATAATAAAAAACCTTGCTGTTGGCATTGTCAACCAGGCGTCAGTTTTTCAATCTTGAAAATCTCAACCGTCTCTGCATTATAACACTTCCAAAACAAGAATTCTTCCTACCAGCGAGATCGACGAAGAAAAAGTTGGCTGTATACTAGCCAGACCGAGTTTTCCACTCGACGCCTCGTAAGCTACCGGAACCGATCAATATGTTTTCTTTCCGCAGCGACCAATGAGTGTGTTGCGGAAAACAATTCATGTCACGAGGACGCCGTGTGCACAGACACTGAAGACGGCTATAACTGTACGTGCAGTCACGATATGATAGGGAACGGATCCTTATGCTTGGGTTAGTCGTATCCCGATAATTTAAAATGGTAATGGACCGAGTGGAGTCCAATTCTGTCCATAATTATACGAGTGATTGACAAAATCGGACGACTGCAAAGCCGGAGTCTGATTTGTCAATCACTCGTATGATCACAGACAGAATTGGACGACACGAAGTCCTGTTACCAATTAATTATGATCCATGATCCATGCTGTTCTCTGTACATTTCTTACGGTAATTTAACGGAAATTTCTTTAACAAGCCAAGTGTAGAGCTTCTTGAGTTCATTATCATTTCTTCCATTACAGGATTTCCTTTTTACTGGACACTTAATGGATCTGATCCGTTCATAAGGTAAGACGATGAAACAAATCCGGAAACGGCGCGATGGGAAAACGCTTTGAATTCTTTCCCCTTCATTATTATACTCAAAGGAAACATCTTGTCGTTTCCCTCCAGTTCTGTTTAAAAACAGAACTATCTCGAGTAGCTATTTTCCTGCTCACTGGGACTCAGGCTGGTTTGTTGTGTATGATTTTGGAATAACACTGTTAAAAATTTTGATAATCATTAAGAAAGTTGCCTATTTGCGATAGGATTTTCTCGCGCTCACTCACATGAAAAAAGGACATATTTGTTTTCTTAGACAGAAGAAAGACATTGCATTAAAAGGAGTTTGCAGCACAAACATGGCTGTTTTTGTAAAATGTTTCAAACTAAAAATCTCAGTTTTAACGGGAGAAAAATTTTCGTTATAATTTGCAATTATTTCAAATCTAGCACACACCTGATACACGCACAAACTTCCGCCGATACAATTACACTTTATATCTTTATAGAACAATATCCTACCACACGTTGAAAAATTTACAGATTTCAGAGACGAAAATTCTGTCTAATCCGTATTATCTCGAATGGTTTAAAATGGCGTGAATATCATGCAGGTCATTGTCCATGACCTACACCAGAAATGCATTATAAACAAATAATTTCCACTAAAAATGACCTAAACCCATGTCATTTCCATCTCGCGGACAGATTGTATAATGGTACCACCTACAAAAGTATTGATGGAACGACAGCCCTGTATTTGGATGGACATTCATACGCAGAAACTCCAGCACTCCCAATCCAGACCACCAGCTTCAGTATCTTGTGCTGGATGAAAGTTTTAAGCCTTCCTGCGTATGTTATAAACATTTACTCTGACTGGTCTTCACCCCACCAGTTCAGGTTTGGCATGATACAAGACAGTTTGTGCGCTAACCTCCGCCGAGATTTTCCTAAATCCTCAAATATTGTTTATTTCTGTGGAGGGTGAGCATCATACAACACACTGATCAGTTCATATTTTTGTAAAAAGGATGAATCAGCCTTTTCAGTTCTTGCTCTTTTTCTTGTTCTGGTTTTTTCCCCCTAAATTTTGGAGCAGGGCGGTGAGAAAATAAATAAAATTTGCGGAAATATTTTGTTGATAAGAAAAGACCGGCGACGTACAACTTTTGTACCTCGCACAAACAAAAAAAATCCACACTAGAAACGGACTCTCTTTGAGCTCTTTACTGTGGCCACAAAAGTATACAAAAAAAGGTCCATATGGAAGAAAAAGAGAGGGGATAAAATCAAACTCACTGACTAGTGAGTTTATTTCTTCTGCTTAATATGGACCCCTTTTCATTGTTTGTAAAAACTATCCAACTCTGAATGGCTGAGAAAAATTACATTCAGTATTTCATGAATCAACATTAACATTTATAATTTTCTTTCCTTCCGTAAGGCATATCCACCGGAACAAATGGATGCACGTCGCATTCACATGGAGTCGCGAAGGACTTCTCGGAAGACTGTACATAGACGGATTCGAAGAAGGCAAACAAAGAGTTCTTGGGTCAACTATTAATTTAGATCTCAACCCCACTGGCCACTCTGTGTTTGACATCGGGCTCAAACGGGATTCCTCGTTTCAACATACTTTCCACGGATTTCTAAAGAATCTCATGGTTTTTGATGTGGCAATAACTGGATTAGAAGTGAAGAAAATTTTTACAGACGGTTACACGGCAGCTTAACAATACAAGCAATAACAACTGAAAAAAGAAAAAGAAAAAAAAAAAAACGGACAAGAACTTCCGAAACTAACAACATGACAATTGGACTCGTACTTAAATAATGAGTATCATGAGTGGTACGCACTAAACTTTCCCTGACCACTGACACCAGCTTTCCTATATCATTCTTTTACCACACTGATAATTATCACATCATAAGACAAGCGACGTCGTGCACAGTGTGTATCCACAACTTTTAAGGCATTTTTACTAACACCACAAGCTTCTTGACTGAAGTTACCTAAAATCTGGACCTCAAAATGAAAAATATAAACTACAGTTTTCATTATAAATTCAAGCACGTCATCGTATGTTACACTTTCACACTTAACTCATCAAAGTACAAGGCAAATAAATTGCAATTGAGAACTGAAGAATTATGTGATAAACATGATTCGTCATGTTATTCATGCTATGCTCTCTTCGTGAAACCAAAAGGTTTTATCCATCATTGTCCAAAAGAACATTAATTTTAGCCCTTTTAGTAGTAGTTTCGAGGCACAGTGTCTTTCAATACAAGGTCGGTTGAATAACAGTGGTCTAGCAACGCTAAAATCTGATAGTTCACGGCCTCTCTCCGCTATCATCAGATTAATTCATACTGAGTAGATCAGTAACTATTTCATTTATACTTGAGATTCTGCCTTGATTTTATTCAACATTTTTCTCTTTATCAACTGGCTCACCTCTTAACAAATCACCTCTAAACGAAGTGCAGGAAAGAAGTCCGGAAAAAAATTTGTACAAAACTTCGATGCGGTTTCTTTACATCTTTTCTGTTTACAACAGATAGTACTAAGAGGTAATTGTTGAAGAAACCTCTCCAAACGCTGGAATAAGCACCGGAAATTGTTAACTAATTAGCGATTTGAGGGCCTTGGAGAGAGAATCAAAAATTTGCCACCAGTTCGGCCTGAAAAAATCTAAATAGATACCTTCGGTTACTTTTAAACTCAAATATGCTTTTTAATCATAAAATGAATGTGTCATCTCATTAACTTCACAAAGAGACCTGTAACAAAATGCAGAAGTTCAAAATGGACACGATGTTGTTAATGTACCTCTCCTCAACACGAATGTTGAATGTGTTAAACTAGAAATAAGAAATAAAAAAACGTGTGTAAACCAGAGTGTTCGATGAATATTCTTAAAAAAAAGCGTTGCCAAAACTGGCGCTAACATCAACCAACAAAGCACTTGAAAAGTAGTGAATTTTTGTTAAAAAAAAAAAAAACCTAACACCCATTTTACAACATCTCCTATTTCGAAAGAGGAACCGGGCTATTTTCACTCGTCACGAGTTTTCAGCAACAACTTGCCTCATTTAGTTTAATAGTAACCTTATGAGTCGGATGACCGTGCAACAAGAATCAAATTTGACGGTATAATTATTGTTGAGGAATTGCTTTAAACGAGTTGAAATACGACGAGTTATTTCTTTGTAAATAACCTGCTCAGGTAGATGGCATACAAAACGTTTTTTGGTTATGCAATTCCAAACTTCTCTGAAAGTTGTTTAAAACGGTTTTGATATCTTAGATCTCAAATCTATTGAATAAGTATTTTTCTTATTTGCAATATCTAGAGATGTTTTAGATAGCTTCAAGGCTACCTTTTAGAGATCTACTTCTTTCATTTGGATTGAATCCGTAACAATAATTCAGAACTTTTTCTCAAGACAAATAGTTCAATAATGATTTAAGATATAGCTGTAAATATTTTGCACAAGATTTTACTAAGCATAAATACATTTTGAAGACATTTCCATAGCATTCAAGACAAAGACAAATGTTATGAAATCAAATCAAATAAAATGCGTCTTTGCAAAATAAATGTTTTAAATCCAGAAGTACTAATGGCTGTTAATGTGGTGGCGGAAAAGCTTTGAACGCACATAATTTATATTTAACAAGTTACTTTGTCTCGGACGTCAGCTCAAGTTGTTCGCCGAAAAGCATCACTTACTGTGACTCCGATACCAGTCCCTTTTGAAGACTCTCCTCAGCCGAAAGATTTTATTCAACAGGGCTTCAAGTTTGAACCAGATTTCGGTGTCTAGCTTGTTCTTCTCTACTAAATTAAACAATTTCTCTCATATTGTCCCAGAAAAGAACTGTTTGGTTTGGAACTTGGTGCAGGGTGATGGAAAGTATATTGCTTGCGTTGGTAAAATTTGTTTTATTAAACGTTATTTACCAAGTAATGGGAAATGAAAGGAGACTTATCAGTTCCGGAGTAATTTATTACCACCTGTCCAATCCTAAGGCTCAGGATGTTTTTTTAATTAGAAAAAATACTAAGACTTTTTAAATTGTTACTCATTTAAACGGAAATGCCGAAAAGCTCTTCGAAGGATTTTACCGTTGGGATTTTTTCTATCGATTGAGCATGACAAGAAAAATGTGTTCACTAAAGGTTTCTTCTCCTCTCACTGCATACAATTCACGGAAAGGTCACAATTTTCAACGCCAAAGTGGCGTCAAGTTGTTTTCTTTTTTTTGTCTCTAGATCTCCTTCTTGAGGATGAAATCTCAGCTTCACTCAGAGATCTAGGGAGATTTCTCATGCGCATACCATTTATTTTGAGTTTAGATTTTTTTCATTCAGGTCTGGGTTCTGTTGTACAAAATCTAGTTTTCGCATTTCCATTGAGTAGTGGAGCGAAAATTTTCCTTACAAAATTTTTACCTCAGCATGTCTCTGGGTTCTGTTGTACAAAATCTAGTTTTCGCATTTCCATTGAGCAGTGGAGCGAAAATTTTCCTTACAAAATTTTTACCTCAGCATGTCTCTGGGTTCTGTTGTACAAAATCTAGTTTTCGCATTTCCATTGAGTAGTGGAGCGAAAATTTTCCTTACAAAATTTTTACCTCAGCATGTCTCTGGGTTCTGTTGTACAAAATCTAGTTTTCGCATTTCCATTGAGTAGTGGAGCGAAAATTTTCCTTACAAAATTTTTACCTCAGTATGTCTCTGAAAGCATGTTCTTTGTGAAACAGTAAGAAGAAAAACCCACATTTAGTAACGTCATAAGGAACTCAAAAGAGTAAAACTTAAGCTTTATGCTGTCGATGTAAGAAATTTTAATTTAATAAATCATCGAATCTGAGTTTGAGACAACTTCTCACCCTTTCTAATATATTCTAATTGTTTCATAATAATACTCTCACAGTCTGCATTCGGAAGGCCTGCGGCTTTCTCGATAAGTGAAAAAGCCATTACTTGACGTAGCGTAGTAACATTTTGCCTTCGATGGTATTTTCATCTAATCGAACTGTTAAAAAAGGACGGCCGTATATGCTCACGTTGTGTATAAATTTAGAGGGACTGTCGATAAGGATCATTTCAGAAGAAAATTTCTGTACCCGTGAGTTCGCACTGTACTGTGACAGGAAAATGGGAAAACTCGTACTGACTTTGGTTTTCATTGCATGTATCGCCTATGGGTACTGTCGCTCTTTTTCGGCTGAAGACAACGCACGCTCAGCAGAGAGAGTTAGACAGAAATTATTTGCAAGGTAAGTACTAATTTCGAAAGCATCACATTTGCTCTTTGGTTAACGTTTCTTTGTTAGACCTTGATTGAATTAATCCTAAAACTCATTGTAGGACATTGTAAACCTGTTATTAAAACTGCTCGGTGTTCGCTTGGAGATTTAATCCGTTCGTCATCCCAGTGCATTCGAATTCACCACGTACGTTGCATTTTGACAAATCAAACTGCATTAGGCGTTGGTAAACGGTAATTATTCCCAACAAAAAGGTTAAAATGAACAAAAGTCCCCCTGGAAAGACCTCCGTTCACAAGTTCGTAAAAGCAGTGGTGGAGAGCTCACACCAACAAGATTGCCTCGGAATAGAAATGTATCTCTTTGAGAAATATCATGGGAAATTAAATAAAATCACACACAATACCAACTAATATATGTTTTCGCCTTTTTCATGTAAGAAAAAAAACTGCTTAGGGCAAATTTAAGACAGCCCTGATTATTAGTCATCTCTCGCACGGTTTATATCCCATGCTGTGTGGTCAGCTAAAATCGCCTAAAAATTTCTGGAGTGTTTTTTTCAATTTTTTTTTTGGCTCGGTAAGCTCTTCAATAGAGGAAAATCTTCACATTCAGTAACAAGCTTTTAAACAAAATAAAATTTGAAAAGCATTTGTTAGTGGAAAGGAAATTTTAAAAAATAAATTTTATCAGTTTAGAAAATTCTCCCTCGATCATTGGATATCAATAATAATGGTTATGGAGTTGCTAGGTTTTGATCCAAAGTCTAGATCCATTCGGCACGATTTCATTTAAAGATGAGCTGTTGCCATGGTAACGGTGATTGATTAGCGCATTCCGCATTATGACCGATCCTTTCTCTCTCAAGGAGTAAAACAAATACCGTCTGGCTTTCAGGTGTCTCACCAGTCATTTGACACAATTTCGAACCAATATTGTTTGGATGGTAGCCCCAATTTATTAGTTTAAGATTCGTGCTTCAAAAAGTGCTTGATGTTTTCCAACGAGGAGAAAAATCTCACTCCACGAAATGCACTATCAACAAATTTAACGGAGAAGACGGCCAAACTCGACTACATTTAGAAGCTCTCCAAACTGTCCACTTTTTAGGACTCAAATATGTTACTAATTCTATGGATAACGGAGTTTCCAAACGAATTAAATTGTATTAGGGAAAAGATAAACTTTGGCCACCATTTTATAAAGTTGAGGTAAAAGTCGAATATATGCAAAATTAGCCTTTTTTCCTTCCAATTTTTTTCTCAGAGAAGGAGGAAAAATTAAACTTAATTACTAAGATACATTATCTGACATCGAGAGTGCTAGGCAAAATTCGTTGATAACATTTTTGGTCAAAGAACTTATTAAATGGTATGAAACGAAACACAATTTCGCAGTATACCTTCGAATTATTTGGCAATTTTCATCCGATTCATGCTTGTGTCACTCACTTCTGTTGATATTCTGTTTCATTATCTTGACGTTACCAAGGTTAAGCAGGAAGCTTGGCTTGATATTTTCTGTAGGGACTTTAAGCCTTCAGCTTTGTAAATGATACCTTACGATGTAAACATCGGCCAACGTTATTTGTGCGATTTCCGCCATGGAAGTACTGAAATTCATTCAGATCCAGCTCTAATTCGAGAAATAAAAGATATGCCTCTTTACCATTTTCCTTACATGTAGAAAACGGTCGAACATATTGCATTGAAATACTGCACCACCAAAATTTGATTTGTTTAGACTTAGTCCCAACCCCAAGTCATATGGCGTCCATGGCAGTCAACGGCAACATAGCAGTCATATTTAGGGCAATACTGGCCAGCCACGCGCCAATTTCCCGCGCAAAATTTTAAAGGAAGAATGAGAAACTAGCGCTTTCTCGCAGAATAATCAATACAAATGGAAAAGTTCATTGAAATCTGTAAAAGGAACAAAATGTAAGGAAAAGCAAAGGTCGAGACTTTTCGAACTCAAAGCTTATTCAAATACTGGTATGCTGTTTATGTAATATTCTATTTTGAGCTTTACCGAAAAAGCTCCTTCGCTTGTGAAACATTGTGACTTCCTGGTTTGTGTGGGTGTTTGTAACTTGTGTGAGACAACTTGGTTTGGACAGCCTGAAAGTACGCCATCTAATCATTACAACGTTATGCACGTGCTCAGACGTAGAAGCACAGACGTCCCATTTTCTTAACCAACCAAAAATTAAAAAGACGACTCAACAATCCTAGCTCATTACGATACAATTCAAAACAAAGGTCACTAACAAGTTCACTTCTTTGCACGACTGTAGGATGAGTAAAATGGACGACACCGCTGACACTAAGCGAAGCGGGGAAAAAAGGAGTCAAAACTGTAAACCACCTTACTGTCAGAGTCACGGTTACACTACTGGCTGGCTTATGGAGTAAGTGTAGTTGACGAGATAGATATCACACAACTGCTTTTCTAAGCAAAACGAGGCTTTAATTTAGCCACAATTGATTACGTAACATCTTCGGCTTACAACCTACGAAGACGTTCCGAGGATTCCGAGGGCTGTTAACGTCTAAAATAATTCGAAGAATTACAAAGATGGAGATTACTTAACAAAGAATGTTAAGACGCCCATGAACTTGCTAACACACCAGTAAGCCAGAGTTGAGAGTTGACATGATAAATTGTCCTGTGAGAAGAAAATAATGAGTGAGAGTAAGGAAGCAGGAGCTTAAACTTAATTAAGACAAAGCTATGCGCCATGCAGAAACATCACTCCTTTTTGTGTCTATAGGAGACCAGTCAATATTTATCTCCAGGGGAGGGGGGCTAGTCAATATCTATCTTCAGGGGGAGGGGGGCAAGTCAATATTTCTTCCAGGGGAGGGGGGCTAGTCAATACTTATCATCAGAGGGAGGGAGTGTGAGGAGGATTTTAGCGGGATCACAGGGTCTTCAGGGGAAACGGAGGAGGGAATAGTCGCCAACAGTTCGGTTGAGGATTTCTCATGAGTCGTTCCCTTTCTGTGCTTTAATGAATAAAATGATTTCTCTTGTACGAATTTTTGATCAAAATCGATGAAGAGTGGTCAGTAATTTCTTCTTTTTCATACACGATTGTAGCAAGGAAGACGTGATTGACGCAGCCAATGCGAAGCGAGGGGCGGACCATGGTCATCTTGGAAATCAGTAATCCTTAGAGTCGAGTCTACTAGCGTAAACAGTAAGTCTTTTTCTTCAATAATTCTGCGCACGAAATATCTTAAAATGTAAAATTAAATATTTCCAAACAGTCACGCTCTTGTGTCTGGGAGAGATGACTTCCTTTTAAAAAGTCACTATGTAGGAGGCTCTCTCATCAATAGCCTTCTCAAGAATTCACAAACCAGACTATAGGACTTGTAATAAACCGGCTTAAAATTATGGGACAAATCCCGACACTGGAAGAGTTCTACTATGTATGTATGATAAACGACTGATTTCCATCAATTGGTAAGAACACAGAAGCTTCTCAAAGAGAATAAGCTAAGTGTAATACTCCAATATGTTTGTACTTGCAAATCTACACGAGACATGAACTGGGCTGGTTGGGACAAAAGCTATTGCGGCTGACCGACATGTCCAGAAAACATGCAGAAACGAGGGCGGTGAAAATTCGTCAAAATAGTCAAATCTGCTAACCTGATTTCCCTTTGACGAATTTGTCTAAACTTCGCCAAGTCTGAAAAATCAATGAACATTGGCTCGGTTTGACGAAATTTCGTCCAATCTACCATTTTCGTTACTGCGTGCATTTCTAGACATATGTAAGCTGGTCTACAAAATATCACCGGCTGTAATTGTCATCTTCACATATTCAGTTCAAAATATGATATTAATTTCTTCCTTATTTTATCCATGCTTTCATTTTAGGTCAAAGATAAACGTCCAAAGACTGGCAATAAAAGATAGAGATTATGCAAGGAGGCCTCAAATGCTGTTAATTTAAACTAAATTACTACAGACAAATAAATGTTGGAGCTTAATGGCTACAAATATTATCTAAACGTGTACCAGCTGCTAATAAAGGTAAAACAATTATCAAGTCTCTGCTGTCTCTCTGCAGCTTGTTGGTTAGTTAAAACTCATTCCCCTAAAGATGCGTGGTAAAATTCACGTTTCCTAGAACATCAGTTCTGAACTTGAATTTCCTGGCTCTTTGTAATACGAATAAAAGTGCAGGATTGTGCAGAGGTTGTTTTTTTTTGCACGACTGAATGAAGGTGAGACGAGTAACTTAGTTGACACTAAATAAGGGGGGAAATCAGCGTCGAGCTGTCAGAATTAAGTCCATGAGAATTCCATGGATCCTTTGGAGTAGGATTCGTAAGTCCGACCTATCAGTAGCCTAACCAAAGTCGTTTACCTTGCAAATACTCCTATGGAGGGACTCAATGGGCTGGTATAGCTGACATCAGTACAATTAAAAACGGACCGTATCGTTTTCATGATTACGCGCAAAACGAATCAATCAGACTTTGGACACTAAGACAGCTTCGGTCATCCCTTGAAAACCAAGACTGCTTGTTGTGACGTCAAAAAACTACTACGTGGAGTTGCATGTTCCATTCGCATATGACCTCGAGTTGAATTTACCGTAAAGGATCAGTATCAGAGGAGATCCGGAAGCCGTTAGTTTACACAATGACGGGAGAGTTACAAAACTCATATTCACTCTGGTTTTCAGAAGTTGCGGTTGCTGTAGTAACATGTTGCCTTCGATAGTATTTTCATGTGATAGGAAAGGAAAACAGGAAGGCCGCATGTGATCTAATTTTGTATAAAGTTGAAGGGAAGAGCTTAACGAACTGTATCAGAGGATACCCGGAAGTCGTGAGTTGCCACTGAGACAGGAAAATGAAGAAACTCTTATTTATATTGGTTTTCATTGCCTGTATTTTCTATGTATTCAGCTGATCTTATGTTAGAAAGCCTACGGCTTGCTTTCGAAGTTAAAATATACCATGTAGGCGGGTTGCGTTAGTGACATATTTCCTTCCATGATATTTTCATTTGAAAGGAGACGAAAAACGGGAAGCCTGCATATGATCCCATTTTGTGTGAGTCGGAAGGAAAGGTCGTAAAGGATCAATATCAAAGGAGACCCGTCGTAAGTTGGCACCGTGACAGGAAAATGAGAAAACTCACATTGACATTGGTTTTCAGTGCCTGTATTGTCTACGTATCTAGCCGATCTTATGTTGGTGAAACGAAAGCTCTCTTGGCAGAGAACTGGGCTAGACGGAAATTGCCCCCACTGTAAGTGCCAGTTTAAAAATAAGCGCAACACAAAAGAAAATAATCGTGTCCCTTCTCTGTTCGACTTCGACTAAATTGATGTGAAAATAAGAGTTTTTCGAGAAAGATGTTTTTCGTCACGTCACGTGCGTGGGAAAAAGAAAATTTCTGAGTTCTCATGAGGAAGCGATATTCAGACCTTCGGATTTCCCGCTCCGATACTCTACCAATGAGCCACAGAGACTCCACGGTTAGCGAAGTCTATTACAAAGTTCATATGACACGCGTCCTGCATACTGCTAGGATTAGCAATGTCGATGGCGTCATGTTTGTTATTGGAATAAGAGATATGGTAAGCTTTGAGCTCGGTAAAGAAATAGAGAAAGATGTTTTTCTTCTTGTCACGAGCGTCGGAAAAAGAAACACTTCTGAGTCCCCATGAGGAATCGAACCTCAGACCTTCGGATTCCACGCTCACCGTAGTCTGTGAGGCTCAGTGTTAGAGCAACCGAGCGCGGATCTTTCTCTATTTCTTCACCGAACTCAAAACTTACAATCTCTCTAATTCAAGGAGTTATTCGTTCGCAAAATATGCTCAGTTTTAGCTTTGAAACTACGACATGTCAATAAAGAAGAAAAAATTGATATCCATAATCCCAGCTGGTTATAGTACTAATAAACACGCAGGATTGTAACAAACGTTGTTTCATTGCTTGATTGCAGTTTGATAGAAAGGAGCGACTCCGTGAAACCAAGCGAGGAGAGGCGAGTCAGCGCAAACATGGTTCATCATCACTTCTCATCGTCAGCCGGGTTTCGATAGCTGAGTAGTAAATCTGGTTCATTGACAGTCTTTCCTGAGTATAATTGCTTGAGTGAATTTTGGATTCACGTTGGCGGAGATCGTGACCGAACTCTAAGTAGTTAACTCTATTAATCACATATAAGAAATTCACATACCTGAATCGACACTTTTTAGCACAACTGTGTCTTGTGTTTCTTTGTACGAAGATCTCTCTTTACTTATCTAATCATTTTATTTTTGCACTCAGTTGTTGCAGAGCGTCGAATGGAAGAGTAAGTCTGTGAACTGTACCATTGGTTCTTTCAGTGATATCATTTACGCAATTGTCTTAGGCGATATTTTCTCCCAAGTTTCGCTACCCTTCACTCCCCTAAGCGACACCATTTCCTTCCATTGTTCATTAAAGGCTATTGTAACTGAGGATCTGCGGGTGGGGCCAGTTTTTTTAGGCCAATTATAGAGCGAGGTAAAAAAAACAATGTATTCTGGGATTACTTTCGTTCGACGCTCTTTAAAAATGGCTCCATCATTTTTCTCCCCTTCACTTTAGGTCCTAGTGAAATGAACGTCTGACGGCTGACACAGAAAGTTCAGATATATGCAAAGAAGCCATAACTGCTGCTGAAGCGAATTTAATCACTGAGGAGACCCGACATAAAAGCTTGACTTGAAGGCCGCAGTTAGCATTTAAATGTAATTATTGATAATGATATTAAAATTACAATAATATTTATAACAACAACAATAAAAATAATGTCACCACAATTAATGTAATAAGCCACAAGTAAAGTTCAGTAAAAATAATTACAAGGTTTTGCACGGTGGGTTAGCACAAGGTTTTGTTTCTGAGTTTTCTAAAGAGGAAAGGTGGAGATGGAAAAAAGAAAGACAACTGGTTCGACCTTATTGCCAAAACAATGATTTCTAACTTTTACATACTGACATCGATCTGCCTCATATTTCGGCTAGCATTGTGGCCTATTTCTTTTATGATAAGTGAAGAAAGGTGAAGAAATTTTTGAGAGATATTTAAAACATCAATGTTAAGCTGGTCATAATTGCAATGAGGCACGGTTTAAATTGATTTATGCATCTCGTAGATAGTTTATAATCTCTTGCTATGAATCAGTTATGCCTGGTATTCGAAAGGCGGACCGAAAATTTATAACTTAGTGTTGATTAGCGTTTCTTTGACGCAGTATTAAACCCCGTGCTCATTCATCAGTGACACTGTAGTCCTTCTCACAAGAATTTCAACGAGTGATTTATCACAGTCTCCTATCAGCTAACTAATTTTTCTCGCGGTCATTTCGTAACGAGAGAGCATCAGAGCTTCTAAAGATTTCATTTCGAACGATCTGTAATGCCCAAACATCTCGCCGACCATAACGTTCGATTGTATCACTCTGCCCCAGTCTCCTATGTAGCCCTCCTTAAAGGTCGTCACACCACGTGCTCTTCCTTAAAGTATGTCTTTCATGTATTTCACTTCATCTCCTGATAGCGCTTTATCAACCACAAAGATCTCTCATGTATCCATCAAAAGTCGGAAAATGCATGCTGTCTCGTTTCAACCCAATGTCGAAAACTGTATGATTATTTTCGATCAGGTCTAAAGGACCATTAGAAACTCTCCTTCCACCCATTCTTATTCCATCTACGTACAGAATTCCCTCTTTTCTATCTCGACTCCAAGTGAACGCCACGTGCATCCATCTATTGGGGATGACCTTCCTTTGATTATGAGAGAACAGAACACAAAAGGGAATGAGGCTTTGCGCAAATCTCCCCTTCTCAATATACCTCTTAGGAAGGTAAATCACTCTGGGATACACACTTGAGTGCTCTAGGTGTCTCTTCCTATTTATTAATTGCACGTAGGAAAAGAATAGATGTATCTTATGCACCTACCAGCGACAGAAATAAAGCATAGTAAGTCCACGTGGATGATGAGGTTTTCGAAGTTGAGCACAAATTCGACGCCAACCATAAATAAAGATTCTGAACTGATGTGGTTCTGACCAGTCGGAATAGATATGAACTGAATGATCACTTGGAAGGCTCAAAACCTTTATCCAACACATGATACTAAAGCTGATAGTTCGGATCGGGAGTGCTGGGGTTTCTGCGTAGGAATGCCGGGATCCATTCAAGTACAGTACTTTCCTGCCATCAGTATTTTGATAGGAAGCACCATTGTACAAACTTTTCAATTCATGAAAATAAGGGAAATACATTCGTTATAATGCCTACCATACCATATGGAATCCTCTTTACAGGTAGCTAAATGAAATGATGTCACCATTAACTGAAAGTATTTAACAGCATTTCAAGAAAGGCAGCTAAATGATCCTCTCCACTATTTATTTTGCGAGAAACTCTAAGAAGATATTTGAAATTCATGTGAAAAAATTGGGGAAATAGCCATAGCAAACGCGGCAAAATAACCGTAAATTTTTGTTGGCTGCAACGCATTTTAAAATTATTAAAAGTTAAAACTTTCATCTGTCAAAGCCGTTGTATTATGACTTTTATGCCCTGTACTCCACAGGCGGCCCAAGCTCCAGCTGTGAGATGATCATCTCACAGCTGGAGCTTGGGCCGCCTGTGTGTACTCAAAACAATAACTCATTGAAACTAGAGTTTATCCATAATTATAAGCAGGAGTGTGAACTTTTCACAATAATAGTGTTCCGACAATTTCTTCCTGGAAGAAGAAAGCGTTCTCTCATCTTACCTTATATTTGGATCAGACCCATTGAGTGCCCAATGAAAACGAAATCCTTTGAATCCTTGAATTTAAAAATGAATACTGGTGTGGTTTGATGACGATTTATCAAACATCAAACATTTTTTGCTTAAGTTTTAAAGATGTTTATAGGAGTGCGAACTAAATTTAAAGCAACTAAAAACGACAAGAATTCTAGAAGACAAGTAATTGGAAGATTTGAAATAATTCCCGTGATGTCGTCCGAAGATCCACAAACTGCTGAATGTAAACAACATATGCGGATACTACAAAGCACCAACTATAGTTGAGCACAAGTGGGATAACTGTATAATTTTAAGCTCATGAACCTTTTTTAGAGAAGACTGTTCTTAATAACTTTCATGCTTCAAAAAGGCCGTGAAAGAAATCCGTAATAAGCCTTACTAGTGGTATTACAGGGTCCTACTATAGTGGAACTTACGGTGGATATAAACTCTTAATATAAAACGCGTTCATTAAAACACCCACCCACGCATAAGAATCCATCTCCAATCATATAGTCCTTGCATTTACATATGTAGCCTCCAATAGTGTCGCTGCAAGTGGCGTTCACGTGACATTTGGCTCTTCCGGTGTTACATTTAATGATATCTGTATGTAGATAGAATCGACACTATCAATCATCCAGACTCATACTTCCTCGCTTACACAACTATAAACATAAATAGGACGAGTTAAGTGGTACCCGTACGGGTTTGAAACGGGATGAAGTAGTAACGAACCCGAGCTTAACACTTAATGAACACTTTGTACGCGTTACCAGAAATCATACCGTGACACTCTCCAGAGTAAGAAACAGCTAAATTTTGGTAGATTTATTGTCATTTATCTTTGGCTCTGAACACAGTCTCTACAGTTCTTTTAAAAAACCTTTTATGTCAGTAAAGTGTCACTTTGTTTCTGAGTAGTACTCCACTGTGAAACTGGGTGACATCGAGTCCATTTTTGAGCATTATCTAGAAACGTAGAGGATCTTTATAAGAAGTATAAAGTGATAACATAACTTTTTGAAGTTAACAACGCTAAGAAAAAGAATTAAATAAAAATAAAACAAAATACCGGTTTCTTACTTTTGCACTCTTTGCCATCTCCTGAAAATCCAGCTTTACAAGTGCAGGTAAAGGAGCCCAAAGTGTTGTTGCAGTACGCGTACGCTGAGCAGTCATGCGATCCAGAGGAACACTCGTCCGTATCTTCAACAAAATAAAGAGACCCTACGTTAACTAACGATTAAACACTAGTCAATAATGCTTTCAGGAAGACTACTATCAAACCATTCTCTCGACGTTATTTTAGTATGAAAAAAGGCACCGCGCTAATGGTACATGGCGAGGACCAGACTGCTTAACTAACTATTTCCGCAATCTATGCGACTATACTGCTAAAGCATAGCACTTTTGTTTGTCAAATTGCACAACGCTAACAGTAAAATAATTGTTCCCTAACATACAAAAAAATTGAGTGCGCGTGGAAAGGTGAAGGCTTTCTCTCATATCGTAGATCATTACGAGCAACGCTTTATGTCAAACAGGTATAACAAAGGGTATATAGCGATAATAATAAAAACCTCTTTCGCAGCTTTCAGTTCTAGTCCAATTAGCAGGACAAACGCAGCGGAGTTTTCCGTGAATAGTTGGTACACAAGAAGCAGCTGGGGGACAAGGAGATGTGCCACATAACTTCTGTTGAAAACGAAAAAGATAAAAAAGATTTCTTAGTGATATTTCACTGAAACAAATATATGTTATTTGCCGGCTAATACGGCTTACGGCCTCGGGCAGCATTTTCAAGACCTCCGGTCACAGTTTTTCACCATACGGACCAACCCTTAGCCGGTAAACATATATTTTTTTTAAACTTAACGAAATACATTCTGAAAGAACCCGAATGATTTAGGGCTATAAATACGGCAAGATCTTCCATAAACTGAACAATTTTTGAGCGAGTATATGGTAGTTAAAGTAGTGGTGATACAAATTAAAGAGAGATGCTTCACGGAAACATTTTCACTTGCGTAATGATAAGGGTGATTTAAAAGGCTTCCAAACAAAGTTTGAAACATTATTTTTACAAGTATCTGTCACAATCTGACACCTATCAATTAGAGAGCGCGTAAGAAAAAAAAGCGCAAGAAGATTTGAAAAACAACGGAACTAGTTTGGCAAGGTCTGTCATGACAATGTTTTCTTAAAAAACAGTCAATGATCTAACGGAAAGTATTATTCACTCTCATCGACGATTCATTCAAGTACGAAGATTTACCTCTGTTCATTAAGTAAACTGCCAGGAAAGTAATTGTGAGTAAATTCAAATTTTTTATTTTGAAGGTGTGAGAGTTTGCCCATTTGTTTGCTGCAACGGCGTGTGTAAATCTGGTCTTTCCTCCACAAATTCGAACGGCACACTCCAACGAGACACAAGAGGATTTAATGCGGCCTTTTCTCAGTAAATTCCTTCAGTTTCTGTTGTGCAATTTATGGTCCAAATGTCCAAATTGAACGGACTTGGAAAGACTCACCGAGAGCGTATATTCATTGTCGAACTGAAATTAAAACTTCGCTCGCTCTTTCACTACGAACAAATTGTTTGAGATAATTCAGATATTTTAATATATAAACCAAATACCTCGCGTTTTAACTCTCAAGGTACTTTTTATGAATGATTAAAATCAATTGCAGACGGTTTTTAGGCCGCTTGTCAACCAACGTAATGACACTATTGCTTATACAAATTCATTCTGAAACCAATATTACTTCGTCAACCAAAGTGATTTAAGAGAGAGAAAAGTGGAGAGGATTCATAAGTCGGCTTGAGGTAGTAACCGATGTGTTTGCTTAAAAATACTGCCCAGCCGGTAAAACGAGATATATATATGAAAAATAGCAACGAATGAAGGGATGTACTCGGCGACTCAAGAAAGCGTTACCGTTGCCCGTGGGCAGAGATAGGAAAATACTGACCGGGTAAAGAACCAATCAGATTGCAGGATTCGTTACCGTGCCCTCTAAAAAAAAAATAAATAACCATATCACAAAGAAATTATGTGTACTATAATATTTTCAGAAATTTGAAGTTTTCCTTAAAGTTTTAAGTTGGCTGGATGAACTTTTCTTCAACTCCTACCGGTCGATAGTTTATACTTTATCTTGTCATCTTATCCAGGTAAATGTAGTTTGGAAATGACCCATACAAAAATGCACTTTCTTTTTATCAACAGTTATCCAGGTCGTACTGAAGGTTCATGCTAGCCTGCAGGGTAGGCGTAGTATTGGCGAGCGCGTGCTCATATTTCTTAGGGTAAATTATGGCCGCCATCTTTTATTCTAATGGCAGCGGAAGGATGGGGAGAAAAAGAAACTTGTACCAAGCGGGTGAGCGACGGTCAAGAATAAGGAGAGGTATGGGGGTGGGGGAGTATATTTTCGCCTTTCCTTTTCTTTGCAGTATACCTACCATGGTTGGATGATAGGAGAAGCCTTTCTTACAAATGAGATGTTCAGGATGTTGAAAGTGATCAGAGTCACTGAGTTCACATTTTAATTTGCCCCTGGTCTCTGAAATTCCAAGATTGAAGGATGAACAGAAGTTCTCTGCGTAACACCTCACTTTACACTGATCTTTGTTATCAACCATCAAGGACTTAATGACATGATTTTCAAGGTAATTGTCTTCCTCGGGTTGAACAAACTCCAAAATTCTGCACGTTTCTGATAATAAAAAAAACACGAAGAATGCTAAACGGAACACAAGTTGATTATGATGTAATCTAACAAAAACCAACATGAAACAATGTAACGCAGCTGTATATGTTACAGGGCTCTAGCTGCGTTCGGGCGATACGCATGTAAGGGCAAATCGTTACTCTAGCCTGCTTTTCTTTATAATTCAGTTTTCCTATCTTCAGCAGATTCTGTGTTAACCAGGTGTAAATATTTTTATGCTAAGCAGGCTAATGGTGAATTGAGGTATTTCTCCTTGAATAGGTTATCCATCATAATGAATAGGAATTATTAAATGTTCTAAATAAAAACAATTGAATCGTTGAATGTTTTGGGCAACTGTCATGGAATTCTGTTCGCTTGAAAGAAATTTGTTGCTGTCAACTGCTTCGTAGGAAAAGTTTTCGCGAAGAAAGGTCCTTTGCCCTGCAAGAAGGAATTTTTTTCACTTGAAAATATAAACAGGTGGTGTCAAAGAAAACTTTAATTAAACTTGGACCGAAGAGCTGTCATTGTGCAATGTTAACAAGTCAAGATGTTTACAGTGGAATTCTTAAGCGATTTACTTGCAAACTCACGACTTCCCTTTAAAAAACAAGATAATTTTAAAAAAGGCTTTCCTTAAAAGCCTTTCAACCTGACATGAGAGTTGATTGCAGAGTATTCATGCAAGACTTGATACTTCAAAAATTTTTAGGTGCCGAAGACCACTACGTAATTCTTGATTGCCATAGGCAAAAAATTTGACTTTTATTGGAAGGGTTGAGCATAAGGCCTTTTCTAAGATTAGAGCAGCTATAAAAAGTTGTTAATTAGAAAAGTTCAACAAGGAGAGTCTAAATCAGCTAAGATTTTACGAAAACAGGGTTTCACTTTCATTTGATCACAATTTTCACAGAAATACTGCAAAAAGCACTATTTTTCGCGCATTCGAGCAGGAAGAATTCTGAAACTTGCAGTCAAAAGCAGAAAATTTGAAAACCCTCGTTCTAAAGTACCGATGCACCACCTGTTTTTACTCTTCATATAGTTCATATAAACTCGCGTATCGCTAATCACACTAATAATTCCGAAGGGTAACGTCGCTTTTGTGTTGCTGATTGTAACTTTCTATTTTTTTCTTCGTTCGAGGTACTTAAGACACATTCTGAACCATAGCTAGTGGAATTTTACTGAATGTTCGCACAATTTTTTCTTCTAGATTAAATCTAACCTTGCGCAAAGACGTGTGAAACGAACAATATCTTCCACAGAGCAGCAAATGTAGTGGACATGATTTTGACATCAACTTTATCACTTTTCCTTGACTCACGAGGAGACCAACAGCCCTGCTAACAACCTGGATTTTCAAAATAAAATGATTATTGTTGACAGGTGATGACTGCTGAAAATTAATTGTGAAAACAATAGGAGAACCACGCTAACTCGAACACAGCTAACTCAAACCCCCCAGTAACTCAAACAAGATCCCATTTCGCTCGGCCCTCGGCATTTTGTCCGTCATTCACTATCAGTTAACTCGCGCCCCGCTAACTCGAACCATTTTTTGTTTTCCTCGTGGGTTCGACTTAGGTAGGTTCTTCTGTACATCCTTTTCGGCAAGGCTTTATAGTGTTGCCCTTGTATCCTAATTTTTTACTTAATTATCGAATAGAGACCACTCTGTATTGCAAAATTTCAAATCTTTTGCACCTATCACTTAACTTTTATGACTGATCGCCTCACATGAGGGGAAAATTATTTGCAGAGTCTCTTTAAGGTAGCTCCCGAAAATCTTGTTGCACGGAAGACAACGATCTCGTTACACGAGCGTGCACGTGTCTGAAAACATGACAATTCCTGAGAATTTTTCGAACAATTTGTGAACTGTTCAACAAACTTGCCACAAAGAAAAGCCGTTGACACCTGCTTCCTGTTGTGCGTATCCGACAAGAAGGCCCTCTAGAGAAATATAAAGCAGCTCTTTCACGGAGGTTCGTAAACTTACATGCGGCCTCTCATACGTGTCTAGAGGCGGCTAATGCCAATGTTCATTCAATCTTAATATAAAATAAAAGTTTCAAGTAAACAGGAATTGCGAGGGTCTCACAGTGTGCACACATATTTCCACACCTTTTTCTTTTCCACACACTTAAAATGTAACCGTGCTGGATGAACGTGAACACACTTGTAAAGGCAAAAAGGTGCGTAGCAATAACAGCAATTTTACCGATTAGTTTGAAGACAGCTTCCTCAATGTTACAACATGTACATGACAGCTGACTTATATTTCCCTCAACAATCAAGTGCTTGTTAATGAACGCAAAAAATTCAGACTTCGGTTACCATGCCTTGCACCAACTTTTCTACAATTCCCACCTTTGTGCGAACGCCGGTTTTGAAAAGAAGTCCACAATAAAAATGGGTTGAATCGCATTTACAAAATTTTACAACGAAGGAATGAAAAAACGACAACGTAAAAACGACGGCTGCTTTCAAAATGTTTTTTTCAAATCTCCTTCGTCGTTATGCTGTAACGAGCTAGACAAAGAGAGTTTCAAAAGAAGATCTTTTTAATCAGTCTTACTCAACCAAAAATTACCAGCTGTTTTTTCCATACTCTAATTAGTGGGATTTATGTATCAGTTATACTTAATTTGCTTGAATATGAAGTGCAATTGTTTGTCTCACTATGTGGTCACTTCTGTTTTGAATCGCCGGCGACTTAAAGACTGCATACTGCGAATCTTCTTCAGGCGATAATTTCGATTCTTTTTTTCTGATCCCGTTAAGTTACTATTTCTCCAAAGTTGAAGATTTTCCACTACATGACTCTGCATGGCTGAGACTTCATACAGGCTTGTTTACTTTTCTGTCAAGACGCTAACTTCACGTTAATCAAAGAACCCAATCGTCCTCACGTACTTATTCTTTGAACGCTGACATTTTATCATCTGACTGACATCTCTCGCTATAGAAATATGAACCATTTTGAAAAAAAAATAATTGTGAAACAAAAAATGAGTACATGTATTTCGCCAGGCCTCCTATCTAAGTAACGTTTTCAAAGGTCTTTCCCTGAATAATAAAAACACGGTCTTGAAGGCTGAACTATTCTAGACGTAAACATTTTCTTAAGTAAACAGAACTACTACTCTATCAGTTGACATGTCATGCAAGGTCCTACAATAACAGTAATAGTAATTAGCATATACTAAATCAGTAGAGAGCACTCGAGACGCACTCTGAATAGTAACTCAAACTCCAAATATCCTTTGCTTTTTACCTCCGAGCAACTCGCGCGAGATTTGCGCCGCCCGAAAATATTGTAATCATTGCAGGAATAAATGAGTGGTGAAAATCATCTTTTTGTGCTGTATTATCTCACTGTTTTAGCATACACGATATGAAAACGGTGTTGGAAAGACACGGCACTTAAAAAAAGAAACGTTTACAACTCATTAAGGTTTTTTCTCTATGTAGCTCTAAAATTTTCAAAACTGTAAAGAACTTTTATGGAAGGTGATGCAGGTTTTGGCGTAAGAGTAGAATCTAACGCGTGAACCTAGCCTGCAGTGCAGGCGTCTCATTAAGGCGAGTTAACGTGAAGAAGCTCGCGATGGTTTTTTCAGCCGGCCATTTAGAGATGAGACAGTGGTGGAGGGAGAGGGTGGGCATAGGCGAAAATATATTCACTCCCCCACCCCCATCCCTCTCCTTACTCTTGACCGTCGCTTACCCCCTTGGTACAAATTTCTTTCTCTCCTCAGCCTTCCGCCTGCCACTAGATTAAAAGATGGCGGCCATAATTTGCAGTAAGAAAATACTGAGTACGCGCTCGCCAATATTACACCTGCCCCGCAGGCTAGCATGAACCTTCAATGCGACCAGGATAACTGTTGATAAAAAGAAAAGGTTATTTTGTATGGATCGTTTCAAAACTGCATTTACCTGAATAAGATGTCAGAATAAAGTTTTAACGTCTACTTCTATCGGCCGGCAGTAAAGTTCATCAAGCCAACTAACAACTTTAAGGAAAATTGCAAATTTCTGAAGAAAATTGTCGTACACGTAATTTCTTCATGATACGGTTATTTATTTCAGTGAAATTTTACTTAGAAATCTTTTTTATCTTTTTCGTTTTCAACAGAAGTTATGTGGCACTTCCCCTTGTCCCTCGGCTGCTTCTTGTGTACCAACTATTGATGGAAAACTCCGTTGCGTTTGTCCTGCTAATTGGACTAGAATTGAAAGCTGCGAAAGAGGTTTGTATTACTATCGCTATACACCCTTTGTTATATACCTGTTTAACGTAAAGCGTTGCACGTAATGATCTACGATCTGAGAGAAAGCCTCACCTTTCCATTTGCAATCATTTCTTCATATGTAAGTGAGCAATTATTTAATTTTTCGAGTTGTGCAATTTGACTAATAAAAGTGTTGTATTTGAGCAAGATAGTAATATAGATTGGAAAAAGTTAGTTAAGCGGTCTGGGGTCTTCGACGTTCACCATCAGAGCGGTACCTTTTTTCATATTAAAATAACATCGTGAGAATGGTTTGATGGTAGTCTTACTGAGAGCAATATTATCTACTGTTTAATCGTTAGTTAACGTAGGGTGTGATTGTTTTGTTGAAGATACGGACGAGTGTTCCTCTGGATCGCATGACTGCTCAGCTGACGCGTACTGCAACAACACTGTGGGCTCATTTATCTGTACTTGTAAAGCTGGATTTTCAGGAGATGGTAAAAAGTGCAAAAGTAAGAAGGCGATATATTTTTTTTTTTCGGAGCCAAGGATAACTGACAATGCATCCACCCACATTTAGCTATTTCTTACTCTGGAGAGTGTCATGGTATGATTTCTGGTAACCAGTACGATGTTTTCAATAAGTGATAAGCTCAGGTTTTTTTACTACTTCAGCTCGTTTCAAACTTTACACCAAAAACGCTTGCAACCCGTACTGGTACCATTTCACTTGTCCTATTTGTGATTACAGTTGCGAGGTATAAGTCTGGATGATTGACAGTATCGATTCTATCTTAATACAGATATCATTGAATGTAACACTGGAAGTGCCAAGTGTCACGTGAACGCCACTTGCAGCGACACTATTGAAGGCTACATTTGTAAATGCAAAGACAATATGATCGGAGATGGATTCTTATGCGTGGGTGGGTGTTTTGATAGACACATGTTATATTAAGAGTTTATATTCACCGTAAGCTCGGCCACAGTAGGACCCTGCAATACCACTAGTGAGGCTTATTGCAGGATTTCTTTCACTGCCTTTCTGAAAGATGAAGGTTATTAAGAACCCTTTTCTTCACAAAAGGTACATGAGCTTAAAAATCAAACAGTTATTCCACTTGTGCTGTACTACATTTAGTGCTCTGTAGTATTTCCAAATGTTGTTTACATCAAGCAGTTTGTGGATCTTCGGACGACAAGACGGGAATTATTTCAAATCGTCCATTTACTTGCCTTCTAGACTTCTTGTCATTGTTTGTTTGCTTTAAATTTAGTTCGCACTTCTATAAACATCTTTATAACTCAAGCAAAAAATGTTTGATGTTTGATAAATCGTGATCATCCCACACCAGTATTCATTTTTTAATTCGAGGATTCAAAGGATTTCGTTTTCATTGGGCACTCAATGGGTCTGATCTAAATGTAAGGTAAGATGAAAGAACGCTTTCTTCTGGTAGGAAGAACTGGTCGGAACACACTGTTGTGAAAAGTTCAAATTCTTACTCATAATTATGGATAAACTCTAGTTTCAGCAAACATTTGCGGTTATTTTGCCGCGTTTGCTGACAGCAAACCCACAGAAGTTTGAAAAATCTTCTTCGACTTCCTCATACAGTGAATACTTCCTGGAGAGGATCAATTAGCTGCCTTTCTTGAAATGCTGTTAAATATTTTCAGTTAATGATGTCATTATTTCATTTAACTTCTTGTAAAGAGGATTCCACATGGTATGGTATGCATGTTAACAGATGTATTTCCCTTATTTTCATGAATTGAAAAGTTTATACAATGGTGCTTCATATCAAAATACTGATGGCAGGAAAGTACTGTACTTGAATGGATCCCGGCATTCGTACGCAGAAACCCCAGCACTCCCGATCCGAGTTATCAGCTTTAGTATCATGTGTTGGATAAACGTTTTGAGCCTTTCAAGTGATCATCAAGTTCATATCTATTCTGACTGGTCAGAACCACATCAGTTCAGAATCTTTATTTATGGAAGTCATAAAATTTGTGCTAATCTGCGAAATTCATTTGGTGCAACACGTGAAATGTTTAATCTCTGTGGCGGGTAGGTGCTTTAGATACATCTCTTGTTTTCCTACGTAATATTAGTAAATAGGAAGAGACACGTACAGCACTCAAGTGTGTATCCCAGAGCGATTTACCTTCCTAGGATGTATATTGAGAAGCGGAGATTTGCGCAAAGCCTCATTCCCTTTTGTGTTCTGTTCTCTCATAATCAAAGGAAGATCATCCCCAGTAAATGGATGCACGTGGCGTTCACATGGAGCCGAGATAGAAAAGAGGGAATTCTGTACATTGATGGAATTAAAGAAGGTAGCAAGAGTGTTTCTAATGGTCCTTTAGACCTGATCGAAAATAATCATACAGTTTTCGACATTGGGTTGAAACGAGACAGCATGCATTTTCCGACTTTTGATGGGTACATGAGAGATCTCCTAGTGGTTGATAAAGCGCTATCAGGAGATGAAGTGAAATACATGAAAGACATATTTTAAGGAAGAGCACGTGGTGTGACGACCTTTAAGGAGGGCTACAATGGAGACTGGGGCAGAGCGGTACAATCGAACGTTCTGTTTTGTGAGATGTTTGGGCATGACAGATCGTTCGAAATGAAATCGTTAGAAGCTTTGATGTTTTCTCGTTAGGAAAATGGAAGGTGCATATGAGCACGAACATTACCAATTTCATTGAAAATTATTCCTCGGGTACCATTACACCATCTCTGATTGAATAACAAAACAAAGAGGCATAGAAACTCATTTTTAGACAAGCTTTAAGGCGGCAACAAGAACAGGTGGAATGAAAAACATGCGGAGCAAATAAATCAGAAAAAACGTTTTATTTAAGGTTGCTGGTGCTATACTGTAAATGCTGCATTTTCTGTTATCACTCATGATGATTGACTCTTATGCAGTAATCAATCTTGACTACGAGAAAAATTAGTAAGTTAATGAGACTGATAAATCACTTATTGAAATGCTTGTGAGGAAGACTACAGTGTTACTGACGAATGAGCACGGGGTTTTATACTTCGTCAAAGAAACGCTAAATAACACTAAGCTATAAATATTCGGTTCACCTTTCGAATGCAAAGCATAACTGATTCAGAGCAAGAGATTAAATATTAACTATTAGATGCATAAATCAACATGAAATTGCGCCTCATTGCAGTTTTGACCAGCTTAACATTGATGTTTTAAATATTTCGCAAATGACAGCGGCGTATGTAAGAAATAAAGCCATTTCTCAAAAATTCTTTACCAATTTATTATAAAAGAAATAGGCCACAATGCAAGCCGAAGTTTGAGGCTGATAAATGTCAGTATATAAAAGTTCAAAGTTAGGAATCATTGTTTTGGTAATGAGATCGAATCAGTCGTCTTCCTTTTTTTCATCTTCATTTTTCTTCTCTAGGAAACTCTGAGACAAAACCGTGTGCTAACCTACCGTGCAAAACCTTGTAATTATTTTTACTAAACTTTACTTGTAACCTATTACATTAATAGTAATAGTAGTATCTTTATTGTTGTCGTTATCAATATTAATGTTGTGTTAATATCATTATCAATGACTACATTTAAATGCTAACTACGGCCTTCAAGTCAAGCTTTTATGTCGGTTATCCTCAGTGATTAAATTTACTTGAGCAGCAGTTATGGCTTCTTTGCTTATATCTCAGCTTTCTGTGTCAGCCGTCAGACGGTCATTTTACTGGGACCTAAAGTGAAGTCGTAAAAAATAATAGAGCCATTTTTAAAGAGCGTCGAACGAAAGTAATCCCAGAATACATTGTTTAGGCTTTACCTCGCTCTTTAATTGGTCTAAAAAAAACTGGCCCCACCCGCAGAGCCTCAGTTACTATAACCTTGAATGAACAGTGGAAGGAAATGGTAGCGCATAGGTGAGTGAAGAATAACGAAACAAGCGGGAAAATATCGCTTAAGACAACTGCGTGAATGATATCACTGAAAGAACCAATGGTACAGTTTACAGACTTATTCTTCCATTCGACGCTCTGCAACAACTGAGTGCAAAAGTAAAATAATTTGATAATTAAAGAGAGATCGTCGCACGAAGAAACACAACACACAGTTTTAATAAAAAGTGTTGATTCAAGTATGTGAATTTTAACTACTTAGAGTTCGGTCACCATCTCCGCCAACATGAATCCAAAATTCACGCAGGCAATTATACTTAGGAAAGACTGTCAATAATCCAGACCTGCTACTCATCTATCCAAACCCGGCTGACGATAAGAAATGATGATAACCCTTGCGCTGACTTGCCTCTCCTCGCTTGGTTTCACGAAGTCGCTCCTTTCCACAAACTGCCATCGAGCAAAGAAACAACGTTTGTTACAATCCTCCATGTTTGTTAGCACCATGACCAGCTAGGATTATGGTTATCAATTTTTTCTCTTATTAACGACATATCGTAATTTCGAAGCTAAAACTGAGGATATTTTGCTAACGAAAAACTCCTATTTTCACATCAATTTGATCGAAGTTGAACAAAGAAGGAACACGAATACTTTCTTAAAGACTTGGATTGTGCCAATTTTTAAACTGGCACTTACAGTGGGGGCAATTTCCGTCTGGCCCGCTTCTCTGCCAAGAGAGCTTTTGTTTTACTAACACAAGATCAGCTGGATACTTAGGCAATACAGGCAATGAAAACCAATGTAAATAAGAGTTTTCTCATTTCCCTGTCTCAGAGGCAACTCACGACTTCCGGGTTTTTCTCTGATACTGTTCGTTTACGCTCGTTCCTTTAACTTTATAGAAAATTGGATCATATGCTGCCTTCCTGTTTATCTTTTCCTATAAAATGAAAATGCCACCGAAGGCAGTATGTTACTACCGCAACCACAACTTATTGTAATAGCTTTTGACTTTACGAGGAAGCCTTAGGCTTTCTTCTAGCAGAGCTTACGTTTTACCAACAAAAGATCGGCTGCATAAGTAGGGAATAGAAGCACCGAAAACCAGAGTGAATATGAATATGAGTGAATATAATTTCCAAGAAAAAATACATACAGGATATTACACAGTGGCGAAGAAATAGAAATTTTATGTTCGAGTTGCAAGAACAATATCTCACGAGTCAGCGCAGCGAATGAGTGAGATATTGTTTTGACCACTCGAGCATAAAATTCATTTCTTCGAGCTAACGTGCAATTTTTATTTAATTATATGGATAAACCAAAGTTACTAATGACTCAAGTTCATTCAGCAAAGTTTGGAAAGGTTGGAATCGTGACGTCGTTGCTCTATATGACCAGCCTTGTTGCATACGAGAAATACGCCACTTGGTCCCCGGATGTAGTGGTCATAATGAAACATCGATCTCCAGTTCTCCTCGCCACCTTCATCTTCGTGAAATATGGCAACCAAGAGACTGCATAGCGGACTGCGACTAAAAATCGAACTGTTGCTGTCGAAGTAAAGCTACAAGGTAGATTGGAAACTGAAATTAAGTTACGTTCATCCGTCTGTGATCAGTGAAATATGTGACTACAGGTAGGACATCTAATTGTTTAATTGTCTTTGAAAATCCCTTGTTTCCACTCTCTCATGAATGGCACTGCCTAATGAAATACATTTAAAAAGCGTTTTCCTCGCAGAAGTAGCCAGCGAGACAGTGCAAGTTATTGCTAAATTAATAAAGTTAGGTATACTTTAAAAACACGTTTGTAGTATATTATTCGAATCTTACCGAAATGAATCAAACCGCAGCCATATTTCTACATAACACGTAAGTGAATTGAACCCTAAATACGTGTATCGAAATGCAAACACGTGCATACAAAACAGTGCACTCAAAAGAAGTAAATCGGATCGTATTCGTTTACATCGAAGTGACAGACATTCCAATTGAACTGTACATAAATCGGACCGGTCAATCAAAACAAAGGACACTTCCAAGGATAATTCAAACTAAACTTATGCAAACTGCCTAACACTCTTGAAAACGGTCATGTGCTTGGGCTATGCCTGGCCAAGAACAACCAAGAGCTAATCATAGACTTTTTCAGTGTTTAGAGGATTGAACTAGATATTCCACAAATTGCAAAACTAGTTTAGTCTTAGTTTAGTTCCATTTGATACTAATTGGTACAAAGTCACAGGTCTCTGTCCCTTGAATTGGTGCTTCCTGATCTGTTCGCGTCAGGGCTCTCCTTGACCTGTTGGAATGTAACTACGAATTCTGTCGTGAAAGAAAGAATAACAAACTATGCTTAGTGCAATGCAATGCAGTGTAATGCAACGCTGTTGCATATTATTTTATTATATTATTATTATTTTACTATACTCTTAGAATATGAAGAAAGAATATAAATTATAGGATTCGCGAATGGTAAAGACAGTAAATCTAAGAACTATTAGTTATCATTATGAACATCATCACGAAATAAAGGAACAAGAAGAGGATGAACTAAATGAGGGGCACTAGCAAAAAATTTACAATCTAGGCATTCACTTGCATTTCCTTGGTCAAAAACCATCAACTTCAACACGTCAGTCGGGAATTGTTGGTTAACAAGTTAAAACAATAGCAAACAACATTGATTAACAAATTTTTAGGAGACGGTCGGCCATCAGCAGCGGCCCAAAATTTGGTTTCAAGTTATGAAAAATAAATGTGATGGAACACCTGTTTACAAAATGGAAGCCAAAGATCGATACTCATTTACACGAGTGAAGAAACAGTCTGTAACAGCTGTAACACTTTTGTATGGGGCTCAAAACTTGCTGAGATCTAAATTCTTACCTCCCAACCGAAATTCAATTTGACGTTTTCTCCAAGTAGGACAAACGGTGCCCAGTACTTCATATCGTAGTACTCTGGTGATTCTCGTATTACACTAATGAAACGGTGGAGAGCTTCACTCGCACTCATTTTTTCGGGCACCGGACACCAAAAAAAACACGGGCGATCCCAACCACTCCTAAGAAACCACAGCTCCTCCGGGACAATCATAATCGCTAGACCCTCGATAACATCAGCAAAAGGAGAGATTGTCAGCTTGAATATTGACTTTAACTTTGATTCAAGATTTCCGCGTTCGCATTCTTCAGTTTTGTTGGCAGACCCAGATACCTCGCTGTGCTTTTCTGCAGATGGAAACTCACCTCCATAGCAATCTGCCGACGAACGATCCTCGCAGTCAACGTCATCAAGCGAATGTAAAATGGTTTTTGTTAATTCCTCCAATATGTCCTCCAATTATCTCCAAGGGAATCAGCCCTGGTAGACCAAAAGGAAGATATTCTTCTGTCTTTCTTCAAGAACCAAATCGATATAGGTGCTAGATGAGTTGCCAAGTAGAGCATATCTGCTTGGTGTTTAGTGACAAGCTCTCTAACGGCATTCAAAATCGAGCGCTCTCGAACCTCTGGCATTCTCAATACCATACTTCGCTGAAAGCAGGTCCACAGGGCTCTTCCTTGTTCTGCGATGCACAGAGCACCATGTTGTTTGCCGAGCTTGATTTGCAAAAGGCAAAGACGTTTGTAGCTGGAGACATTCTGCCCCAATGCGAAATATGCAGTGTCAATGTTCGAGTAGTAGTCTCCTTCGCCGAAATGATCTCTGGGTGCCTTACATATTGGAAGATCTTTCGTGAAATATTCAATTGATTCTTCGAAGGGACCTTGATAGTAGAGTGCATTACCAATGATACTCGAGGGAGATCCATCTCCGATTTCCAGTTCTTCGCCCATTTTGAGACTTCCATTCGCATAGTGAATTGCTTTTCTATACTGACCGAGGCTGTTATAGGTTTTGCCGAAGGCCAAGTAGCACTGATATTTGCCTTGCTGGTCTGCCATGGCTGTTTTGATAATAAGAGCTATCTTGCAGCGCCCGATAGACCTTTCATACTGCATAAATATATTGCAAATCTTAGCTTGACTGAGTACGGATATCTCCTTCTTCTGATTTGAACGAATTGCTTTGAGGGCTTCTTCGCTATATTTCAAGGCTGTTGCGTAATCTCCAAGATGGAGGTAATAGCTTAAAAGATTAAGGCAGCTTCTTCCCTCACCTTGTCTGATTCGTTTACCTCGAAAAATTTTAAGTCCCTTTCCGCAGTACTCGATGGCTTTCTCATTTTGGTATAAAATATGACAAGCGGCACAAACTGGTGTAGGCCATTGCTTCTCCTTCCCAATCATGAAACTCTATGCTGGTTTTTAGGTCTTTCTCTAGATAATCAATCCATTTCTCGAACTGTCCGAGTGCGAAGTATACATTTGATACATTTGCTAGGATTAGCAACGTCGATGGCGTAATGTTTGTAAATAAAATAAGAGATTTGGTAAGTTTTGAGCTCAGTAAAGAAATAGAGAAAGATGTTTTTCTTCTTGTCACGAGCGAGGGAAAAAAGAATAACTTCCGAGTCCCCATGGGGAATCGAACCTCAGACCTTCGGATTCTGCGCTCACCTTAGTCTCTGTGGCTCAGTGGTAGAGCATTCGAGCGCGGAATCCGAAGGTCTGAGGTTCGATTCCTAATGGGGACTCAGAATTTTTTCTTTCTCCCATGCTCGTGAAATGACGAAAAACATCTTTCTCTATTTCTTTACCGAGCTCAAAACTTACCATCTCTCTTATTCTGGGAGTTTTTCTTTAGCAAAATATGCTCAGTTTTAGCTTTGAAACTACGATACTTCAATAAAGAGGAAAAAAATTGATAACCATAATCCCAGCTGGTTTTGGTACTAATAAACATGCAGGATTGTAACAAACGTTGTTTCTTTGCTTGATTGCAGTTTGGCGGAAAGGAGCGACTCCGTGGAACCAAGCGAGGAGAGGTTGAGTCAGCACAAACATGTTTTATCGTCGTTTCTCATCGTCAGCCGGGTTTGGATAGACGAGTAGTAAGTCTGGTTCATTGACAGTCTTTCCTAAGTATAATTGCTTGCCTGAAATTTGGATTCACGTTGGGCTTAGATGGTGAGCGAACTCTAAGTATAGTTAACTCTTTTAAGCACATATAAGAAATTCACATACCAGAATCAACACTTTTTACCACAACTGTGTGTTTCCTCGTACGACGATCTCTCTTTAATTATCTAATCATTTCATTTTTGCACTCAGATGTCGCAGAGCGTCGACTGGAAGAGTAAGTCCGTAAACTGTACCATTGGTTCTGTCAGTGATATTATTTACGCAGTTGTCTTAAGCGATATTTTCCCCTTCTTTCGTTATTCTTCACTCAACTAAGCGCTACCATTTCCTTCCATTGTTCATTCAAGGTTATTGTAACAGAGGTTCTGTGGGTGTGGCCAGTTTTTTTTTACCAATTATAGGGCGAGGTAAAGCAAAACAATGTATTCTGGGATTACTTTCGTTCGACGCGCTTTGAAAATGGCTCTATCATTTTTCACCCCTTCAACCCTAGGTCCCAGTAAATGACCGTCTGAAGCCATAACTGCTGATAAAGTAAATTTAATCGCTGAGGAGACCCGACTTAAAAGCTTCACTTGAAGGCTGCAGTTAGCATTTACCTGTAATCATTGATAATGATATTAAAATAGCAATAATATTGATGACAACATCAATAAAAATATCGTCATTACTGTTAATGTAATAAGCTACAAATAAAGTTCAGTAAAAATAATTACAAGGTTTTTCACGGTGGGTTAGCACACGGATTTTTCTCCGAGTTTTCTAAACAAGAAAGGTGGAGATGAAAAAAAGAACGACGACTGGTTCGATGTCATTGCCAAAACAATGATTTCTAACTTTGAACTTTTATATACTAACATTTATCAGCCTTAAAAATTCGGCTAGCATTGTGGCCTGTTTCTTTTACAATAAATTGATAAATCATTTTTGAGAAATTGCTTTATTTATCACATGAGCCACTGCCATTTGCGAGAAATTTAAAACGTCACTGTTAAGCTGGTCATGATTGCAATGAGGCACGGTTTAAAGTTGATTAATGCATCTGGTGGATAGTTTATAATCTCTCGCTATGAATCAGTTACGCACAATATTCGACAGGTGCACCGAACAGTTTTAACTTAGTGTTATTAAGCGTTTCTTTGACGCCATATAAAACCCCATGCTCATTCGTCAGTGAATCTGTAGTTCTCTTTACCAGAATTTCAACGAGTGATTTATCAGTCTCTTATTAGCTAACTGATTTTTCTCGTAGTCGCGATTGAACAACTACATGTGAGTCACCCATTATGAGAGATTAAAGAAAATGCAGCATTTATCGTACAGCACTAACAGCTTAAAATAAAATGTTTTTTCTGATCTATTTGCTCCAAATTTTTTTCATTCCACCTGTTCTGGTTGCCGCCTTAAAGCTTGTCTAAGGATGAGTTTTTTATGTCTCTTTGGTTTGTTGTTCGATCAGAAATGCTGCAATGGTACCCGTGGAATAATTTTCATTGAAATTGATAATGTTCATGCCCATATGCACCTTCCATTTTCGTAACGAGAAAACATGAAAGCTTTTAACGATTTCATTTCGAACGATCTGCCCAAACATCTCACCAACCAGAACGTTCGATTGTGCTGCTCTGCCCCAGTCTTCTTTGTAACCCTCCTTAAAGGTCGCCACGCCGCATGCTCTTCCTTAAAGTATGTCTTTCATGTATTTCACTTCATCTCCTGATAGCGCTTTATCAACCACTAGGAGATCTCTCATGTATCCATCAAAAGTCGGAAAATGCATGCTGTCTCGTTTCAACCCAATGTCGAAAACTGTATGATTATTTTCGATCAGGTCTAAAGGACCATTAGAAACACTCTTGCTACCTTCTTTAATTCCATCAATGTACAGAATTCCCTCTTTTCTATCTCGGCTCCATGTGAACGCCACGTGCATCCATTTACTGGGGATGATCTTCCTTTGATTATGAGAGAACAGAACACAAAAGGGAATGAGGCTTTGCACAAATCTCCGCTTCTCAATATACATCCTAGGAAGGTAAATCGCTCTGGGATACACACTTGAATGCTCTACGTGTCTCTTCCTATTTACTAATATTACGTAGGAAAACAAGAGATGTATCTTAAGCACTTACCCGTCACAGAGATTAAACATTTCACGTTTTGCACCAAAAGAATTTCGCAGATTAACACAAATTTTATGACTTTTATAAATAAAGATTCTGAACTGATGTGGTTCTGACCAGTCAGAATAGATATGAACTGGATGATCACTTGAAAGGCTCAAAACGTTTATCCAACACATGATACTAAAGCTGATAACTCGGATCGGGAGTGCTGGGGTTTCTGCGTAGGAACGATTGGCTCCACTCAGGTACAGTACTGTCCTGCCATCCATATTTTTATAGGAAGCACCATTGTACAAACTTCTCAATTCATGAAAACAAGGGAGATACATTTGTTAACACTCATGTCATACCATGTGGAATCCTCTTTACAAGTAGCTAAATGAAATAATGTTACAATTAACTGAAAGTATTAAACAGCGTTTCAAGAAAGAAAGCTTAATGATCCTCTCCAGAAAGTATTCACTGTATGAGGAAGTCGAAGGAGATTTTTGAAATTCCTGTGAAAAAATGGGGAAATAGCTATGACAAACGCGGCAAAAAACCGCAATTGTGTGTTGGATGCAATGCATTTTAGAAAATATTGTAGCTCAAAACTTTGACCTGTCAAAGCCGCTGTATAACTAGGACTATTATGTCCTGTTCTCAAAAAAATTAACTCATTGAAACTGGAGATTATCCATCATTGTAAGTAAGAATTTGAACTTTTCACAACGTAGTGTTCCAACAAGTTCTTCGTAGCAGAATAAAGCGTTTTTTCACCTTACCTTATATTTGGATCAGACCCATTGAGTGCCCAATGAAAACGATATCCTTTGAATCCTTGAATTAAAAAATGAATACTGGTATGATTTTTTCACGATTTATCTTACATAAAACATTTTTTTCGTAAGTTTTAACAATGTTTATAGAAGTGTGAACTAAATTTAAAACCAACAAAGGTAAGAAGTCTTGAAGGCAAGTAATTGGACGCTTTGATATAATTCCCGTCTTGTCTTCCGAAGGTCAACGAATTACTTGATGTAAACAACATTTGCAGATACTTCAGAGCACTAAATGTAATTGAGCATAAGTAGAATGACTGGTTAATTCTTTTTAAATTTGCACCTTTTGTGAAGAAGAGGGTTCTTAATAACTTTCATTTCACTTATTGAACACTTTGTACTGGTTACCAGAAATCATACCGTGACCCTCTCCGGAGTAAGAAACAGCTAAATGTGGATGGATGCATTGTCGGTTATCTTTGGTTCTAAACACAATCTCTACAGTTCTTCTAAAAGCTTTTACGTAAAGTGTCATTTTGTTTCTGACCAGTACTCCATTGTGAAACTGGGTGACATCGAGTTCATTTTTGAGCACCATCCGCACACGTATAAAGTCTTTATAAGAAACATATAATGATAACATAACTTCTAAAAGTTAACAATATTAAAAAAAAGTAACAAAATAAAAAGAAAACAAAATATCGGTTTCTTACTTTTGCACTTTTTGCCGTCTCCTGAAAATCCAGCTTTACAAGTGCAGGTAAATGAGCCCACAGTGTTGTTGCAGTACGCGTCTGCTGAGCAGTCATGCGATCCAGAGGAACATTCGTCCGTATCTTCAACAAAATAGTTAGACCCTACTTTAGCTAACGATTAAACTCTAGAGAATAATGCTCTCAGTAAGACTACTATCAAACCATTCACTCGATGTTATTTAAGCATGAAAAAAGGAACGCGCTAATGGTGAAAAGCGAACACCAGACTCTTTGACCAACTTTTCTCACAATATGCTATTGTATTGTGACCCCCCACGGGATTTTAGGGAATAAGGTGAACGCACGCAAACGGCATGTTATGACACGCTCGCACGCTAATGGCATGACACGCTTACCGTGCAGATATGCGCATAAAAACAATTGATTTTAGAAAGTGTGTTGTAGCCATTGTTCATATCTGGCTAACACGGTAGAGCTTTGTTTCTATAACATGCGAGATTTTTTTGTTTTTTGTTTTAACACGCTAATTTCCCTTGTTCCTTAGCACACTAGCATATCTTGGGGAGATGGCGAAAAGGAAGTAAAGGTTTCAAGCAGTTGGATAGCGGAAAATAAGGCTTTCTTGTGTCCGTTTTACAAAGAAAGTTTGACTCGCCATGTTTTAGTGAGCAGTGGAATCATTTCGCATGAATACGAAATGTAGAGGAAAGAGGAGGACCCTTATTCACAGACTTAAGAAAACTAGTTTGTTCAAAACACTTAGATGGCACAATTAGTCTATCATTTAACATAAAAACATTAGGGTCGGTTAATTGAACAGAGTTTAGCCATTGTTCAACAAAACCGCGTCCTTAGTTATTTTGATTTTAGCTAATCCTAGCATGTAAACATTGCTAATTATTAAGAGAATAAAGAAGGCATAGGTGACGACAGTCTACAACGCTTAAAGTTTGGCAAATAGACTGTCTGTTAATAAGAAAAGGGTGTATTAGATATTTCATTATTTTGTACACTCCGTCAGTAGATAGAAGAAAAAAAAATTGACGCTACCACCGCACCACACGGACTGTCGTACTTGACGGTTAACAAATTTTACAATATAAATAGCGCAGTTTACACTCAAGCCGTTTGCTTTGCATCATACAAGCTCGCTCTTATTATTTTAAAAGCTTGTGTTTGCTACCTTCAAAAGTACATGTACGATTTCAATAGCAGAGGACTTTGCTCGCTCGGCCCGTTTTTTGCAAGCTGTTTTAAGAAAATGAGGAATTCGAAAATGAAGGAAAAAACTCAAACACAGTTTGAAATGATGGACAACTAGTCGAGGTATTCGTTTATGCTAGGCAAATTAGTTGCACTGGATACTGAGTATCGTATATCGGCCGGGCGCATCGGTGATCTAAAAAGATCTAAAAGGTTAGGACGTACTTCTTGTATAAACCGAAAGCAACTTTAACTTTAAGAGGCGTGTTATAAAATGGCACGGTCACCGTGTAATATCGTGCAAAGTTGCGAGCAAGATCTTAACAAGTTCCTTTGTTTCTACCGTGCGAAGCAAGACAAAAGCTGCGAAGTTGATGAGGCAAGTAACTTACACGCAGCTAACGTGCTCGTTCTTTTGTTTTAGCGTGCTAGTGTACCGTGAGCGTGCGTTCACCATATTACCTGAAATCCCGTGGAGGGTCACTTATTACTCAAACATAGCACTTTTGTTTGTCAAATTGCACAACGCTAACAATTAAATAACTGTTCACTATCAGACAAAGAAATGAGTGCGGGTGGAAAGGTGAGGCTTTCTCTCTCAGGTCGTAGATCATTACGTGCAACGCTTTACGTTAAACAAGTGTATAAAAGAGGGTGTATCGCGATAATAATACAAACCTCTTTCGCAGCTTTCAGTTCTAGTCCAATTAGTAGGACAAACGCAACGGAGTTTTCCATCAATAGTTGGTACACAAGAAGCAGCCGGGGGACAAGGAGAAGTGCCACATAACTTCTGTTGAAAACGAAAAAGATAAAAAAGATTTCTAAGTGAAATTTCACTGAAATAAATGACCATATCGCGAAAAAATTTCGCGTGCTACAACTTTTTCAGAAATTTGAAATTTTCCCGAGAGTTTTAAGTTGGCTGGATGAACTTTTCTTTAACTCCTACCGGCCAACAGCAGTTGACGTTAAAACTTTATCCTGTCATCTTATTCAGATAAATGTAGTTTTGAAATGATCCATACAAAAATACATTTTCTTTTTTATCAGTAGTCATTCAGGTCGTACTGAAGGTTCATGCTAGCCTGCAGGGTAGGCGTAATATTGGCGAGTGCGTGCTCAGTATTTATTATGACCGCTATCTTTTATTCTCATGGCAGCGGAAGGCTGAGGAGAGAACGAAACTTGTACCAAGGGGGTGAGCGACGGTCAAGAATAACGAGAGGGATGGGGGTGGGGGAGTATATTTTCGCCTTTCCTTTTCTTTGCAGTATACCTACCATGGTTGGATGATAGGAGAAGCCTTTCTTACAAATGAGATGTTCAGGATGTTGAAAGTGATCAGAGTCACTGAGTTCACATTTTAATTTGCCCCTGGTCTCTGAAATTCCAAGATTGAAGGATGAACAGAAGTTCTCTGCGTAACACCTCACTTTACACTGATCTTTGTTATCAACCATGAAGGACTTAATGACGTGATTTTCGAGGTAATTGTCTTCCTCGGGTTGAACAAACTCCAAAATTCTGCACGTTTCTGATAATTAAAAAAAACATGAAGAATGTTAAACGGAACACAAGTTGATTATGATGTAATCTGACAAAAACCAACATGAAACAATGTAACGCTGCTGTATATGCCACAGGGCTTCAGCTACGTTCGGGCGATACGCACGTAAGAGCAAATCGTCAATCTAGCCTACTCTTCTTTATTTTTCAGTTTCCCTATCTTCAGCAGATTCTGTGTTAACCAGGTGTAAATATTTTTATGCTAAGTGGGCTACTGGAGAATTGAGGTATTTATCCTTGAATAGGTTATCCATCATAATGAATACGAAACTATTAATGTTCTAAATAAAAACAATTAAATCGTTCAATTTTTTGGGGCAACTGTCATGGAATTCTGGTTCGCATGAAGATCTGTTGCCGTCAGCTGCTGCGTAGGAAAAATCGTCGCGAAGAAAGGTCTTTTGCCCTGCAATAAGGAATTTTTTACCTGAAAATATAAACGGGTGATGTCAAAGAAAACGTAAATCAAGTAAGCTTGGACCGAAGAGCTGTCACTGCGTATTTTTGACAAGTCAAGATGTTTACTGCGGAAGTCTTAAACGATTTATGTAAAAACTCACGACTTCCCTTTCAAAAATAAGATAATTTTTAATTTTTAAAAAGTCTTCCCTTAAAAGCCTTTCAACCTGAAATAAGAGTTGATTGCAGAGTGCTGAAGACCACTTCTTAATTCTTGATTGCCACAGGCAAGAAATTTGAGTTTTATTTGAAGGGTTGTGCATAAGGCCTCTACTTCGGTGTCACTCACTGTATGGAAGGCTAGAAATTCAACCGGATCTATACCACTTTAAAGGAAGGGCGTATCTAGCTAAGAGCAGCTAATTAAAGAAATTCAACAAGGAAAGGCTATACCAGCTAAGATTTTACGAAAAAAGGGGTTTCACTTTCATTTGATTACAACTTTGACAGAATATACTGCAAAAAAGATCACCATTTTGGGTGCATTCGAGCAGGAAGTATTTTGAAATTTGCGGTCAAGAGCAGAAAATTTAAAAATCCTTGTTCTAAAGTTTTCATTCCAGTTTATATAAACTCGCGTATCTATAACGAACGCTAAGCACAATAATATGTGCAAAGGGTAATGTCGCTTTTGTGTTGCTGATTGTAATTTTGTAATTTTTTTCTTCGTTCGAATTACAGACACATTGTAAACCACAGCTAGTGGAATATTCAACGACGAAAGTGTGCAGGAGAATTCACCGAATGTTCGCACAATTTTTTCTTCTAGATTAAATCTAACCTTGCGCATAGGCGTATGAAACGAACAATATCTTCCACAGAGCAGCAAATGTAGTGGACATGATTTTGACATCAACTTTATCGCTTTTTCGTCACTCTCGAGGAGATCCACAGCTCTGCTTACAACCTGGATTTTAAAAATAAAATCATTTTTTGGGATGACAGCTGAAAAATTAATTATTTACTACCTGCGCCCCGCTAGCTCGAACCGTTTTTTGTTTCCTCGGGACTTCGAGTTCGCTGGGTTTTTCTGTACTTCCTTTTCGGCAAGGCCTTAAAGTGTTGTAGTTGTATGCTAATTTGTTACCTAATGATCGAATACAGGTCACTTTGCATCACGAAATTTGTAAACATTTGCTCCTATCACAAAACTTTTATAACTGATCGGCTCACATGAGGGGAAAATTACTTGCAGAGTCCCTTCAAGGTAGCTGCTGAAAACTTAGTCGCGCGGAAGCCAACGGTCTAGTTACACGAGCGTGCACGTATTTGAAAACACGACAATTCCTGATAATTTTTAACAATTTGTGGAACGTTTAACAAACTTGCCACAAGGAAAAGCCATTATCACCTGCTTCCTGTTGTGCGCATCCGACAAGAAGGCCCTCTAACGAATCCTTTCATAATGAAATAGAAAGCATCTCTTCCACGGAGATTCGTAAGCTTACATGCGGCCTTCAATATGTATCTATCGGCGACTGATGCCAATAATCATTTAATCTTAATATACAATAAAAGTTTCAAGTAAACAGGAATTGCAAGGGTCTCACAGTTTTCACATATATTTCCAGACCTTTTTCTTTTCCACACTCAAAATGTAATCGTGATGAACGTGAACGCACTTGTAAAGGCAAAAAAGTGCGTAGCAAGAAGAATAATTTTACCGATTAGGGTGAAGACAGCTTCCTTAATGCTACAACATGTACGTGACGGCTGACTAACATTTCCCTCAACAATCAAGCGCTTGTGAATGAACGCAAAAAATTCAGACTTTAGTTACCATATCTTGAACCAACTTTTTCTACAATTCCTACCTTTGTGCGAACGCCGGTTTTGGAAAGAGGTCCACAATAAAAATGGGTTGAATCGCATTTACAAAATTGTAAATGGAAGAAATGAAGATACGAAAACGTAAAAACATCGGCTGCTTTAGAAATCTTTTTTCAAACCTCCTTCGTCGCCCTGATTACCTTCGTTATGCTGTAACGAGCTCTACAAAGAAAATTTCCGAAGATCTCTTTAATCAATTTTATATTACCAAAAATTACCAGTTGTTTTTTCCACTCTCTAATTTGTGGGATTTATGTATTAGTTATACTTAATTTGCGCGAATATGAAGTGCAATTGTTTGTCTCATTATGTAGTCACTTCCGATGTCAATCGCCGGCGATGTTTGAACTGCATATCGCGAATCTTCTTCAGGCGGTAAGGTCGATTCTTTTTTTCTCTTGGCTAATCTAGCGCATTGTTATGAGAGTTTTTCTGTATTTCGCTAGACCTCCTATCCAAGTAACGTTTTCAATGGTCTTTCCCTGAATAATAAAAACACTGTCTTGAAGGCTGAGCGATTTTAGAAGTAAACAATTTCTTAAGTAAACAGAACTACTACTTTGTCAGTTTACAGGTCATGCAAAGTCCTATTATAGCAATAATAGTAATTAGCATATGTGACCCTCCATGGGAAAACGGACACTAACGCTTTTCCGTTAAACGGTCTCGAAAAACGGTTGTAAACGGCTAACTCGAGCGTTTAAACGGATGCCATAACCGCTTAAACGGATGGCAAAAAATTTAAACGGTTGACCAAAGTCCAAAAACGGATAGCTTAGGCCTTCAAACGGTTGACCAAAAATAAAAACGGATAGCACGAAACGTTAAACGGTTGACCAAAGTTCAAAAACGGATGGCTCACACTGTTAAACGGTTGACCAAAAATAAAAACGGTCAGCCCGAAACGTTAAACAGTTGACCAAAGTCCAAAAACGGATAGCTTAAACCGAGAAACGGTTGACCAAAATCGACAAGCGATGAGCTAAAAATTAATGTTTAACGGCTGTGGTTGAGCCGGCGAGATCTTCTGCGGAAAAACTTTTCAGAGTGACAACGGATAATTATCCTTTAAAGCGAAAATATTGAGCAGGATAATTTGAAAAGTAATAACTAGCATATACTTGCGCATTTTATTTCTGGGTTAATTACTGCCGCTTCCGTGTGACATTCATGAAATAAGCGCAATTTACTGAGAATAGTTTATGAGAAACTCATAATCTTCTCCTTTGTTTATTCTTATTATCATTGAAAATGAACTTCATTTTTTCCTGTTCGGAAGTTTCGCGAAACAAAGTTGCATATGCAATGCCGCCACCTTGTCTGAAGTTAAAATGATTGTCAATAAAACCAAGAAAGATGAATCAAGATGATATAAACAGAAAGAGAGTAGCCGATTTAGCAGTCTGGGGGTCTGCGAAATGTACCAACCCGGATATTTCAACTTAACTTGTTTGTCAAAGGATGCGACGTAAACTCGCTTACTATGATCACGCAAAAGATAAAACCAAAATGAGATACGGTCTTTCTGTATTTCAAGAACCGTAAAACAGCAGAGAGCGTTTTCATACTTGTTTGGCGGCCTGACGCTTATTCATGTACTCATTTTTTGTTTCACAGTGATAATTAATTTTTTCAAAATGGTCCATATTTCTAGAGCGAGAGATTTAGGAAAAGAAATCTGGAGATAAAATATGTCAGCATTCAAAGTACGTGAGGGCGATTGGGTTCTTTGATTAACGTGAAGTTAGCGTCTTGACAGAAATGTAAACAAGCTTATGAAGTCTCAGCCATGTAGAGCCAAACAGTGAATAGTTACATCTTCGAACCAACGATGATCACAATTATGCGAAATGGTTTGAAAAGACTGCAAAAGTTCAAAGATTATACATTGCAGCTGCTTAGGCTTGTTTTAGCGGCATTTGGAAAATCTTCAACTGTGGAGAAATAAAAACTTACGGGATCCAGAGAATATAAACAGTTCACAACCTAAGATATATTAAAGTTCACAAGGCCACCAGTTGGACAATCAGACATGGTTCTGGGTGAAAAGAAAGTCAGTTTTACGGCTTGCCCTTCAGGCAAGCTGTACCTAACATCTACTAGCCCGAAAGTCATTTTTACTCGCCCGAAAAAATTTTTTCGCAAGCAGAAAAAAAAGAGCTGTTTTTCTCTCAACGCCACCACACTGTAGAATTTTTTCCAAGTCCACCGCAACACGTGAATGATTAACAAGCATTTTAGACATTTAGAACTTAGAAACACGTTTTTTGAGAAAAAAAAAAAAGGCGTTGAAACCGTGAAACCAAAGTTCTCAATGGACACACTGAGCGACAACGTCGACAACACGAAAAGCTGCCAGAGAAAGCGCTTCATTCTCCAATTTGCAGCCGAAAAAAATTCCTCGCCGGACAGGAAAGATATTTATGTTATTAAAGAGGATAAAAATTTGTTAGCTTTCATCAGTTTAATTCTCATTCAGTACATTCAGAAGATCATTTTTCTGAAGAAGGTTTGTTTGAGATTCGGTTTCCCATGTCAAGTTTCAGTGAACAAAAATGAACAACAACGAACAAAAATGTTCCTTTCATTTCTGGCAACTTTTCATCTGAAAGATTTTCGTGAAAAGTGAAAACGATGTGGTCTATATTTTAATCAACAAACACCAATGGTATTGGTGTTT